GAGATAGCCTCATAGGTGACATCGGAGCATGTCCAGGATTACCAGTCATGCCACCGTAAGCCACGGTAGCAATGGTGGACCAGATTGCCAGCGGGACTAGTGCCCAGATGGGGCGTGGTCGGGTGTCTGGGTGACTCGTAAATATACATCTAATAGCTAACATATCTGGGCTTAATAACTGCTGTTTACAGAAGCGTTGATGGGGGCTAATGGGGTTCGTATGCTCTGAGACGACATGTCCTACTCTTATAAGGATGTTGAGTGAGGCCGTGACGTCAGGAACTACCAGCTATACCCCAGAGACTAACAAGCTATGAGTGGGTAAACGGGCTTGAGCGAGAGAACCGGCTCTGGCCAAACGTATGGGCCTAACTTGGGTATCCGCTCTACTTTTTTTTTTTTTAAACCATCACTCTATGAACTAACAAATTATAACTCAGTGCTATGCAATAACAATAGTCAGATTAGCAGACACAAATGATACTCAAGCGTCCGGCGATGAGGTGAGCTGCATCCCTCGAGATGATCGGATAGGATCAGTTCCTAGGGAGAGAAGCCACGGGGTCTCCGGCCGTCTTCCACTCCGGCCTTATTTTCGAAGGAGAGGTGCGAGCCGGGAAGGCCTGTCCTTGTGCGTGATGAAGGCCCCATTCTTTCAACTTCGCCAGGCCTACCTCCGGTTCCAAGATTGGCACAGTTCTTTCGGGATACCACACCAGCAATTTTGTCGGGTAGCCCCAACGGTAAGAGATATTATTCCGGAGGGTTTTCGTCACGTCAACAAATTCCCTTCTCCTTGCCATCGTCGTCGCCGATAGGTCAGCGTAGATTTGGATGTGTTGGTACGGTTCCGGCAGACTGGAAAGCTTCCGTGCTGCGTTGAGAAGTTGCTCCTTCGCTTTGTAATTATGAAATCGAGCTATGGTGTCCCTGGGGGTATCCGCGGTGAAACGGGCCGGTCTTGGGAGTCGATGAGCGCGGTCGAACTCCCATGCGGTGACCTCGGCTTGCGGAACCAGCATTTTGCACAGGACCACAAGATATTGGGGTAACGCTTCATTCGAGATTGAGTCAGCTATGCCCCTGAATCTCAGGTTATTGCGGCGGGAGCGATCTTCTATGTCCGCCAATTTGTGTTTGAGAACCGCTTGTTCTTCCTCCAACCTTTGTAGTTTATCGACTACATCATTATGGGCCACGCATAGATCTTCGGTTTTAGTTTCAAGATGGCTGGTGCGGCCACCTATATCTGCAATCTCTTTTTTCAAGTCAGTAGTAAGCTGGCGCAGATCCGATCGGAACGAGGACTGCAAGGATTGTAGCATGGTTTGTATACTTTTGTTGGTGACAGGCATATCCTCCACTGCTTGCGGTTCGCAATCAGGTTCTGTGTGGCATTCCAGTGACGGCGGGAACTCCTCGTGGCCGTCGCCATCTTGGATTTGCTGGAGCTTCTCTTTTCTGCCCTGGCGCACCGGATCGGTAAGCTTGGTCTGTTTAGAGGGGGCCATGGTGGCAGGTATAGTGGTCTCCGTTCGTTACCAGGGTCGGATAGGCTGGGAAATCTGCTCAACTGTCGCTCAGGGCCTGTTAGGATACAGAGCGATCACAACATGCGACTGCTCCCATCGGTGGTCAGCCACGCCCCCCACCCAGCTTGAGATCTGAGAGGGGGTATAGCTCTTGCTGACAGGGGTAAAGTCTGTTCAGGGTGTATTCTATAATTTCCTTACAACTATCTATTTGGCATATATTTTAAAGGGTCATTGTAAACACCAGAAGTATGCTTGCATTATTGCCAGAAACATCTTAAACACACTAATATGGGAGAGTTAATGACGACAGTGATTTGTAAAATTGCTGCTTCTATAAGACACACTTGGTTGCCAGTGTTAATTTTGTCCCTATTTTGCATGCAGCGTGCGTGCACTATAGGGAAGGCGCTCTTTCCCTGGATAGAATACCAATCTGCCTAAAATAAAGCCCAGTTCACAAAATCGTGAAACAACCCATGTGATGATTGGGAACTGCTTCTTTGCTCGACAGGGGATTATGGGAAAAGGTCAGTCCTCATAGCCGAGAATAAGACCACCCTTATTTGAGTGTATGATCCAGTTGTATGAGTGGTTTGTCTGCAGCTAATGAAAGACCCACTACAGTTTTAGCTTTTCTTTTGGCAACATATTGATGCATTATTTACAGAATGCATTAAAAACCATGGCCAGATTTTAAGGTGACGATTCCTATGAAACCTTGTGCCATAGAGAGAGATTGATAGATGCACTGTGTCCTAGAATAGGTTTAAATATATATTTTAGAAAATCTATATGGAGCCTTTGGACTCATGTAACTGTAGAAAACACATCTGTCCCATTCAAAACTTTGATATTCTCCAGGTTCCACTTTTTTACAAAGTTGTCATCGAACTGATCTTTTCAGCCATCTTGTGTAAAATGAATGCAGATCCCTCCAGTGAAGATACAATGATTAGCAACACTGCCAAAGATGTCCACTTGATGTACATACCTCCGTGGCTTATAAGCACCCACACTAGCCAACCCCATTCAGGAAAGGCTCAACACCCCGAGTACAGTTTGCACAGAGTGAGTGTTCTAATCATGTGCTTTTTGGGGACACCAGAGAAAAATGTCTCAAATATTAGGACACCAGGGAACAAACTCAGGCTGGCAGGATTGGATTAAGCTGTATAATGTAACAATGGGTTTAAACAGAAAGCACGTTTTCAGCATTCTAACACGTTAGTATTTCAGTTTGCTTGAGCACCAAAAAAAAATATTAGATTGTTTGTCAGTGAGTGAAAAAAAAACCCAAACAAAAAAACAAACATTCACACAAAATCCATCGTCTATAGGTAGTAAAACCAGATTCTCTACTCCCAATTCCGTTCCTATTTATAGCATTGAATCTGCAAATAGGCAACAATTAAAGAGGAACCTATTAGTCATTTGTCACTATCAACTGTTGTAACGGTTCCTTTTTGCATTTACTCAAACCCGATTATCAATTACTGGAATGAAATTAAGTTAGAAGAAAAAAAAAAAAAAAACTCAGCATTTTTCATATGTTACTGCCTGAGGACTATATTTCCAGTAAAATCCTTTGATCCCCTATGTGATTTGCACTGAGCCCTAGCACATAGTGAAGCTCATTTGCATCCATTGCCTTTCTGTGCCTTAGCAGAAAGACAGTTGGTCAATTAAAAAAAAAAAAGTCTTCTAGTCAGCCCTATATGTAAAAATTAACTGTTTAGTATTTGTGGTGGTGTCATCCTACAGGACACTGATTGAAGAATGTATAACCTATGCTATAAAGCAGGTTAAGCCAGTTTAACAGATGAATAATATGAACAGCTTCTCTCCTCCCCGTTCCTATTTACTCTTGTAATAAATAATGAATGATATTAACCCTTCCCTTGCTAAATATTGCAACATAGATTCCTCACATTCCAGGCATGCCCTACCCATGTGAGACATTTTCTGTGACAAAGGACTTTTAAAACCCATTCTTTATCATCTTAAGATTCCAAAGGTTAATAAAATCAGAATCATTAAATGGATGGCTTAAATTCTTAAACTGTGCAATGGGTGGGACCAGGTGTCACAGCAACACCAATATCTTAGGACAATGAGAATTGTATTTGCCAGTTATAGCAATCTGATCGTTGGCTGCAATTTACATTAATTAGTTGTCGTCGTTCCCCCCTCCTATACTCATTTAAACATTTTTCCCTGTGGTTCAGCGATGAAAGGCACATTCCAAACACCATGACCATTACAGGGAAAACATTTGCACATTATTCCACTATAAAAAAAAAAATTACTGGAGCGTATAAAAAAAAAGTCAGAATTGTAAGCAGCACATTTGGTGAAAGTAGTTGGATAATTTGGAGCAACAGATCTGAACTAATTCCCCAAATGTAATCGACTTCTGAATTGGAGACCCTTCCAAACTAAAGTGGAAGACATCGGATTGCGTCAAAAGATGCCCCCAGTACATTTTCAGAATCATCCTAAAAACAGGTTTTCATATAACTTACTACAGCCGCTATTTAGTCAATGGAGGAGTATGAACCTACCCTCACCAAATGTATGGTGGTTACATCTGGCTAACTTTTTATTTTCCACACTTTTGGGAGAAAAATACTAAAACCTTCAATGTAGGAAATTTTCTCCATGGAAATCAGTGCTGCCATTAGACGTAAATGTCACTGGCACCTGGGTGAAGGATGTTTCAATGCTGTTTGTAGATGTGGCTAAATTGCTCTTCCTTTGCCACAGCTCCATCTCTTACCTTTATACATCTGCTCTTTTTTTTATATAGCCCAACTGTTTCACAACATATGTGTGCATGATGGCTTGTATAAGTATGTTTTTGCATAATGCATGTAGGAAGTGGGCAACATTAACTGTGCTGGTGAATAAATGTAGATTTTTAGGTGCAAGAAGCTCTGTGACTAGGTAAGTCAAAGAGTGTGTCTATGGGTGCACAAAATATATGTAACTAAATGAGTAACGCAGGGTGGTGGGAGCAGCTGGGTGCCTGGGTAAATGATTGGGCGACAGTATGCAACAGGTTAGGAGTATGAGACTGTGCATGACAGATGATTGTAGATAATTGGGGGCTGTTGAGAAGGTGAGTTCACATTGCAGACATCTACGTTCAAAGGGGATGTGTCTGGGTTCAGTGTATGCATTTTTTTTTGTGGAAATTGGGGGCATGCTCCCTGAAACAACAAAGTGTGTGCCTCCACTGTATAGTATTTAGCCCTTTTTCCTACAGTTTGCCTGAAAATGCTCCAGAATTTACTTTTCAGCCAACCAAGATTAGCATGGATTAGAAAAGCTAAAAATAATGAGCAATAGCACTGTTGTTGGTGGGAACAAAATGATGAAAGAGGGCATGAAGAAATAACAAGTTCACTTTTATTTTGAACTTGTGTGCACTACTCTCACAAATGACAGATAATGGAGAAGTGCAGGGGTATGATCTAAACACAACTGCTTCATTAAAGGAACACTAAAGTCGCCAAAACAACTATAGTTTAATTAAGCATTTTTAGAGATTATGCCTCTGAAGTTTCACTGCTCAATCTGCTGCCATGTAAGAGTTAAATTACTTTTCTTTCCTGTTTATGCAGCCTTAGTCACACTTCCCCTGACTGACACAGCCTGCATGACAAAAATGGTTTAATTTTCAATCAGATGCAACCTACTTTAAAAGTTTTTATATCCTGCTATGTAAACCAAATCTTTAATTACAAATACTGCAGGCTCTAGCAAGCTATTAACAGAGCAGAAGATAAGAAATTCTAAATTATTAAACAATTTGCAAAAAAAAAAAAAGGAAGTGTAAACATTAGACAACTCTTTACAGGAAGTATTTAGGAAGGCTGTATAAGTCACATGCAGGGAGATGTCGCTAGGGCTGTATAAACAAAGTGAGTTAACTCCTGAATTACAGAGAATTTCAGTAAAATATTGTTCCTTGTAAACCAGTAAAAAAAAAAAAAATGATGTACTGCAACAGAGGTAGATATTAAATCTACAAACATTTTGTTGTGCAATAAAAACCCCATATGCCTACCTACACTGCGTATGAAGTACACTTCACATATTTTCCCACGAGGGTAGTGTGTCCAATGTTAGGATAACAGTTTGTGATTAAGTGAACAGAAAATGTCAACGCCATTTTAAACATTTATAACTTTTAATTGGTTTTAGTCATTTTAATGTGCTTAACACCCTTGAAGATCATCAAGGATGTGCACTGCACTGTTAATAAATGTGGTGCACAGCTGTGTGGCACTTAGACACAAACTTCCAGCTTTACTGCTGTAACAAATACAATATATATATTTCTCTGGAAAAAAAACAAACAAACAAACCCATGCATATTGCACATTGCGACACTATATAAAATAAGATTCTTTATATACAGACAAGTCATTTGCTGACTTTTTTGCAGTTTTTTTTTTTGTTTTGAATTTGCATGGCACAGTTTTACAAGTCTTTAAACAAAGATACATACAAGCAACTGCGACCCAGTGGGTCAGACCTTGGCATAGAATAGGTAAAGTGTTTGGCAGTAGAACGAGGGAGGACCATTGACACAGCAATAGTTGAGGACATGCAGTGATAAGCCGCCTAAAGCGACATCCCAGCCTAACCAATTGCAAAAAGAGTAGCAATAGCTGTACATGGACCCTGGACACTTCTATAGCATGCAATACTTCTGAGTGATCCTCAATTTGATTATCTCCATGCTCTATGGTAAGGTGTGCCTTTTACTAAGAGTATAAGTTCCTCTATATAGATGACATATTAGTCCCCCAAAACACAAATACATCAAATGCATTCATTTTAGGTTAACACAGATCTTTTCTACAGAGGCTATTTCTACATCTATTGCCTAGAGTTGACAATTTTCACAGGGTCCTTTAAAAAATGTAGACAGCAACATGTCTATTTAACTATTGGAATGCTGGAGGTCTGTATAATGTAAGTGATAGTTCACCCCGTTTGGATTTGAGGAGTTAATCCCTTTGTGATGGATACAGAATTTTACCAGGGACTGTTACTGTGAACCTAGGGGGATAAAATTGTTATCAAATGCAGGATTACTCTAATGTAGTTCTAGAACTATGAATTGCTGAGCAATGAGACAGCCTGTGACAACCATGAAACTATGGCCTGGAGGCAGCTCCCTGGAGATATCCAGCCCCCTGTAGCAGCCCTTATTAAATAGATTAGAGAGATGGATTGACAATATCTTACTATTTCATGACTTGTGCAGCTATTATCATTTATGCAAAAGGAGGGAGCTGCTATGAGAAATTAAAATGGTAAGATGGCAGTAAGTCTACAAACTGCTCATAACTCGGCCACTATAAAAAAAATAGAGGGCATCTGCATTTAAAACACAGCTTAACAGTAAATCAAACATGACACGATTTCTCCATTAAGCAATGGCGGGAAGCGTAGTTTCGCTGTCCAGTTAAAATGATCCAGGTGTTGTGTAATATACCATTATAACTTAGCAAGGTGCTTTTATTGTGGTCAATACCAAGTCGTTTAGGCACATTTAACAACATTAGAAGATCTGATCAACAGATCTAGACAGACAACAGGAGTTTTGCAAATTGAAATACAGCACATTTCAAAATAGAACTATGAACCCAACTGTGCTTGTTCCATGTTAAAATATTAACCATATTAAAATAGTTATGTTCTGATGAAGGACAGATTAACATTTAAATTTTAGTTAAATCTTATGTTTTAACGTGAGATTGGTGATATTATTTTAAGGTTTTATGCTCGTCCAACATTGAATAATTTTGTTAACATGGAAATTCTGATAGCGTGTCAACTTAACTTTGTCTAGGCTGGCCAAAAGTGATTTGAACTCCCTGAATAAAGAGCACATGTATAGGACTGTAAAAGGTCCAGTACATGCTTTGGTTATCTGGATAATGCAAAATAGTAATTTATTTACATTATTTTATATGTAAACAGCAGTATGAAGAAAGGAAAGAGGATGATATTCAAGGTGCCCATCTTTTGGACTGCAACTGTAAAGATCCATAGGCTGGTTAAAGACAATAGGAATTGTGGGCAAAGGAAAACTGCGGCTTGATTGCACCGGCTGTGTGGCAAAGCTCTACATTCGAATATACATTAATATTTGTTCTAATACCTCAATGTGTTCACAGTTAGTACTGGCTTTCCTGAAATTTATATATATAATCTGCACGTTTAAATTCTAACCTGTGTGTGGCATGCATGCCTACACTGAAAATCTGGAGCTTGTTATTCTAAGCAAAAATAAATTTGCCCATTTAATATTGCTTGAAGGGTACACTGGAAATGTCATGAAAAGGTTTTTGAAAAAGATGCAATGCTGGAATTGTGTAAAACGCATGGGCACACGATGAAGAGGCCAGCAAACCACACTGGTTAAAACCATGGTAAAAAAAAAATATATAAAAATAAAATAAAAATGGGAGTAATTTAATAGGAAATGGAGTAAAATAATATTTTTAGTGACATGTATAAGGGTGTAAAAACTGTCCTCAGGTAAGAATTAAAAAATAAGGAAAACAAAACCCCCACAATGCCAATGGCACTGATTGGAGACATGTGAATACACATACTGGGATACATTTATAGATATACAAATAAAATAAAAACGTGAATACAACTATGTGAAAAACTAGCACATCAGACACTTCCATAATGTTCATGGATTGGGATGCTGGCACTCCAAACTGGCTCCAGTGAGTGCAAAGCACTATCAGGAGGCATTGCTTTCCGTTCCCAACAGAAGTCCCTCTTTTGCTTACAAATTTGTGAAGTCCGCATTTTGGCTTTTTTGGAGAGCTGGAAATCTTTTTTTGGGCGCTCAAGCCAAGATTCAGAAGTTACGTTTTGCCATTGGCAGACTGAAATCTACAGGTTTCACAGATTTTATACTTTCACTTTGACAGTTTGCTGATGACTCGTATCAAGGCTGCATTTTCATCCTTCAGTCTCTGATTGTCTGCTTTCAAATCTGAAAGAACCTAAAAAAAGGCCCAAAACAAAGAATGAATTGGTAGACTTTGAATAGCAATGTCCATATAAACATTTTAACTAATATAAACGGAAAAATTTCAGACAATGGTCCTGAAAGACCACTAAAGGTGAGGAAAACTTTGAAATAACATTCTGAAGTGACCTGTGATGTCTTACCTATAAAATTCATAATACAGGTTCCTTCAAGCACAATGACTATTTCAGTGTTTTGAAGTGATCACGATGCAATGACCTGTATGCGTCATTTCGTACTGAAAAGGTAGCTTCATTAGGCAACCCAAATCAAGATTCCAGGCTTACTAATGTTATTTATGTTCAGAAAATATAGTCAAGACAGCAGCTTGTAATCTCTCCACCAGGAACCATCTACTACTATTCCAATAAAAGCACTTACAGGAACACTCGTAAACTTGCCAAGTGACTGGTGCAGTTGATGTGCCACTGGGGCAATTCAAGGAGAGATTGGAGATGGAGCAAAGATTCAAAACTTTCTTCTTTTGCTTTTCAGTGAGTTACCGGCTTAATTACAAAGCAAGAAAGGCAATCATCCAGTAGAAAATACTGCTGTTTCACATAAGGTCTGTGTAGTGTCTGTCCCAAAAGCATGAACACTAGCCGGAAAGAAGTTTATAAAAAAATATATATATATTTTTTTTTTTTTTTAAATAGCCACATTTAGCCTTGGCCAGCAGTCTCATTCTCCACAAATATTGAGTGAAAATGCTGAACAACCTGGCAACAGCAACAGCCTGGCTACTATTAGTTTATTGACAGCAGCTACATTCACAGTTGATGAATGGTGCTGAGCAATGTGTTTGCTAGAACAATCCACTGTGCATGTACTCAGCCCTGGCTCTAAGACACATTCTGATAGGTGAGTTAGGGGACTTGGAAAGGAGCACAATGCAATTATTTTTGTGTTTGACTTATTTTCAATGAGCATAATTTGTTACAGGGATTGTAATGTTCCTTTAAGCAACAATACAGGTGATTGCATCTTTAAGGACCAAATGTTATACACTGCTGTCATTAAAATCTGGTCAGTATAGACCCAAATCTAATATGGCTTATTGATCCTTGGCACGTCTGTATCTTATCCATAAGTGTGTACCATTGCATTTCTACAAAGAATATCTTTTTTTTTTTTTTTTTTTTAAAGAATAAATGTAAGATGGTAGACTACCATTGTTCTTTAAGGGGTTTAAATAATTCCAACTATAGTTTTAAAAACACTGTTAAGGTTACCTGCCTCTAATGCCTGCATTTAAAAAGGTGATTTTATTCACCTTATTTTCAGCGCTGCACCAGGCTCATTGCGGCTGGCTTCGCCTTGCTCTGCCTCCTTGGCTGACATCAACTTTGGGTTGGAGAGACCCTTTAAAAACTTTGATGTAAGCCAATCCAAATGCTTTCCCATAGGAAAGAATTCGGAGGCTATAGCGCATGTGCGGCAATACGCTGCACCAATCAGCACCTCCTCATAGAGATGTATTAAATCAATACACCTCTATGAGAAACGTTCTGCGGCTTCATGCAAAGCATGGAGACGCTGAACGTCACTCCTGCACAGTGTGCAGCACTGTCTGAGCGACTGCCACTAAAAGATGTTACTAGGCAGAAATGGAAAAGGCAATGCTAAAAAGCCTGCAGGGTCATGCCATAGACACAGTAACCACTACATTAAGCTGTGTTTTTCCTGGTGATTATAGATAGGGCAGTGCTTGCATTATAGCCTAGGAATAGCTCCACTGACCACTCATGAGATGGATGCTAGAGGTGCGTCTCTGCATGGAGACACTGTACTTTCCTCATAGAGATGCATTGATTCAAAGCAACTCTAAGAGGAGATGCTGAATGTCCCGGCTGTTTTTGGCTTGTGCTGACTCTGCCCCTAACCTACCTCCTTGGCAGTCTAAGCCAATCAAATTCTTTCCTATTTGAAAGCACTGTGATTGGCTCAGTACACAACTTCTGATGATGTGACCCAAGAAGGCAGACCAGGGACAGAGCCAGCAGCAGATTGTAATACAAGTACGATTTTACTATATTTGGGAGGGGAGGGGAAAGGACAGTGATGTAAGATGGTGGTTTTAACACTAGAGGATCAGGAATACATGTTTGTGCTCCTGACCCTGTAGTGTTCCTTTAACTAAGAAATTTCTCCAACAATACTCTCCTCTGTCCTGCCCTTCCCTTGCAAGACCAGCATATCTCAAAGTGCTAGTTAGTGCTCAAATGCTAAATATGGTCATGGGGCGTCCTTTATTGACGCCATCTAGTGATGCTGTACAAAGAGCATGCGTGAAATTAAGATCCAGCTGCCTACTCACTGCCAGTGCCTACAAGATAGCGGCGCTGTGAAAAAAGGATCTGTCTCCGTGATGATTACAAAGTTTGAGGTAAAATGTGGTGATTTGGGAGAATGGAAACACGTAAAGGGGAAAGTTAGGGGTTGAAGAAGAACAAGGGGTACACACAAGATATAAATAAGATTTATCTGTGACAGTCACTTTGCAAAGACAGATATATACACATATTACCTTCAACTCTTCTTCTAACTCAGACACTTGTCGTTCTAGTGATCTTCGTTCCTAATAGAAAAAAAAAAAAAAAGTAATCACAATTTTGCCATGACGCAACTTTCCATGCATGTGATAAAAGCTCCCAATCCACCTTTCCTGAGGGCACTGGGGATGCCAGCTCTAACCCCAACAAGGGAGAACCCCATGACGCCACACACATGGAACCCAGAGTCAGTAATCTCTTTCACTCCTAGGAACACAGAGAAGCGGAGCCCTAACCTGAACTGCCCCACTTCGCCAGACCTTCGACCTCCTATGTGTCCTCCACAGGCGCTGAGGAAGAGCTGTTCTGAACTGCATTAATGGTGGCCAACGACTTTCATACATTAACCAGACACTGCCTCCTCTTTAGGGCTTTGCATGCCGGCTCACCTACTGTTTTACCCTATGCTTGTTTTTTAGGGTTTTTATGTTTTAGTGTTTTGTTATTGTTCTTCAGCACGATATTACTACACACACACACTCGACAAGTATAGATTACGCTATACCATAACTGTGACTAACCGCCATCAGCCGTGACTTACTAGGACAAAGAACACCACAAGCTCCGGGGAGAATATACCTTCTCCCCCCCCCTGCGACTTCCTCGGTAAGAAGTCAAAACCCCAACCCATCGATAGATTTTGTATAAGCAATTGATTCCACTCAGAACCTAGATCTAGACCTAAGTGAAGCATGTGTTAGATCGTTAACTATTACTATGTAAATGCTCAACTAATAGGCACTATTTTACTAGTTGGCGTGGAATAATATAGCAACCCCAGCCTGTTTAAAGTCTATAGAGAAACTGAGGGCTTGCCTGTACGTACACCTATTAGACTGTATAAATGTATGTAGGCTTATGTCAATTCACAACCTAACCATACTATTACGCATTGTTGCTATTATGTCATAGAAGAGACTAAGCTACTACAACACATGTTGTTTACTACTCGACTTAACCACATATATATCTATATATAAAAACTTGTGCTAGAATTTTCCTGTACCCTCACGTTACAATGTTTGAAATGTGCTAGAGGATTGCCGTTGGGGTACCTCACAAGCAATTGTTATAAACTTACGCACAACAAAAATAAAGAATTTAAAAAAAAAAAAAAAGCTCCCAATCCACTCCTAATTTCCCAGCCCTCCCACCACCTCCTTCCCTTCCTCCGTCCCACTCCTGCTCCTCTTGCTGGTTTAGGTTGCATGCAAATGCCCTGAGCCGGCAAAAAGGCCTCTTTGCAAAGCTTTTGATTGGACCTCGGCGAGCAGCTTTACCTGGTGCTGATACAAGGTAAACTTTATTTTTAAATGTTTTTTTGTTTTTTTAGCATTTTTCTGCTGGGGGGGAAGGGAGGGGGAGTAATAGTAACATGCCAATAGGACATTATTCTATTAGGTATCAAAAAGGGTTGGAGAGATCCTTTAATAAGATATGTCCATAATATGTGCTACAAAAACAAAACACTCTAAACTATACTACACAGGAACTAAAAAGCAGTTTAACTAAAGTTACATCAAGGTGGGAACGGCTTGTGTGACTCTGTATACTTACAAATCTCTCCAATTCTAGCAGAGCTGGTCTCTCGGCATGGCGTTCCTGCCTCTGATGATAAACAGAAGATATTAAAGCATCATAGTCCGTTAGATATTTTACAAATTCTCATTAAAAAGCATTTAGAATAACCAACACAGTGTGAAAATATTAGAGGCAGATGCCAAATCAAAGGGCAGCGTTAATCTCTAGCTGGTCATATTACGGTTTATGGTGTGAAGTCAAAGGTTTGAAGGCTAGACGACAAAATAACTTTCTATAAATAGGGATTATATAGGAGTGTCTGATTACCTGCGTGACTCGTTCTAGTTCTAGCTTTATCTGAGTGAGTTTTATCTCCATCTCCTGAAGTTGGTCTCTCAGCGTTTCATTCTCTGTTGCTAAATCTTCATACAACTGTAAAAAAAAGCACCACTATAACTGAAAGGGTAATATTTTGCAAACTGTTCAAAGGGCAATGCCATCATGAAGCCTTGATCATGAACCACAACGTCAGATAAATGTTAATGCAGTAAAGGGGAAATTATTCAAAGAATTGGCTGTAAAAGTTAGCCATCTGGAAAAAGAAGTGTCTAGACAAGCGGTAGGCCACCAGTGCTGGAGAATGGCATCTCGCATAGTGCTTGGCCATAAACGTCTACCTTTGACTGGCAAGGCATTTGGAATATACCATTCACCAACAACTGGAGAGCTGTATGTTCTACCATCTTGTTCCAATCTGACAATTTTTATTATTTTCATTATGTAGTACATAGTAAGGAATACAGGATTATTAAATTTAGCGGGTGGTAAGAACATCTACTTCTCATAAGACGGTACGACATAGTACGCTATTTTCATCAAGTGTCACAAAGTACTTCTGGTTGAAATATCAACATTACAACCGAGAGTAGGGGTTTGCATTAAGAATTACATAACTCATAAGGCTTGAAGTCCGATGCAGGAACAAGTGAAACTGGGAGCAAAGTAGAAGGTAGTAATTCAGCCCCTGCGGTATCCCCTCTCCCCCCTGATATGATTGGTAAATACAGTGTGAAAAAAAACACTGCACTGTTGAACACTGTTCACAATTAACGCTCCGTAATTGTTTCGTAGTGTGATTGCTCACTTCTTCCCCAAAGGAATAAGATCCTCACCACCACCCATAATAATTAATACGAATAATTATATATAGCCTGTGCGACCAGGGTCACCACTCCGGGTCAACAACCTCCTATGTTGAGGAGGCTGGTAAATGCTATAATCTAGAGCTCATGTGGTGTCACAATTGCGTCCTTGACGAAACAGTGTATATATAGGTTGTACCATTTAATACAGCATATATTATACAAAACAAATAGTTTTTAAAACAGTTTGTAAAGCGCCAGGGAACTCTCCTCCCTCTGCCGACATCAGAGCGCGCATTCAAACAGACCATTTCTTAATGCTTTCCTATGGACGTCCAGCGTCTTCTCACTGTGATTTTCAAAGTGAGAAGCGCCTCTAGCGGCTGTCAGTGAGACAGCCACTAGAGGCTGGATTAGCCCTAGTGTAAACATAGCAGTTTCTCTGAAATTGCTATGTATTCAGCTGCAGGGTTAAAACTAGAGGGACCTGGATCCCAGACCACTTAATTGAGCTGAAGTAGTCATTTAAGAAGATATTTATAGGTGATAGACAAGTGTTTCTGTGAATGGGGGCATGTATAAGTCCATGTACTGGTGTTTTTTTTTTTTTTTTTTTACCTGTCTATTTCAAACACACATTACATTTCAAGCCTTAGAAATTCCCAACACATATTACATTTCAAGCATAACAAACATGTGATTCTTTAAAGTGAACAAGAGTCAAAATACTTAAGCAACCACTGAAACACAAAATAAAAAATAACCCAAACAAAGTATAATCTCTTAAATTACAAATAATCCTTTTCAACACGGAGGTCACTCCAATTAGAAGTTAGAAAAGCAGAAGTGTACTCTAGAAATAACCTCATATGTGGAGCAATGCCTCGCAATGCCTCTGGTGGTGGGTGAGAATAATTATACTTTTTTTAGGTTTTTACTGGCACTTAAACTGTACAAGTTAAGCTTACCTTTTTATAATCCTTTTCAGATTCATTCCTGGACCCTAAATTACTAATGTTTCGCTGAAATGTGTATGTCCCAGCTCTGTATGGTAAAATACTGTTCAGGCTTTCTGTTACCCTGCAGAGAAAGCACAATAATTCCATAAAATGTCTACATCTGTCACTGTTAACAGTTCGGACAAGCAAAACAACATTTTTTCCCATTATATATAATAAAAGTAACGTAAAACACAAATGGCTAAATTTTAGTTCAGTGAAAAAGGGTTACTACTTATTTTCAAGATCGGAGATGTTGCCGCTATGCCAATTACCTATATATACCACTTTGAAGGTACAATAAGAGATGAGTTTCCACTGATGCATGTGGCTCAGTTGCAGAAGGATGCAGCATTGGATTTTGTGACTAAGTAGCAAAAGTCACCAAGTACCTTTAAGCTTTTGGTAACAAACTCAACACTATGTACTACACTCATTATATACCAATAAGGGACTTCTTCACGCATACATATGAAGTATGTAATTTTCAATAATAATAATAAATCTTTAATTAAATGTAGACATACCTATCCAAATAAATCTTAATGAGATAAGTGATCTTTAAAAAGCAGGTAAAATTACAGCGATAGACAAAGCTGTTGAAAAAGGTACTGAAAGCTTTCATATACATAAAATATTTTAAAGGTCAAAAATACCAAAACATAGAAACCAGTCATAAAAATTTTAATCAAAGTTAATATATGTAGAAGGAGATGAGATGTGTGTACAATATAAACATTTTTTGTAATTATGTAAACATAAAAAATATACATCAAAGGAAAAGGGGTAAAAAAGCATGCACAATAATGTTCATCCATACCCTGATGTGTCGCTGTGGTTTATCGATTCTGCATCTTCATTTTCTGTGCCCTAAATAAATATAAAAGCACAAGTATGTACACAAATGGACACTGCTTCGCTCAAAAAATTTATGTTTTGGACACCAAACTGAACAAAAATCCTGTTACCAGTCAATGAATACCAAAGCGTTATTTAGCATGCTGCTCATACAGTCTGATCCGGCTTTATGCCAACGCATTTTAAGCCTCAGATTGCTTAGATGCAAATGTTTCACAGCCAAAGCAAATATATTGATGTGTGCAATAGACTAGTGCACATTTGGCAAGGGTTACTCACCACCTGAATGCAAAGATATAAAAGAAATCAGATTCCCTAACGAACAATGGCAGAACTGTACCAGCCTTTTATATCTGAGCAATCATATTTAATGGGTTGCAAAATAAACCAACTGAAATATTCAGATTGGGGAATCAAAAAACAAACAAAAAAAAAAAACACTTTTTGTGGGATCTTTCAAAAATGCCAGATTGCCTTTGATGTTAAGCTTAAAATGATAGGTTTTCCGATAATATATACACGCACGCTATGATGGAAATCACCAAGATGGCAGTGGCTAGCATAAAGGATGGATGCATGCTCATAACAAGTTGTTGTTTGAGCAAATTGCATTTATTGTTCAATTCCCCTTAATACTGCAAAGCACTGAGGAATAATTTGGTGTTATATAAAAACCAATGATCATAACATTGACATCCCACATAGTTAAAGTTGAGATTGCACACCATAGAAAGCCATTTTTGAAGTTTCTGCCTTTTTACACAGGGCATAGAAGTCACCTTTCACATTACAATAACATTAACTAACTCTTACAACTTTGACTAGATTCACGTAGTCTCTCAGTGATTATGTAATAATTCAAGTAATCTGAGCACCATACAAATCTGTCATAGAAACTGAACGTCTAATCTCTCAAGCAATAAGATTACAAGTTTGTTTTTATTTTTATTGTCAGCAAGTGATTTTAGCTACACTACGGACTGCCCTTTGGTCCACGGATATCAAGGTACTGCTGCTCATGGTCTTGAGACTGTAGAGTAGACATTCCACACTGTCTATAGAAGCTCTATGACACTGGTTAAACATAGAACACAGTTTAGAACTACAAATGAAATAAGATCACATTTAACCAGATCACAGAGCAGATTAGAATACATTGTTCCATGAAAACAGTGGTATTTAGTTATTTAGCCCCAAGTTGATAATGGTATCCACAAGGATCATAACCTGTTAAAGGAACATTTTTGCGTCTGCTTATCACTCTCAGCCAATGAGCTAAGCTGCATTGCAGAGCTTGGCCGAGGAGAGCTAACGGAAATCTTTACTAAGGAACTTCCAGCACTCCGGAGATTTTATTGAAGGTGGGGAATGACACCCGACAGAGCCCAGGTAAGAAGTCAAAGCATTCAAAGACAGTTTGACTACTTACAATGGGAGGGCACTCGGACACCCATGGCACCGTAACGCTTATAGTGAGCTCTAGTGTTTATGGTTTATTTGCAACTCTTTTTGATAAATAAATGGCCATGTTCGTTTTCGTGCATCTACCTGTTGTGATTGTTCTTAATGCTGCAGTATAATGGAGGTAAAAAAATTCAGTCAAAACACAAGTACATCCTGGGACGTAGATAATGTGATTACAGAGTACAGTGCTCCTTCAATGTTGTTAGTCCTCGCTCAATCAGCTTTATGGCAAATCATACTGCTATTGACAATATTCATTCTATAGCTCTTCTGTAAACACAACATCTTACCTCATGAGAATTACTCTCCGTATTTAATGCCCGTTGATCTTTTCGCCATCTTCTTCTCTCTCTTGTTGTTAAATGGTTTTGGTTTTCTGTTTCATTTTCCTCTCTGCTCACAGCTTCAAGCTCTACCATTAACCCAAAAGTAAATCATGAAGTCATTTTAACCATTTTAATAAAATTATTTCCACTCACATATTTATATAGCGCCAACACATTCTGCAGAGCTGTACAATGGGCGTTGTACTGTATTATGATAACAATGGGCATTGTACTGTATTATGACAACAATGGGTATTGTACAGTATTATAACAACATAAATTGCAGCTAGAAGTATTTGAAAGTGAAAAGAGGTCAATATGATTGTGAACTTTTAGTGTCACAAATTCGACCTACAGAGAGCTTTAGCATTAAAACATATTACTTTGTGTATCTACTGGAAACATCTAGCAGAGGATTTTACAAATTTCACTAGGAACAAGATTATTTTTCCTTCCTAATTGTTGGCGATTTTAGTTACATTGAATGCAGAATTATTCTAAATAATTCCAAAATTGTTCAAAGATACACATTTAGATCTATGATAACCAAACAGAACATGTGCATGTTTATATAGGTATGAAGGTATATGTGTAGACATATGTGGTTGTAGTGGCAGGTCTGTAGGAGTTAGGAGGGTGTGTGTGAATGCTTATTGAAGGTAGGTGCAAAATGGAGGGCGGGAAGGAAGCATCGCTGTAATGTGTCATTTATTTTTAAAGTTGCCTCACAAGGTGACTGGTACAAATGCGCTATACATTATCTACAAGCTCATGGGTTACCAAACAAGGCACATATATTGTGACAATCTTAAGCTCCTCTATTAAAATACAAAAAGGTGCTGGACAATATCAATAGGACATGAGTTGTGTCTGTAAAATCTAGTGAGGCAGAGGACAACACTTGGGAGTATCTGTTTAACTTGTTACGAGTATGATAGTCACAGTCAGCTAGATACACACTGATAGGCAGGTTAACCCTGTACCTGCCAAGCTTACAGGTGATGGAGGTTAAAAGGTACACACCTCCATCCACATGTGGTGGCACTGTCCCAGAGTCAGGGAGTTCTGGGAAGGAGTGGTAGACTTGAGCTCCAAAATCTTGCAGAGATGGGTTGAACTCAACCCGTGGTCATGTCTCCTGACCAGACCCACAGATGGCCTGACCAGGCACGAACAAAATCTTTCTTAATATGATCTATTTAGCTGCCCGCAGTGCACAAGCACAAAAATGGATGTGCTCGGAAGTGCCCCCTCTCTCACTAGTCCTACACAAGATTAGGGATAATTGCCTAATGGATAGACTAACGTCAATGATCTGCAACTCCTCTAAGTCCTTCTTCAAGGTGTGGGATCTGTGGGAACAATATGAAACCGACTACACGTAGTGTACGGGGACAAACCTACTAAGCAGCATAGTTTAAATTATAGAAAAACATACATACATAAGATGGAGCTTCTTGTATAAACGTACGGTGAGTGTCTGCAATACTATAAATACAAAACACAAATAGCGCAATATTGCTATCACAGAAATTAACCATAGAGAGGCGTATATGGTGTCACTCACAAGTCAAGAGTCATAAATCACATGACTCAGATGGTAAACGCTTGTGGACAGTTCTTAGGATGCCCAATCCTTTCTTTTGCTCACGATTCTGCTGGAAACCTGGTTCCTTTGGAAGTGGTGCTGGTCATCCAATGCTCCCAATGTAAATATAGGGTACCCCAAACACCTCATCTCGGATGAAATCAAAACATTTGAGATGATGGTGATGAAAGACATAAGAAAAATGAAACCTCTTAACAAATCCCAACAAAATATGTCAATTAGGGAGAAAAAAGCTGTAAAAAAAAATAAAAGAAAATAAAGAGGTTATTATCAAACCGACGGTCAAAGGTGGGGGAATAGTAGTCCTACAAAGGGAAAATTATATACAAGAAGCTGAAAGGATACTCTCAGACCAACTAGATAAAGGTTTTAGGAAAGGAATTTTAAATGAAAAAGAAGCTAAATATTTATCCACACCTCACCCAAGGACACCAGTATACTACCATCTCCCTAAAATTCATAAAAATAAAGATAATCCGGGAAGACCGATTATTTCAGGCATAGATTCAATTTCAGCAAAAGTGTCAATATTTGGACAATTTATTACAACCAATAGTAATACGCAATCCATCTTATCTAAAAGATACTATCCACATCCTAAAACTTTTAGAAGAGATTGTATGGATGGATGGTAATTTTCTAGTCACTTGTGATATATAGTATATATATAGTACTATATAGTATCATCCCCCATGATACAGGGTTAAAAGCGGTCCAGCATTTTTTAACTAAATCCAATTTTAAAATGGAACAAATTGAGTATATTTTAGAAGGCATTAATTTAATCTTAAATAATTTTTTTGGGTTTCAAAACACATTTTATTTGCAGATTCGGGGAAAAGCGATGGGCACTAAGTTCGCTCCAAGTTATGCCAACTTGTTAATGGCCTACTGGGAGGAACTGTGTGTTTTCCAGGGGCACTCATGGGGAGCGAGCTTGGTGTCCTACTGCCGTTTCATTGATGATATATTTTTCATTTGGACAGGCACAGACCAAGACTTGGACCTTTTTTAAAAAACATCTTAACAATAACGAATGGAACGTAGTTTTAACGGCACAAAAGAGTACAGAGGGAATTAATTTCCTCGATCTAGAAATCTATATTAAAGAATCACGCATTGGTACTAGGAACCATTTTAAGGAGGTGGATTCCAACGGGTATATTAAGAAAGAGTTGGCACCACAAACCATGGTTAAATAACGCCCCTAGAGGACAATTTTTGCGCATTACACGCAATTGCTCAGATGATCAAGATTTTGTAAATCAAGCAAATTGAATAAAAGGGAATTTTTTGGAGAAGGGATATGAAGAAGGAATGTTGCAAAGCGTTTTGGAAGAAGTTCTCGTCATTCCCAGAAGAAGTCGTCTTATTTATCAACAGAACAAGAAGGAGAAATGGAACAAAAGCGATATCCCCTTCATTTGTAGTTTTAATGGTAATAACAGGAAAGTACATAAAGTTATAACAAAATACTGGCATATTTTACAAGATGACCCAACCCTCAAAGCAATTCTTCCAACCAAACCCTCACACAGAGTAGTTTAAGAAATAAAAACCCCCAGTGATAGTTTCTTAAAGCAAAGTAAAGGTTTTTATGGCTGTGGATCTTGTCTAGCATGCAGAGGGACAAAAAGTAAGAAAAGGCACATATTAAACTTAGAATCATATACTAATACAAAATTTGAAATTAAGGACCATCTTTAATGCCATGCTAAAGGAGTAATATACCTCCTCAAATGCCTGTGTAATCTTTTATATAAAGGAAGAACGATTCGCTGCCTTCACATAAGAGTAGCAGAACATGTGAGAAGCATTAAAAAGGGGTTAGAGTCACATAGCGTGTCTAATCATTTTAAGTTAGTTCATAATCAAAACCCAGAAGGCCTCTTCTTCTGTGCAATTAAACTTGTAAGAAAAGACTGGAGAGGAGGCAACTACACGAAGAAAATTGGAATAGAGGAGATGAAATGTATATTTAATTTGAACACGTTAATCCCCCATGGTTTAAATCAAGATTTCGAGCTATGTCATTTTATCAACTGACCCCACATTATTTTAATATTATTTAATATAGAAGTGCTTGATAGATATTATTCACTTTTTTATTTAGTTAATATAGCATTTTAGATTCTTGCATATACCCTTTTATGTCAATACTATATTTTAGAACCTCCCAATAGAAACCAAAAGGAAGAGAAAGAATTCATTTTTATATATTTATATTTTTATTCACTTATTTATTGCACTGTGGTGGCATGTTTTATATTGTGTTTTTCTGTTTAAGTCTCATAAGGAATGCAATCAGTATACATTTATATGTGCTTTTACATTTATATTATTTTAATATATTCTTATGGTCATGATACCACTGTAAGATTTTTTGATATGGTTTTAAAGAATACCATTGTAAGGTTTTTTGATATGGGTTTTAAGAATACTAATTTCCTTTCTTCTTTTTTGAGCTGCCTCCTGAATGTTACAGATGGCAATATGAATGGTGAAGCCCCATTCTGCTTCTCTTATAGGGATGGGACTAAGAAGTTGATCATGTTATGCAAATCCATTTTTATACATAATAAATAGCCCAATTTCGGCTGGGACAGAAACTGGAAGCGGTAAGAAGGTGCAACGCATGTTGCGTTCCTATAACCTATACCGCCGAAACCCTGAAGTAATTTAGAGACATTCCAAGTGAAAGCGGAAGGACGCAAATAAGATAATGGAATGCACGTTGCGTTCCAACACCGAACAGCCAGAACCCGGAAGTTAGAGACTAATAAACCATTTAAACAAGCCAAGCAAGGAGGAGAGACATCACTAACCAACTGAGGAAGCCCATTTAAGGGAGAAACGCGTTTTGGACATTTATTTGGACATTTGTTCCTGGTATTTATATTTATTCTATATCAACTTTATTATTTTTTAGTTTTCATGTGTTAGGGATCACCAATAAAGGTATATTACTTATGAGACCTTGGCTGTGGTACCCTATTTTTACATTGGGAGCACGGGATGACCAGCACCACTTCCAAAGGAACCAGGTTTCCAGCAGAATCGTGAGCAAAAGAAAGGATTGGGCATCCTAAAAACTGTCCACAAGCGTTTACCATCTGAGTCATATGTGATTTATGACTCTTGACTTGTGCGTGACACCCTATACGCCTTTCTATGGTTCATTTCTGTGATAGCAATATTGCGCTATTTGTGTTTTGTATTTATATTATTGCAGACACTGACCGTACGTTTATACAAGAAGCTCCATCTTATGTATGTATGTATGTTTTTCTATTTATCTTGTAGAAGTGGTTTAGGGGTTACCACTCAAGGTGTTTGAGCTTCACTTGATACTCTGTTCACTCCATATTGTGTATCTATCTATCTATATAGTTTTAATTATAGTTTATGTTACATGTTAAATAAACACAGTGTGACTGAACGGAAAACCGATGGGCACCCTTTATACAAGGCCATGGATATATGATATGACGCTGTGCCACGGAAACAGTTCTTGTATGTCAACCGCTATGTACCACTGTTTTGGCTGATTTGGCTTTGACCATTGTCAAAGCAAAAATTAGGAATTAAAAAAAAAAAAAACCAAAAAAACTCAACAAAACACTTTTGGCAACATAATCGGAATTAAGTTATGGTGCAAGGAGTTCATAGACGCTGGCTTACTTTCACAGGTTAAACCGGTAATGAATGCTTTAACCCTTAAGTCTTCATTCTGGCACAAGTCAGTTCTGACCATTCAGGCTGCGGCTTGAATCAAAAAGTCTTGGACCATGGCATGGCATGGCTGAGAATGCCAAGCTTATGCTCTCAGCCTGTCTAGGTAACCATTCACAAAACAGTTTTGCATCTCTCAATCGGCAAGCCTTGGACTGAAAAAAAGTTAAGTATCAGCGTTGACGGGTGCTGGACTGAAGACTTTGGGGTTAAACTGGGACCAATTCGCATAGTGATGAAGTTACTTTCAGAGGGATTCAATTCCCAGAAGTTAACCTTAAAAACAGCCGCTGCATTCTGCTGCACAGACCTCAGCTGTGACAAACTATTGTGTTAAATTATTCATAATTTAAAAAAATAAAATAAAAAAATGTAAAATCTTTTTTCCCTCCACTATATGTAATTGGTCTACAATTTGCTTCTGTAGCCGCTATGTTAAATGGTCCAGCAAACGAGATCAAAATCTTGGTACCAAGATCCATTTCTGGATCTCCATGGTGATCTATGCCTGACATTCTGCAAGGATGATTTAAATCAAAAACAAAATGCTGTACAAACAGTTGTGTAGTGAGATAGCTTTTGGGCCTCGCTAGAAGGTTAATCAATATTCTGAGCCCTGTGTTAAACATTTATATAAATAAGATGCTTGAATTATTAAGTACTTAATACATGCAAAACAAATTACATAATATGACTAGTGCAACGTTTTACCTATCTTATAATTAAACAGGTCACAAAAAAGACATAGGCTAAATCTCACCTGTCTTTGTCTGACAATTCACAGTATTTTCAGTGCTTGGTACACGGATTCTCCTGGACAGTTCCTAATTAAAACACACCGGATAACCAATTACAGTCCACTTGCTTTATTTGGGAGGGGGACCTACCAGAGTTCATTCATCTAGACATATACTGCTCACGCCTATGTCTATTTTTCTTTTTGTGTTTCTATTTTTCAAAGTTATTAGGACTTAATGAACAGATAGCTACTTCACCATATTCTTCCAATGTTTAGCTAATAGAGGCTAAATGGTTGCTAAATCATTGAATAGAAAAAAACAAAATAAATTACATGCCTAGACTGAGTGGGTATTGTGTTATATTAAATGTTTCAATACATTATAAAAAAATAAATAAAAAAAATTAACAAAATGGTCAGTTCCCTTATTTTATCTTTAATATGTTGGACATTTTTGCCAAAAACAAAATAAATAAAATGTATGTGGCCCCTTTAGAATGATAACGAATATACATACACACATTTAGTTTGTACATATATATATTTAAATTCTATTATAAAATTTTCTTACAAATGCAATAGTATTTATGTATAACCATATGACCAATTTTTAGGTCTATTCATATAGCGAAATGGTGCATTTATATGGCCCCAACATATTCCACAGTGCTTTACAATTTTGGAAAGATATTTACGAGGTAAAGGTGGCCCTGCTCAAACCAGCTTACAATCTATGAAGATTTGGGGTTGGTGGTTCTATATATGAATAATGCAACTAGTGGTGAGGCGGTCTGATTGGGAACTAGGTTATCTAGTACTAATTCAGTGGCCTTATCACTGGTCTAACCAGCTGATAAACACATCTATATGAAAAGGGTCATCCCTGATGTGAAAATGGCTAAATTGAGCTTATTTTCTAGTGGATTAACAAAGTATATCTGGCCATGCATGGATATCTGTACAATTAATTAAAGGCCATGTTTGGAATATCTGGATGCTTCTACACACACTTGATGCATATTGAGTAGGGGAAAATAATGCAAAGAGCGGCTGTAAAATGTTTTAGGAATAAAAGGAACAGAATTTTTTCTTTACCATTACAGCACTGGACTGACCCAGGTAGCATCTCTCGTGGCCATCTGAAGAGTGGCCACTGGAGGTGTTCCTAGGCTGTAATGTAACACTGCCTTTTCACTGAAAAGTCCGTGTTTACATCAAAATGCCTGTATGGACATACTATACTCACCAGAACAACTAGAATAGGCTGGAATTGTTCTAATGATTCTAGTGTCCCTTTAACTGAACTCATTCATTCAAAATGAATAGTTTCGAATGTCAGTGGCTTTTGACGTAGCAAAGGTTACAGGTGTTAGTGGTAACAGGAATAAAACGTTAATGTTTCCAGTTGGATTGTGACCATCAATACAAACCCGAGAAAGTACAGAATATTTCAGTAATTTCTCTTAAATGTTGCCACTCACCAAGGAGGGTCAAGGAGTTTTGTCGACAATACAGTTAAATGAATGCTCACCAGATTTTCAGTTGGTTGATCCTTATATAGCCTCTCGATTCCATCTTCCTCTTTACTTTTCGCTTCAGATGATGTAGTAGCATCACTTTGTTTTCCCAGTGTTTTTTCTGCTTCTTTGAGGTCAGTAAGCGTGACGCCCTACCAAGAGGTATATATAGAAATGTATCAGGGCAAGGATGAAGGCTCCATTTATCACTGCAGACACATGATGATTTGCAATACAGATGAAATCCAGGTGCTGTAGATGCACCTGCCCTCACTACTACATTAGAGCATCTTAAAAATAAAACGTCAGGGGCTACATATATCAACTTGAGCTTTGAGGCAGTTATTGCTTAGAATAACATATTCCCACCTACTTTAAACTGATTAATACAATTAAAAATATAAATTTCACATTTTCATGTTATTACTTTGCAACTCATCCACTTTGTATATTTCCAAATATTAAATTATGTGGGTATTTGTGTGAGTCTGTAAGCAGAAGTAATACGTTCTTGTATTGACAGTGACAAACACTCAAAATACTGAAAGTAAAAGAAGAAATGCACAGCACGTCTCATTTCAATCTTGATTAAAAAAAAAAAAAAAAAACATGACAACTGGAAATACCATTAATACAATCATGTAAATGGGTGAAACTCCACAAACAGCAAGCTCCAGATCAACATGGCAACAAAGTGAACTCTGAAGCCCAGATACTATTCTGGCTTTGTATGATTTATTGTTACTGTACATCATATTTCTTTGATTTTAACAGGGGCTGTACATCATATTTCTTTGATTTTACCAATCCAATAGCAAAGCATTGGATTGGCTGAGATTGTCAACTCTGATGATCTCAGCCAAAGAGGTGGCCCCGGGAGGGTGCCAAACACAGCCCTGGACAATCAGCATTTCATTACAGAGATGCAATGAATCAATGCACCTTAGTGAGGAAAGATCAATGTATCCATGCAGAGGGTGCAGCAATGCCCCAGGAAGCACCTCTAGTAGCCGTATGATGAGTGCCACTGGTGGTGTTCCTAGGCTGTAATGTAAACACTATAAAAAATTAACCCAAAGTACACCAAAAGTTACTGCACATAGAACGATATATTCATATAATGAAATTGTTGCAGTTATGTGTATGCTTTGCACTTTTTGCATGTTTGTTTTGTACATTTGCACTTTGTATTTATACATTTACAATTTCATTATATGAATAAAGTCTTTCAATGTGCAATAACTTTTGGTGTGCTTTGGGTTTATTTTCTATGATATTTATGGACCTGATGGGGTAACAGGTTTTTCTAATTAAGCACCCAACACTCCCGTAACTGCATGCTTCACTAAATTAAACCATATCAGTTGAGCGTTTACTATAATACTGTATGCATGTAATGGGAACACTTTGTTTTCTCTGAAAAGACAGTGTTCACAGCAAAAAGTCTGCAGGGACTTACTATACTCACCAGAACAACTACATTAAGCTGTAGTTGTTCTGGTGACTATGGTATCCCTTTAACATATTAGCCATGTTTACCTGATCCTGTATCACCGGCCCTACCATGTTGCGTTATCTGTCTGCAATTAAGCCTTCCCATACTGTTCAGTCACTTTTATAAATTGTATATTGGGGACATTTTGTCTATTGGCCAATTAAGAATTAAATTTAAAAAACTGAATATTTAGGGTGGGCATTTAGTGTAATGAGGGTCATTATACGGGTCATGTGATTTGGATTCCAGGTGGAACACAAAGCTAAAATGAAATTCTTTGTAAAACCATCATGGGCTACAGAGTTGTCGCCTACGGTCCATTTTGGTTGTCTGTAAGTAATAAAATGATTTAAATATATAAATAAAATGAACAGACTAATAAGTCAGATCAAGATTACCTGTGTGGATCGTCTCGACCGCCTCAATTCCCGTGAACGAGCTTTTCGTTGAGCCTCTGATTCTTCATCACGAGCTCGTGTCTGATATGACCTGTTGAGAATAGTAGTGGTTACTTGATGTTACAATAGGCGAATAAAAGAGTAAACTTACATACGTGGTTCAATTAACCCTACTTACAATACTTACCAAGTTTTAACTTTGATAGTTAACATATGAGCACCATAATTTCTAAAATGTTGATTTGTACTGAGCTAAAAACCAAATTGCAAAGTTGTATTAAACAATTTGAAAAAGTTTACAGCTATTTTGTCATGAAATTTCTCAGCTTAATTTTTGGTTTGCTTTTTATTTTAATGCACCTAAGCATTACTATAAACTATATATAACAATTCCCCCCCCCTCCCCTTCACCCAAAACACTTAAAAGAACACTGCATTGAAACGGTGGTGATTTTAGTAGATATACCCCCAAAGAAAACATGCATATATTTTTTCCCTGGGGGGGAGGGGGAAATCAAAATTTAGCAAAAGTTCTATATCTGCTGACTGCAGGGTTGCAAGCCCTCCCTCCTCTTTCCCAAGCACAGATTTTTAGCTTAACTGCTTTATGGCTTTGTGTGCAGAGTGTTCCTTGAAAGGGATATTCTAAACTCAAAATACAACAGAGCAGCATTGCAATGAGCAGTGAGACTGCAAGGCATGCTCTATACACCAAAACCACTTCATTAAGTTGAAGTTGTTTGGTAGTTACAGTGTTTCCATAAGGTGTTTTTCTTCTATAGTATTATTCACTAAAATGGAAGTCTGCCTGGAACTGGCTAAGGATTCGCAAAGCTAAGGTCAAGAGAGTGGAACTGGATAAGTAACCAAATAGAAAATTTTTCCAATTAATCTACTTAGACATAAAAGTTTGAGTTTCCTGATCAATTCTTGATAATTACATTTGTAGTGGATGGCCATGCAACCCAAACAAACTGGCAGCTCATTAACAGACGTTTCCCGAAACCCATTTTACGGATCCAAAACCAAGACTATGATAAACCTGCTGGATACAGAGTTTGAAAATCCTAAGCATTAGCTACGTTTACCAAGAGAACTACTTGGTTTTTCTGAAATCTAGATCATTGCTCAACCAATGATATATAAACGTGTCATAAATGTTGGTGTGCATATGCATTAAATTGCCTAAACAACAATAAAACAAGGTGACAAAAAAAAATATCTACTACTGGTCACAAGTGGCTAAACCATCAGAGGAATTGGAGTTAAAGGCTGAGGAGAAGAATTAGAAGAAGACCATGCATGTGAGAAGAGCCTTACCTTCGTTTGTCTTTGGGGTCAGTGCTGCCGCTCGTACTGGAGGACGAGGTGGAGGAAGTGGCAGTCATGCTGGAGAAGGTGTTTGTGTGCAATTGTGTGGTGGGAACCATGTCAAGTCTCATCTGTAGTCCACCTTCTATGCCTCTAACAGAATGACCGAAATAAAGTTTGTATGGATTGTTTTTTTTGCGTTGGAAGGAAAGTATTCACTTCAGACTTTACAATCCATTATTATTTTTTTATTCCTAAAACTTTTTTTCCTGCTTCCTTTTTCTTTTTTTTTTTAAAGAAGTTAGCACAGGTTGAAAAAATGATATGGTTTTGAGTGAGTTTGTGGAAAAGGTCTACAGAAAAACAGAATAAAGTCAAAAGGACAGTAGATGTTAAGGGCTCGGTGGATGTAATAAATGTGACCATGAGGTATTATCAGTGATTGAGATGGACGGGCTTTGTGGCAATACTCACTCTCTCTTGGGTTCTGGCACAGGGGCAGTTTCGGGAAGGGTGAAAAATCTTCTGGATGGAGTTGGCTGAACCCTTGCCAAGAGGGGCTCCTTAGTCTAGGAGAAAGAAAAGATTAAATAAAAGTTATGTATAGTGATTGCTTATATGGTCAGATTAATAGACTTGACATTTTTTATACATATTTCCTAGAGATGAGGTCAACAAAGGAAGATCAAGGTTGACAGTCAATGCTCTAATGCATAAAACACAATATACAAGCTAAAGGTAGCTTACCAGAAACAAGCTCAACAAATCAATGTTGGTCTATAGCATCTGCTCCTATCACACACATTTCTGTTCAGCACGAGTGTCTGGGAAAAGTAGTTTATCCCCAGTTTCAAACATCAAATAATAAGGGGGAACTGCTGATTGGACGGAGGGCAGCCCCACTACTGAGAGTGGATGCACTTTAGGGAAAATTGAGAAGTTGGGAGGCTGCCAAGTATGCAGTTTTAAAATTTCCAAATTACATAAATACCTTAGCGTAGTGTAGATAAGGTTATTTTGGCATAATTAGCCATGTTCCCTAAACTCTAGTAGAAAAAAAAAAAAGTAGGACTCTTGACAGGATCCACTTTAGGAGGCGGTTACCTTATATTTACATTCCCTTGATGCATGTTTACACAAGAGACTAAAGTCTAATGACGAGCCTGTCCATTAAAACAATTTGTACTGTTTACCATTGTTCGCATATGAAACTGCCGAAGATAGACAAGCGCCCCAAAGAAAATGATCACAAAAATGTCCAGAAGCACTTCAACATTTTTGGTTTTAGGATGAGGTTTTATGAACACGAGCAATAACTTGGCTTCACTATCCAACATGGCTCCATGCCCACCCAGAATGGGACGACATTTAATAGTTATAGAATTCTATAGGAAGCCATTTTCAAGGTAATGACTGTTCAAAGTAAATGCTTTAATTTCTTTCCTTTTTACATTGTAAGTGTTCTCAGTCTTTATGAGACATGCAATATTCTCATAAACATCTTCGAAACACAAGTGCTTTCTTAACCAGCTATGTGTTACAAAGCTATTTAAAGATAAAAGGCAACAAGCTGTAAATGCAGTTACCATGTTTCCATCTCTATACAATCAACATAATCAGAATGAACTGCTCACCCTCTCTTGGGTGTCGAGTCGAGGGCTGGAAGCAGAACGCTTGATTCCATGCTCTTTGGTGTTACTGTCCTCTAGCTTGGCGTCTTGCAGGACTCCAAAACTGCCAGTTTTCCGTAAGCCTGCTCTCAAGTTGTACAGGGATTGCTCACCTTTATCTGTGATGCCGCTTGGTGCCTCAGTGAACTAAAGACATAAAAGGAGGAGGATATTTTGGGAATTTTCTCTAAGCATATCTAGTGTTGAATACCATTTGCCACACAATCATATGCTATACAAAAGCTAACACATCGATAATTAACTGCAATATGCAAGAAACAGTCCAAAAATATAATATAAATAAATCTTTTTAATATATAAAACTTTATAAACGATTATTCAGCAATTATGAACATCCACAAATTATATATATATATTACTAAAGACATAAAAAGTAAGCATGACTTAAAGGACCACTATAGTGCCAGGAAAACATACTCGGGAAGGCTTAACCCATTCATAAACATAGCAGTTTCTCTGAAACTGCTATGTTTATTAAAAAAAAATGGGTTAACCCTAGCTGGACCAGGCACCCAGACCACTTCATTAAGCTGAAGTGGTCTGGGTGCCTAGAGTGGTCCTTTAAGGTAAAGGCTTGACTTCAGTCACTGAAAATATAAGTCATGATTATGTACAAAGCATGCCTTAAAATGGTAGCGAGAAATTTCAGATGTGAAGAAGTGCACCATGGGAAAGAAAAATACAATTTGTGCTCTGTTGTATATGTGCAACGCTGCAGGTGAAAACAATGACTTTGGGCAGAATAAAATGGAAATGGGGATCAATTACACACTTATTTGAAACAATTTTCAGTGTTCAAGGGGATCTGCTTCCACTCTATAGCAAAAAGAGGATTTGTTTCTGCCGATTGGAGATGCAGCACTATGGTAGGCTATACAATTTATAGAGGAGTGTGTTAAGAGTAGTCATAATATCTTTAGCTGTCCAAAAGAGGAAACACAACAATTTATCATGTGAGCCACACCTATACAAACTATAATAGACAATGACACATTTATAATTTGTGTTCTACAATACATTGATAAACAGGTGGATTTCTAAATATCTACAAACTAATAGCAGATAGGAAGAAAACTAGAGAGGAATTATAGAAGAAGGTACTAAAAATTAAAGCACAAATACACAGTAAATTCATATTATAACAAACAGCATTAGCTACACAATTCAATTACTGAAGTGAAGGCAGGAAAGCAAAATAGAATATATATACACACACTTTATTCTCTTACTTTCTTGTTGTTTTTTCGAAGCGGGAGAAGTAGAAGCAAATAGAAGAAAGAAGCTTATGCAGGTGTGTAGATTGCTAGTAACAAATCAAAACACTTGCCTGCAAACATCAGGTACAGCACTCAAGAAAAAGGATGTAAAATAAAATGGCTATTGGTACACAATAAAACTGAACCCCCAGATTGCCACTAACTGCATAGAGTGACCCTGTGACCTTCACTGCCAAAAAAATTTACTTTAACAAAATGCTAAACTGACTATTTACATAGAACAAAGTAAGATCTTAGATGGGCACGCTCTGAAATGGAGAGCTCAATGTGAAACCAAAATGGGTTTCTGAGAATTAAGACAAAAATAATTACAAGAAATTACAGTTATGATGGTCACTGGGTTCTTAACGTGGTGAAATAAAAATAGTTTGATGATCACTCACTTTGTGGCCCAGGACTGTGCCGATCTCAAGAGGTTATAATATTTGCATACGATTAAAAAGGTATAATCAGGCTTTCTGATTTTGTAATTAATAGGTATAGTTGCTATTTTTAATGGAACTCATTAATGTAAAGGTGACAGGTCCACTTAAAACTCAACTCCTATAACATCCTTCAAAAAGCGTACACCCATTAAACACACTTTTTTGTAATTTCACTGAATATATTTAAATTATTGAAGTAGTTCGGTAAAGTTTTTGTACATGACAAAGTGTAAAAAAAAAAAAAGGGTTTTTTTTTGTCTTCAAAATGTATTTAGACTTATCGCTATTGCTATGTAAATATGGGAACTATTGCAAATCACATGCCGATACCACGACACTGTCATGTCGAACTTTCCTTTCTTTAAACACTTTCTTTCTTCTCTCCCTCTTTCAGGACGTACTTCATTTTTTCCTGTCTGCTCTAGTTTTCTTTAAAACATCAGACAAAGTAGGGGCTACTTTGTCTTGAGGTTTCCTACGCCTGACCAGCAGAGGAGCAAAATGTGCTCCGTTTCCTGTGGCCAGAGAATTTTTCCCACAATTCTCCGTAATCTCGCGATGCTTCCTGTCAGTATTCCCAAACGTCCTGTCATTTAGACAGAACGCCAGTGAAACTACCGAATTTCGTCCTAACAGAATGAGAACAGTTTCTCCATTCGTGTTAGGACGCAATTTGGGATTTTGTTCAGATTGGATTTTCATTCAAATGAATGAAACGCTGATCCTATTCGTGCCGCAGTTGCATTTTGCAGCCGCTTAGTACATAACTCCCTAAATCCCACGGTATCAGGGAGCTTTCAGCCCAATTTACTAATACTAAGTAGAGATTACTTGGTATTAGTAAATTCTGCCCCTACTTGCTATATCGCGAGTAGGTGCATGTCTACTAAACAGTGAGCAGCCAGTTGTTGCTCACTTTTAATAAAAACAAAAAAACAAATCTTCGTATACCCCCTCCCGAGCCGTGCGAGTGGGGGCTATTAAACTGAAGGGGAGACCTATTGTCCTTCCCCCCATCCCCCAATAGGTGTCCCCCCCCTCCCACCCATTTTCATTTGGGCCCTCCACCCGCTGCTCATGGGCTCTGGCCGGGGAGGAGATTAGACCCCCCTCATTTTCATTGAGCGGCCGGTGGGGGCCAAGGGGGACCTTATGTCCCCCATTTAGTTGAATAGCCCCCACTCGCTGGCCACGGGTAGGGGCTTGGGGGGACTCTATGTTCCCCCCCCGCTAGTTAATAGATGCCCCACCATGGCGCCATTTGTTTGAGGGGGGTTATTTTTACTCGTGGCATGGCAAGTAGGGGCATTTGGGAGATTTTAATCTCCCTTATGCTATTATGGGGGTCATATTGACCCCTATAGAGTGAGGGAGGTCATGGGGGGCTTAGGAAGTCGCTGGGAGCACTGCTTCGTGACACTTCTATTTTTACATATTACAAGGAGGGAGCTCCTTCCTTGTAATAAACTAAACGAACAAACACTGATATTCAGTGTTTGTTTATTCGTCTGACATTTCTATTAATTAATTTGTCTGACAAATGAATGAATAGATGAAATTCCCGTTTGAATGCCCAAGTGTTTACCTGGGCATGCGCAGGAATTTCACAGCGCTACCTAGTGTGGGCAGATGACGTGTCGCACAAAGATGGCGGCGCCCAGGATTTAAGTCCGGGCAGAAAATATAAAGATTTAAAAATATTTGTGGGTGACTAGAGGGACAATTAGACATAGTGGAGTAGGGAGGAGGGTTTAAAAAACAAAACAAAAAAAAAACACAAAAAAACCCCGGGATTCGGCCATGACCGTGCCGCTTTAACTGACCATCTCATTTGACTTAACTGTGCTAAACATGCAGTGGATGCCAACATTCTGACTGCTTTTGACAACCTTTAGAAAGAATACCCAGAGCGTAAAATAGTCCCTACTTTAGTTTTAGTTATTGATAACCTAAACACATTTTGAAAAAACAAAAACAATCGCCAGATATTGAAAAATATGGTTATTGGGCTAAAAAAAAGTAAAATAATATGGCAAGGGCCATTTTAAAGTTTTGAGCACCAATTATTTTCACGCAAATTATGAATTGTACAGCAATGCAGCTAATGTTATACGATATAAATATAGCCGTCAAGTATGCGTTGCTCAGAAAGATGCAATGCATGCTTCACATACACATTTCACAAGGATGGTGGATCCATTCAACTGTTAAATGGGGAAAAACTACCAAGGTGACAGAAGAAACACTAACACTGAAATAGTTAATAACCAGGTGGAAAAGCAAATACATTCCTCATCTGATTATCACTAATCACAAATAAGGGAAATGGCAGATATTTTTGTAACTTAAAAAAAGGTAACGAAGAAGAAGAAAAGGAAGGGAGAAAGTAATACAAGAAACAAAAAACAAAATGGGACACACAAGCATACACAACAAACAAGGCAAATGATGCTCACCGCAGCTTTTTGGCCTCTCTGGGGCACCAGAATGATGCCGGTTTTGCGTAAGCTCTGACGCCACATGGAGGGACCTGGTGGTCCAGCAAGGATCAAGATGGGAGTGACAAAGGTAAGAAGGGGCTGACGAGATGGAAGGAGAACCACAAGCAGACACCCATATGTGATCACGCAAACAAAACAAAAATAAATAATATATATATGGATGGAGAGGGAGGTGGATTTTGAAAACCAAAAACAAACAAAAAGATGAACTCAAGCGGAAGCAAAAAGACAAAAAAAACAAAACAAAGACCAATCACCTCAGATGGAAGGGACAAGGCAGCAAGAGAAGGAATAATGAAAAGTGATTAGAGACAGAAAAGGAAAGACAAAAAGACAGAAAAGAAAATCGGTCCAGAACTAGCAATATCATCTGATGCAACGTTGGAAACAGCATAGAATGTTAAAAGAAAATCCATTAAAATGTAGAGGTTCTTAAAGCGGCACTGTAATGCGGAACGTACCTTTCCCCAATCGATTCCTCTTCTGTCCCTCTCTCAGGACATATTTAATTTCTTCCTGTCTGCTCTAGTTTTCTTTAAAATACAAGACAAAGTAGGGACTACTTTGTCTTATGGAGATTTCCTACGCCTGACCAGCTTTGACCAGCAGAGGAGCAAAGTGTGCTTAGTTTCCGGTAATCAAAGCAATTTTCCCTACAATGCTCATCTTTGATCCGTGATCTCGCAAAGCTTCCTGTCACTATTACCTAACGTTCTGTCACTTAGACAGAACGCCGGCAAAACTACAGAATTCCGTCCTAAATGAATGAGAACAGTTTGTTCGTTCATGTTAGGACGCATTTCGGGACTTCGTTCATATCGGAATTTCATCCATATGAATGAAACTCTGATCCTATTCGTGCCCCGGGTGCATCTTGCAGCCACATATTAGATAACTCCCTAATTCCCACGGTATCCGGGCGCTATAGCGCGAGTAGGGGCATGTCTAGTAAACAGCTGCTCATTGTTAAAACCCCCAGCAAAAAAAAAAAAAAAAAAGTGTCCCCCTCCCGATCTGTGCCGCTCGAGTGGGGGCTATTACACTGAACGGTGGGTGGGGGCCCTATATTATAATAAGGGGGGGAGCCTATTGTCCCACCCCCCCCCCACCCCTAAGCCGTAAATAACAATAGGGAGGAGGGGGGGGCCTTTATAAGATTTTCCCCGCCCTGCGGAGCTCAGTCTGCACAGTGCTCTTTTAGCGTTGGGTTTTTATCTCATTTAGGGCCCCCACCCACCACTCAAGGGTGGGAGCCGGGGGTGAGGACAATAGGGCCCCCCCACCACCGCTCATATGTGGGGACCGGCTGGGAGGACAATAGGTGCCCCCCTCACCCCCCATTTAGGACCCACACCTGCTGCTCATGGGTAGGGGTCATTTAGGGTCCCCACCCGCCGCTCAGGGGTAGGGGTGAGGCAATAGGTCCCCCCGTTCAGTGTAATAGCCCCCACTAGCGCAGCACGGGTAGGGGCTCGGGACACTTTTTTTGGCCACAGGCTGCTCACTGTTTACTAGACATGCCCCTACTCGCGGCACGAATAGGATCGGAAATGCATTCATATGAATGAAACTCCGATACGAACATAGTCTCGAAATGCGTCCTAACATGAACGAATGAACTGTTCTTATTCTTTTAGGACAAAATTAGGTAGTTATGCCAGCGTTCTGTCTAAGAGACAGAATGTTAGGTAATACTGACAGGAAGCATCGCAAGATCACGGATCAAAGGTGAGCATTGTGGGAAAATGGGAACTTGTGGGAAAATTGCTTTGATCACACTTTGCTCCTCTGCTGGTCAAAACTGGTCAGCAGTAGGAAACCTCCATGAGACAAAGTAGTCCCTACTTTGTCTTATGTTTAAAGAAAACTAGAGCAGACAGGAAGAAATGAAGTACGTACTGAGAGAGGGAGAGAAGAGGAATCGATTGGGGAAAGGTTAGTTCGGCATGACAGTGCCGCTTTAAGTTAAGTGTTCAACCTTCTAAAAGGGTAATTTACATTCCTTCAGAAAATCTATTCAAAGTGGTCAATGTCTGATGCATGTAAATGCCAAAGCAATGGCTAAACGAGTGGTATACCCCTTTAAAAGAACGTGACAATGGTTAGAACGTGACAATGGTTAGACTTATTTAGAACTATTACAGATCCTAATTTGCAATATATGGAGAAATGTCCTTTCCCCAAGTAGCATTCATATCAAGTAGACTAACATTACATGGTTTTGTTTAAAAAACAAACAATGCAATAACACAAACAGATATACATAAAAAATAACTGCACAATCCTCTTAATTCAGATAATGACAGAATTAGGAGCATATGTAGATCAAAGGCATAGCTTATGTAGAAACCATAGCATACTGAAAAGGGCTACAAGTTTCACTCACCAATGGCGAGAGAACCTTTTGAGCCACGTCTACGGTACATTAGTTTAATAATTCAAAGTGAAATATATAAGCTCTTGTTTCATAGTGATGTCACTAGAGGACCTTTGATATACATCGGTACCAATTTTTAGGATTCGCATTAATTGTGTTATTTGATGAGATCAATGATTACTGGTTTAATGGCTTCATTGAAGTGAGCGAATTTGCCTTTAGTTTTTCCATCCATTGTTCTAGGTTCATTTTAAAAAGGTTCCAATATGAAACTATGGTACTGTGGAAACATTTAAGAAGGGCTTAAGAGGAATTTTTTTTCTTTTAAATCTCTCCAAAGAATGTCTAGTGCCACTGCATGTTCACTTGTGTGCCTGGACCATAATTTTGTTTTATTATTGGAGTGGGGCTAGCCAGCCAAAGGTCTGGCAGCACAAAGACCATAATAAGAGTGCAGTTTCCTCTTTCTTTTTGATACTGCATTTTCTCAGGTATAACCAAATTAGTTGCAAATATAAATAGCCAAACAACCTAATAGTTCAGCAACCTGAGAAGGATAAAGGCAAAGCTGATCCTTGTGTTGGTGGTGGAAGGGGGAGGAAGAACCTACACTCCAGATAATTAAACAGCTGCTATTAGTTATACTTTCTTCCTCAAATTCTCGTTGTTAGGAATATTATTTTTTATGCATGTATATATATTTAAATCAGTAACTATAGTGCTATGCACTAAATATATATTTAGATATATATATTTTTTACATTTAAGATTTGTTTTCAGCTCAACTACTAGTATGTGTCCATTCAAGAAGAAAAGAACAAAATGCTAATTTATGTAAACCTAAAATATATTGAAATCATCTGTAATAATTGAATTTATGAACAATGAATTTGACAGTAAATGGTTATAGGAAACAAAAATATATATTTAATGTTTCCTTACCTTTGCCTTTTCATCCGATGGAGATGTGCTCACAGTGCTGTTTTGTGGTTGAGGTAACAGTCCATTTTCATTTACAATTACAGTGTTCTTAACATCTGGTGGGGAAATAAGCAACAAACTAAATTCTGAATTGAGCTTTCATTTACTTTCTCCCACACAGTCTGCTTAAAGGCAGTCCAAAACAAGAGTTGTAGTCCAATATGTGGTCTGATTATAAGACAGATACTATTTATAGGTAATAGAAAAAGGAATAAAATATGGAGATGGGCAAGTCTTAACTTGTATTCAAACAAAGCAACACAGGGAAAACTATGAGAATGGTGTAAAGAGATGCATTAACTGTGACTCACCAATAGATGGCAGCAGTGCATGGTTATGTAGCAAATAGCTTATTATAGGTTGAACAATGGTAAGACAGAAGAAAAAACAAAACAATTCTCATACCCACCTATATTCATGTTATTAGTGTATGGGGAATACAAGATTTTACTGTAGCAGTCGTTAAAGTGTAATATTATGCTCCAAAAAAGGCAAACTGGTAAAATTAGAATACTCAAATGTGGCGCTACCTTCGGGGGAGGGGGGAGGCTTCAACAAACGATGGACTTTAACTAAGTCACTTCTAATTTAAGAGGGCAGCAAGGGGCTGAAAAATAAAGTCTGAAATAGTGCTGCTAGTGGCTTTCTGCCATATAAAGCATCGATGATTCATGGAAATTATTGTGAATTCAAGTAAGGTAAGAATTTTTTTTAAAACCTATACATTTGCTGGTGGTTATCAGGACACTGTATAGATTAAATGTACATATCTACCTCAAACTGACATGGCCATTCATTTGTCCAATGGATAACAGAGTCCTTAGAGATGAGATGGCATAGTTCAATGCATGCCTGTTTTCACTGGTGTATAATTACTAAATGGTTTTTGTAGGGGAGTGTCCCTCTAATAATGATGGGCCTGTAAAGCCCCAAAAATTTTTTATATATATATATATATATATATATATATATATATATATATATATATATATATATATATATATATATATATATATATATATATATATATTTTAAAAAACATTGGTTTTTTTTAAATCATTGATTACATTAAACAAGGTATGGCCATATGGTGGGATTAAATGCTAATATTTATTTCATAAGATATGCAATTTTAAGCAGCCTTGTAAGATTTAAAACAAAATCTCTGTGCACTGTTTCCTAATGTGTATTATGCATATATTTTTTTTCTTTAAAGCATCACCACTATTAAATGGACACTGTAGGGGCACCCAGACCACTTCAGCTCATTAAAGTGGTCTGGGTGCAATGTCCCAGTGCCCCTTAGACCTGCAATGTTAATCATTGCACCTCCACAGAACCTGCAATAATTATATTGCAGGACTAAGACAGCCACTAGAGGCACTTCCTGCTTGTTAGGCGACTTTTGGTCGCCTGAGGCCCTCATGTTCTACAAGAGGACATCCATAGTCAGAAGAATCCACATAGAAGACATTGCAGCTCCGCATGCACACAACTTTGTATACCTAGCACTACAGTATCCCTATAAGAAATACAAGTTCTGACTAAGCCTCCAATCCCTTATTTCCAATAACACCTACAGCAAGCCCAGATTGGTTGGTAGTACTGTGTAGCATAGTGTATATAGCTCACTAGGCACTGTAAATCCTATATTATGAAATGTGTCCCATCTATGTTCAATAATATAACCCAAGATTAAATATTTACCAGTCACACTTACCATTTGTGGTTTCAGTTTCTTCTTCTGAACTAGATGTACTGTCTTCTTCACCAACTGTTATGGTCCCTAATGTTGTCCTCTCCTTTGACTGATCTTGCACAGAAATTTTTTCTTTGCTGCTCATTCGACACACGGAACTTCTGTATCGGAGATATGAACAAGGTGATAAAAGACACCTGAACTTTCATGATGAGCATGCCATATATGCCTTGAATCATGCACTAGTCCCCTAAATGTCTTAAATCCTTAAAGGGATACTCCAGGCACCCAGACCACCTCTGCCTATTGGAGTGGTCTGGGTGCTAACTCCCACCACCCTTAACCCTGCAAGTGTAATTATCCCTTTTTTTTTTATAAACTGCAATAATTACCTTGCAGGGTTAACTCCACCTCTACTGGCTGTCTATTAGACAGCCACTAGAGGGCACTTCCGTGTCTCTAGCACAGATTTTCAGTGCTAGAGAGTCGCTGGACGTCCTCACGCTGTGTGAGGACCTCCAGCGTCGCTCAATTCCCCATAGGAAAGCATTGAAAAGAATTTTCAGTGCTTTCCTATGGGGAGCTCTAATGCGCATGCGCGGTGCATTAGGTATCCCCGGCCGGCAGGATCAGTCTCGCCCACCGGCCGACGTAATGCAGAGGAGGAGTGGCGGCGGAAGAAGTAGCGACGTGGGACATGTCGCTGTCTCTGGTAAGTGACTGAAAGGTTTTTTACCCCTTCAGCAACCAGGGATAAGGAGGTGGGAGGGAGAGTGGACCTGCAGTGCCAGGAAAATGGATTGTTTTCCTGGCACTGGAGTTTCCCTTTAAGATGAATACCTGGTAATAGTCATGCACAGAGCTTTCTTATATCTGTGCTGATCGGCACAGGTTCGAACAGACTGAACTGACAGAGTAGGGGTTAAGGTCTGTTCTTCAACTTCTGATTTAAGAGAAATCAAGACATTTGCTAACACTTCTGCTAGCACTATATATAGATGGAATTTGACTCTCAATCAATTAAGAAAGAGTTGCATTTGACATGACAGGTACCGTTTAAAAATAATGTTTTCAATAGTGAAATGTACAAATTGGTGTAGATCAAGTTTAGTTTTTTATCTTGAAAAGAAAAGACAAAATCAAAAATGCATGTGGATGGTACAAAACATGCTTAAAAACTATAATTAACCCCTTAAGGACTGGACTGTTTTTGCGATGTTGTACATTTGAGACCAGGAATATTTTTACACTTTTGTGGTGTTTGTGTTTGGCTGTAATTTTCCGCTTTCTCATTTACTGTTCCCATACAAATTATATATTGTTTTTTTCAGGACAAAATGGGCTTTCTTTACATACCATTATTTATATAATCTCATGTATTTTAATTTTAAAAAAATACAAAAATCTGATGAAAAATTGAAAAAAATACATGTTTTTTGACTTTTACTTGAAAAATCTTTTACTCATCTACAAAAGCGAATGAAAAAACTGCTAAATAGATTCAAAATTTTGTCCTGAGTTTAAAAATACCTAGTGTTTACGTGCTTTTTTGCTTTTTTTTGCATGTTATAGGGCTATAGGTACAAGTAGGATATTGCGGTTTAAAAACATACATTTTAAAAATTTATCAATAGTGACATTGTAACACTATTATCTGTCATAAATCTCTGAATAACACCCACATGTACATATTTTTTTTAAAGTAGACAACCCAGGGTATTCAATATGGGGTATGTCCAGTCTTTTTTAGTAGCCACTTAGTCGAAAACACTGGCCAAAGTAAGCATTCATATTTGTTTGTGTGTGAAAAAAGTAAAAACTAAATTGAACGCTAATTTTGGCCAGTGTTTGTGACTAAGTGGCTACTAAAAAAGACTGGACATACCCCATTTGCAATACCTTGGGTTGTCTTCTTTTGCAAATGGTATGCCATCATGGGGGTAATTCTCATTCCTGGGCTACCATACGCTCTCAAAGGCAACGTAACCAACCTAGCCATTTTCAATGTAAAAATATTTGACCCATATATTTGACCCTGTAACTTTCAAAAATGCTATAAAACCTGTACATGGGGGGTACTGTTTTACTCGGGAGACATCGCTGAACACAAATATTAGTGTTTAAAAACTGGAAAACGTATCACAACAATTATATCATCAGTAAAAGTGCTGTTTGTGTGTGAAAAATGCAAAAAAGTAACTTTCACTGACAATATCATCGCTGTGATATGTTTTACTGTTGTGAATCACTAATATTTGTGTTCAGCGAAGTCTCCTGAGTAAAACAGTACCCCCCATGTACAGGTTTTAGGGTGTCGTAGAACGTTACAGGGTAAAATACAGTGCTAACAAATTAAATTCTCTGGAATTTCGGCCTGGGTTGGCAGGCAGGTCCCTCAAATTGCAATCAATAAAATTACTGAATTATGTAAAAATATTACATAAATACGCACGTAGAATTTAAATATATATGCATATTTATATATTTGAAGTCTACGTGTATATTTATATAATTATGTAATTTTGTATATGGACGTATGTATATTTCTTATTATTTTTATTTATTTTTATATACATAGATATATATACAAATTCATTCTAAGTGTATTTTGATATAAATATATATATATTAATTTTAAAATACAGTTAGAATAAAATTTCTTATAGATATATAATTTTTTAAATTTTTTATTATTATTTTAAAAATTTTTTATTTAATTTAAATTACTTATTATTTATATTTTATAATAATATATATATACAATATATATAGTTATTATATATATTATATATATACGTGTGTAATTTAATTATAAGTGTATTTTTATATTAATATAAGTACATATTAATATAAAAATACACTTAGTATGACATTATATATATATGATATATAGGCATATATTATATAGATATAATATATGTCTATATATCATATTTATACATATATAATTATTATTATTTTTTTATTACCATTAACTTTATTTTTTTAATTGATTTTACAGTTGCAGGGAGACTGCCTGTCAGCACAGACAGTCCCCCTGCAGGCAGCACTATGGACACCTATTGTGACCATGTGATCGCTGTGTTAAGCGATCACATGGCCACAGGGGTCCTAATCTGCCGTGGGGAGACTGTCTGGGCTGCAGGCAGTCTCCCCACAACCGGAGGAACACTGATCGCCGCCGGGGGAAGACGGCGATCAGGTAAGTAGCCCCAGACCGTTTAGACGGTTCAGGACCGTCATCGGTCGGCAAGGCAAAAATGCCGATGACGGTCCTGAACCGTCCTCGGTCCTTAAGGGGTTAAAGAAGCACTATAGTGCCAGGAAAACAAACTCTTTCCTGCCACTATGTAGTCCTTAGGTCCCCCCCACCCCCCCTCCTCCTGCCGACGTCGCATGCTCGCATTCAAACCACCCAAAGGAAAGCATTACTCCATGCTTTCCTATGGATGTCAGCATCTTCTCACTGTGATTTTCACAGTGAGAATTGCGGAAGCGGCCTCTAGTGGCTGTCAGTGAGAGGCTGGATTAACCCTCAGTGTAAACATATCAGTTTCTCTGAAACTGCTATGTTTTCAGCTGCAGGGTTAAAACAAGAGGGACCTGGCACCCAGACCACTTCATTGAGCTGAAGTGGTCTGGGTGCCTATAGTGAACAAATGTCACATTAACAACCTATGGTATTGTATAGAATAACGCATGCACACTGGTCTTAAAAAAAATATTCAACACATAGTACTGACAGATAAACTTATTGACAACAGAACTTGACACTTTCAGAGAATTAGGCACTAATATAGCTGATTAAAAGTAAAGAGGAGTGGAGGGTAGTTCAATGGAATCTCAACTCAAAGAGTTCAACTTGAACTCATAGAGGACCATGTTCCCTGTATTATAGATATATATATTCTAAAACTATATATAGTTCTTCTGAGTACATAAAAAAAATATGGTTAAATTTGCTGAAATGAATGATTTTGTTCTAAGTTAAAAATGAATGTGAAATTTGTGATTTTATTATATAGAAGGTTGCCATGCCATTCGCTGAAGCGTGACATCAATACAAATCCTGTGCCAAGTATTAAAATTGTATCGGTCATGGATAAACTTGCTTATGCTATAATAAAAGTGCACATAATTTGTTAATTTGGTTATGGGTAATTGAGAGTTTCCTAAAACCAAATGTTTTCAGTGTGGCTATATTGGACTCAAAGCTTGAAATTCACTTTGAATTACGAACGGTTCATTTTAATGAACAACACTGTGCTGTTAGCATGTAGTATTTAAACCAGCTGCATATAGCATGCAGGTCAGCCATGGGTTAAACTAATGATCAGTTAGTCTCCTGGCTATAGCAAACGGAGAAGACCTGGAATTGAAGGTGTAGCAGCTACTTTGATTCTGAACTCCACAACTGCCATCAAATTTGAAGGATGTAAAACATGATCAGCATCACACAGTTAGGCTAATAGAATACTTGGTTCAAATAATCTGCTTGTTTATTAAATTAGTTCATATGCCATAAGCTTTCCTGAAGAGATGGGTTTTAAAGCACTTCTTGAACATTGGAGACTGGGGGAGACTGATGGCGGTTGGCATGCTATTCCAATGGAAAGACTTATAGAACATACTGCGAACACTCACCTTCTGTGTTTATTGGTGTACAATGGCTGCTGTTCCAATCCAGTGTCGATCACCGCTCGCTTTAAATTTGCCTCTTTTTCACTTCGTAACTATGAGTAGATGAGAAATGGATGCAAAGATGTAAACATTTTAGACATTACAAGAACAGGATGTAACCCACATAACAGCCTACACGTTGACAATCTCACACTTTTTTTTAATGAAATCAATTTATATCCTTTTATATAATGGCAAATAAACATTCTATTCTACGTGCATCAAAAACGAGTTTATGTATGCATCTTGGTATCATTGCTTGCAGTAAAATGCAGGAGCTCAGATATACCACAAATCTTTCTAATCAACAAACAATGCATTTAAGACACAAATACATGAAATGTGGGGGGAGGAAATAAAACAAAACTCTATTCAGTACAATACTTACATCTTCCTGCTTTTTCTGAAGCTCTTCTAGAAGACTAACTACGTCTTCATCAGCAACATCATAAGCCCTCTGACCCTGAATGGGGAAAAAACTAATTAGAAAATCACTACCTCGAAACATTTTAAAATGGGAACTAGGGATCGACCGATATTGATTTTTTAGAGCCGATACCGATACAGATAATATGCGAACTTTCAGGCCGATAGCCGATATCTTGCCGATATTCTGTACATTTACTATTTTGAATAAATAAACTAATTCGAAAGGTAAATGCACAAAATATACATGCCACATGTAGTGGATGAAGTGTGTTTAGACAGGGGAACTGTGTGTGTTTGTGTAGTGTGTGTGGGTGTGTGTTTGTGTAGTGTGTATAATGAATGTAGTGTGTATATAATGCAGTGTGTGTAGTGTGTATATAATGCAGTGTGTTTATGTAGTGTGTGTATAATGCAGTGTGTTTTTGTGTGTGTATGTAATGCAGTGTGTGTGTGTTTGTGTAGTGTGTATGTATGTAATGCAGTGTGTGTTTGTGTAGTGTGTATGTAATGCAGTGTGTGTGTATGTGTAGTGTGCATGTAATGCAGTGTGTGTGTATGTAATGCAGTATGTGTACTGTGTTTGTGTAGTGTATGTAATGCAGTGTGTGTGCAGTGTAGTGTGTGTCTGTAATGCAGTATGTGTTTGTGGTGTGTGTGTAGTGTGTCTGTCTGTGTAGTGTGTGTATGTAATGCAGTGTGTGTGCCTGTGTAGTGTGTATGTAATGCAGTGTGTGTGTATGTAATGCAGTATGTGTGCAGTGTGTTTTTGTGTAGTGTGTGTGTGTGTTTGTGTAGTGATGTAATTTGTGTAATTTTTTATTTTAATATTTTTTTTAATATTTAAATGTTTTTTTTTTTTTTGTTTAGTCCCCCCTCCCTGCTTCTTACCAGGGAGGGGGATATAGTATTCCCTGGTGGTCCAGTGGCTTGTTAAGTACAGTGGTGGCTCAGCAGCAGCAAGCGCTGACTTACCTTGCAAGCAGCTCCTACAGCTCCCTGTGTAAATCTCGCGGCTCTTAGTGCCGCGCGGAGCGTTGCCATGGTAACCCGTGGCAACGCTCTGCGGCCGCGGGTCTCGCGAGATTTACACAGGGAGCTGCATGCAAGGTAAGTCAGCGCTTGCTGCTGGCCCCACAGGACCGCCGGGCTTGTAATGGGCCCGGCGGTCCTGTTATATATTATCGGCAATATCGGTATCTGAATTGGCCGATACCGATATTGCCGAAAATACCAAATATCGGCCGATAATATCGGCCAGACCGATAATCGGTCGATCCCTAATGGGAACTCACAGCAGAGTGTTACAAAACAACAAACAGCTGCTGTAGAATGGTAAGTATTCAGCATTAGGACTTGACAAGAGTTCTTATTTTTAAACACATGATTATTCACAAAAGCAGCAATTGTCGAGGACTGAAGAAGAGTATTTCATGTTTTAGGCAAAATAGCCGAATTGGCAGATTTTTCCAAACTGGTTACTTAAAGCAGCACGGTCATGCCGAACCTACCTTTCCCCAATCACTTACTCTTCTCGGGATCTGTTATCCGTTTCTTCCTATCTAATCTATTTTTCTTTAAAACATAAGACACAGTAGTACCTACTTTGTCTTATGTATATTCCCTACACTTGACCAGCTCTGACCTACTTTCTGTGGGTCAAGAGAAATTTTCCCACAATACACACCATTTCCTCGCTGATCTCACGATACCGGCTTTCAGTATTCATTTAGACAGAACGGCGGCGAAACTACCGAATTTCGTCCTTACAGAATGAGAACAGATTGTTCATTCATGTTAGGACGACATTCGGTACTTTTAGGTCGGTTTGAAATTTTATTCATATGAATGAAATTCCAATCCGTGCTGCGGCTGCATTTTGCAGCTGCTTAGAAGATAGCTCCCTGTTACCATGAGAATTAGGAAGCTATCTACCAAAAAGCCGAACGACCGGGATTGGCCTTTCAGCCAACGTTACTAATACTAAGGAAACGCTCACTATATTCCTATCAGAGCACTCTTCTTGGTTGGCTCAAATTGCAGGGTGTTTTGCAGGGTTTTTTTTTTTTGCACTCTGTCATTTTTTATTTTATAAGCTCGACAGGCTTAATGGATTTTAATTCTGCTTTTCTGGGGGGACTGAAAAAATAAGGTTTTAGAAAAAAGAAGACGTCAAATGGTAAGTTTTTTTTAGTTTTTTTTAAATCTTTACATATATTTTGTTTAATTGTTCCCCCCTCACTATTTTTAGGGTGAGGGGGGTGACAATGGGCTTGGGGACCCCTAGTCACCTGAGGGAGTGGGGTATTTTTGCAGTGGGGAAACAATAGGTAGTTATTTATCCAACTTCTCTAGTCAGAAAAGAATGATGCCCAACATAATACAAACCCTATAGTCAAAACACCAGCTATAGACTGTTAAGACTGAATAATTATCAGCCAATAAATCGTAAATTAACCAATACCAGTGTGTGTATCTAGCCTCTTTTGTAGTGAGATCTCTTTTACTCTGTGGATTCCCACTTTGTGTATAGTTAGACCAAGTTCTTCCTCTTTCTATAGGCACAGAATTCGTTCATGAACACGGCATATTCTTGGTTGAGCACTGAATGTTTTTTTAGTTTAACTCTACTAAACATCTGTGCGCTTTGTAGCAGTATTCTAATCTTAGTAAAATGACTTGCAATGCCATGTGATTATAATTTGCACTTCCCAACTTTGTATTGCATGAAGGTTTCAGTGAAGAGTCCCTTTTTAATACGACTGATGTGGTGTCGGAATTATCTTGTTATTTCATCCAGTTAGCTTTATGTCAACTACACCATACACCTAGCTGAAGAGCAAAATGTCTTCAGTGACCAAACAGGAATATCAATGTAACTCTTAAAAGAAGATAGTACCACATGATTGGTTGCATTCATGTCACAGAAATGTTCCACAAGCAATCTGCACGCCTCTTCCACACCCCAGTGAGCTGCCGCATGAAGGGGAGTCCATCCATCTTTATCACGGACATTTGGATCAAAGCCAGCCTGGAGCAAGAGCCTGGGAACATAATGGAGACAAGCACTTAATAAAATGCTGCACACAATGCGAAACTAAAACTATTTGTAAGAAGTACATTACCTCATGACTTCAATGTAGCCTTTAGCGGCAGCAACATGTAGTGCACTTGCACCAGTCTTCGCATGCCTAATGTCTTCAATTTTACTTGCATTCAACCACTGACGTGCATCTTGCAGCATTACTTGCTCCTCTTCCCTTTTGGCTGCTTCAATGTCAATACCTGGAAAATACAGGCATATCTCTTCAGTCATTTGAAAGTGTACCAATAACTAGGTGCTACTGGTTCCATGTCAGTGAGGAAAAGTAGGATTCAGAGTTTTATACATCAAACATGGTTTCTCACTGGTAAATGCAAGGTCTTTTAATAAGGCAGGTCTTTACACAATGGAAAGGGTTAAAAAGCAAGACACCCACCTTTATTTTAGCCATTCTCTTACACATACCCAACACAATTACAAATATACTCATAATAAAACTAGCCATACACTATCACACTCCAAATTAAAGCAATCTGGCAAGAAATGTGTGCATGTTTATGGGTGACCGTAATAATGTAAGGATTTCAGGGTTTCTCCCCCCCTTGTTCTTCCATGTGGCATCTTGATTCAGCACCACATATAAGTTAAATGCAACACTAGTAACAACCATGTGAGTTTGGATGCCACGTGAGTGTGCAAGGATAGTGCTGATGTGGTCTCTGACTATAAATCATGCAGAGATCTTTTCACTGCGACTGGCCAGCAAAAATGATATTTTCAGTGCCTGGTTCCATTTCTGTTTCACAGCAACACAGAGTGGTGGTTTTGTGGAGCACTGCATTAAAGGAACATTTCACCGCCCAAATTTGCAAATACATAAAACAATGTTTATCAGATATGCCTCCAATGAAATCATGCATGCATTTAACTATGCATTTTTCCCCACTGGGAGTGAATCTGTACACAGCTTGCAAAAGTTGAAGATCTCTTCCCCAGCCAAAACTTTCTGTAGCTGTCAAATCAGAGACTTTCCAATGCAGCTCAATGAGAATTCTTTTAAAAGCAGGTAATCGAATATGGCTATACTGAGCTAAACAACCAGTAAGTAACAAAATTGGCAGGGAGGTGTAACAAGGTTATTTTATAGAACTGCCAATTTCAATTTATTTCAAGATAAAAAAAATTAAAAAAATAATAAAAAGACAACGCACTCTTCATACAAAGCATTTCAGTAAGCTAAATTGCTTTAGGGTTCTCTTTACAGATTAGACTTGTAATGTCAAGAAAATGTGCAAAAACATAAAAGGTTGTAAAATTCAACAGTTTAATTGGAACACAAAAAAAAATAAAAAATGTCCCTTTGCTTGGAATACATACATCTCCACACAAACTCACCCCATTTTCTTGTGCAGCATTACAAGGAAGGACATTCTTTTGAAAAATATTTTAAAAATCTTTTCCCACAGTCTATGATCAAGGGCCTGCCCAACATTTAAAAGTTCCAGTAAGCATAAGTGAACCTGGTTGTTCTGTTTAATATGTTGGAGATCTTTATACATATAAGGTCCACAGTTTGACCTACCAAGAATTGTGTAAGATGTTTTTCTAACCTTAGGGATGTGGATATTTTATTTTATTATTTTATTTATTTTTTTAAATCAGAGAGTACTGATTGTGCTTGGTACAAGTGTGGTATATGCTGGCTGCATGCCGTGTGTGGTGTATCCTGGCTGTATGTGACGTATGTGCGGTATGCCCTGGCTGTATTTTATGTGTGTGCGATGTCTGCGTGTGGTTGGGATACACTGATACATTCAAACACTGACTCATACACAAACATACTGCCATTCACTAACAAAGACACATGCACAAAACACACACACACAGACCCATGCACAAATACACTGCACACTGATACACACTGATCCATAAACACAGAACCATACGCAAACAAACTGATCCATCAACAGACAGACCCATACACAAACACTGATCCATAAACACACACAGATCCATGCACAAACACACTGTACACTGACACTCACATTGATCCATAAGCAAATGCACTACACATTGATCCATATGACAACACACAGCACACTGACCTATGCACACACAAACACATTATCTGACACTCACAGCACAGATTACCAGCAGCAGCCTGTCCCACGCTCACTCTGCTATTTACAGAGTGTTGGCCGAGGAGATACAACGTCCTGAGCTTTGTGAGGAGTGGTTGGATGCTAACGCTCCTCGCACCACCCCGTGAGTTGCAGCCAGGCCCGGTTACAGCGTCCTGGTAACGCTGCCTGGCCACAATTGCCCCTAAGGTACCCGGTACACTTCTGCCGGGCGCCTGGAACTGCATGACCCGGGCATCAGAGTTATAGATTCCACATCTTTGAGCCTACAGTTATAGAAGCACTTGGTACTTTCAAAAAGGTTGCTACAAAAAGATTCAGCCGTGGTTTTCTGATGAAGATAAACAGTTGACGGAGCAATGCTTGAAAAAAAGCTGAGCCAGAAGCCTAAACTTCTGAAAATGTTACTACACTGAACTATGAATATTAGCTACAAAACCTTTTAGATATCACTTTCTGGCTGCTATTACTGGTGAGGTATTTAAATAAGTATGACTGATACCTTCCAATCATTTCATAATATATTGTGTGGCAAAAAAAAAGTGCTCAGGACATCTGATGGTCACATGAACTAGGATCACTAGAATATAAATGTAACAAAAAACAATAGAGGAGCACCTCAATTCTCGATCATGTTTACACAGGTAATGCCAAGGGAACACAAAGCCATATCCATATTTTATTTCAAAGCAGAATTCCCCTGCTGGTCTCAGAGAGCCATTATTTAATTTTTTATTGCCATTACAATGTACTAGCTAATATTTTAAAACAAAACAATTTCAGCAATGTAAGCATTCCTTGGCATGCATCCTGAACATGAAAACACAAACGTTAGAGTCAAGGGGCAAGTTCTTTGGTGTGAGAAAAGACTGCATATACCATCTTCTTTGAGAAAAGAGGGATGATGGAAAGCAAGGATATATTTGTTGATTAACAAGACACTCTAAAAAGAATAGCAATGTCTGCTTCTTGTGTACGGCTTCCCTTTTCAGCTATTATATTATAATAATGGTGAATTCCAGACCTCTCCTTTTTGTCCTACCCAATACTGACCTCTTGGAACAAAGTGATCTTAGAACTGCCTGCATGGAAAGGCTTTCCAGTAAAGCCAATCGCAATGCACTTTTTCCAGTATGAAGTAGTTTTCCTGTTATGGATTAACAGTCGCTTAATAAAGGGAAATGTAAACGTGCCAAGAGCCTTACCTCGCTTTGAAATTTCAGCACGGAGCAAAGTCTCCATGCAGTCATCTTCTGCAATGTCAAGTGGTACATCCCCATCACTATTCACAGCAGCTATGTTTGCCGAATGTTTCAGGAGATACCTAGAACAAACAAAAAGCAACATCACTAAAGAAAAGTCGATTCAATTTCACTTAGTATGGTTATGTCTGCAAATGTAAATCAATTATTTATATAAAGTCAGATAGAAAAGAAACAAAGTGGGTATGTGTACATTCTTAAACAGTTTAAAGGGATAGAAGAACAATAATTTATTATAATATCACGCAGCATAACCACGTTTCATGGGGAAAAGAGGAAAACTACTACAATTAACAGGCAATTCCTGATAATAAACAGATACAGGGCCTTACAAATCAAATTAAAATTAATAAGACAAACTCTCTGATGTCAGCATTTAAACACTGTCACAGTCAGAATAGCTGAGCACTACACCAGAGAAAGTGAGTTAGTGGACGAAGAAAGAATATCATACAAAGAATATGATAGGCCACAGAAGCACGTAGCCAAACTGCCATGGTTCTATGCACTTAGAGGACCAGTTTGGGCACCATGAAAACTTTACTGAAATGAAGTTAAGTGCAAGAAGGTCCATAGCATTGGATCACCTTAAGGGGTTAAACCATTCGCAAACATTTTTTTTTCCTCAAAGTCTGTGTTCCAGAGTCAAATCTCCCTGACTCTCTGTCCTTCCATTTTCACAAAACCAGGAAACTGGAAGACTCTTGCAAAATCATGGTAGAAACACAGCCAATTGGCTGAGACTGGTAAGCTGACATGGCTTGAAAAATGTACGTAGATTTTATGAATGCGGAGTCACTGATTGGCTAAGAGTGTCAAGTAACTGCTCTCAGCGAATCAGCGGTGCCGCTGCTCAACTCTGCAAGGTCTTCCAGGTTTCTGATTTTGAGAAACAAAGTGTGAGCTGCCAGTCACTTACCTTGTTGGTCCGTCGATCTGCCGACATCGGGATCGGTCGGACCGCCGCTTCCACCCCGGGAAAGGATGCATTAAGCATCAGGGACGCCTGACGCCATGCGCGCTCCCCCTTTTAAAGAGGCAGCACATGCGTACCAACCCCCAGTGGTCAGAAGAGATTTAAACAAGAGAGCTCAACGTACACGTACCTTTTGGGGGCGTAGTTATGTAAATCACGCCCCCAAATCATATAAAAGCCCAGTCTGCCTCCACATCAATGCCCTGCTGTGGTTCTTAGTGTGCCTTGTGTTCCTAGTGTCCCCTCAGCGCGTTCCTGTATTATTTTGATTGTTCTTTGTGCGTTTGACCCGGCTTGCTCTTGACTATTCTGATTTCTAGTTTCCCTGACTCGGCTACGTTCCTCGCTATTGTGTATTTCTAGCTTCCTTTGACCTTGGCTTGTTTCTGGTATTTCTAGTAGTTTCTATTATTCCGGCCATTCTAAGGACCGGTTTAGGGACTTCCTACCTGTCTCTATTATCTTGGTGATTTTCACGCTGTGTATTGGGTATTAACGTTACACAAAGGACAGAGAGGCAGGGAGATTCAGTGTTGGTACACAGACTTGGTGTTAAACCATTCCAAAACAGTTTAACCCATTTAGTGAGCCAGCATCATAGTCCTCCTAGCACCATAACGTCATTTCAATTAAGTTGTTATGGTGCTTAGAGTGTACCTTTAACTGGGAAAGAAACAGTCGCAGAGTAAAGTCAAGGAAAAAAAAAAAAGTAAAATACACACACTGATCAGCACCAACATTAAAACCACTGACAGTTCAAGTTAATAACATTGATTATATAGTTACACTGGAACCTGTCAAAGGTGCTATATTCGGCAGCAAGTGAAGAATTCGTATTTCATGTGTTTGAAGCAGGAAAATTGGGCATGCGAAAAGATTCAAGTGACTTTGACAAGGGCCAAATAGTGATGACTAGACAACTGGGTCAGAGGATCTCCAACACGGCAAGTGTTGGGGACGTGAGTGTCAGAACTGGACCACGGAGCAATGTGTGAAGGTTGGTCTGATTAACCACATTTTATTTTATATCAGGTGAATTGCCAGGTGCGTATTTCCTTTCCTGCATTGCCTGGGAAAGAGATGGCAGCAGAATACACTATGGGTAAAAGGCACGCTGGACGAGGCAGAGTTATGCTCTGGGCAATGTTCTGCTAAGAAAGTTTGGATCCTGGCCTACATGTAAATGTTACTTTAACATTTACCCCCTACATAGATTGTTGCAGACCACGTACACCCCTTCATGGCAATGGTGTTTCCTGATGGCAGTGGCCTCTTTCAGCAGTATAATGCACCCTGCAAGCATTGTTCAGAAATAGTTTGAGGAACATGACAAAGTTCTTGCCTTGGCCTCTAAATTCCCCAGATCTCAATCAGATTGATTTGTGGGATCACCTGGAATAACAAATCCAATCCATGGAGGCCCCACCTCACACCTTACAGGACTTCAAGGATTTCCTGCAAATGTCTTGGTGCCAGATACAGAGGACAGGTTCAGAGGTCTTGTGGAGTCAATGCCTCGATAAATCAGAGCTGTTTTGGCAGAACGAGAGTGGGGGTGGTTGAGGATGATTAGTGTAAAGAATGGGCTGGGGACATCAACAGTGAACTAGAAAGACAGTGTTCTCCATTTTGTTCTAAATCAATGTATAATATTGTTACTGTACTGAGTTCCAGAATATGTTGCTGGTTCATATTTTAAAATATATATACCAAATGATGTACACGGAATTAAAATGACAACCTATTCTTCCGCACTATTTTTAGCAAAGGAAACTCGCTGAACAATTGTAATTTAATATATACCAAAACTCTGAAAAAAACTAAGCAAAAAAAACCTCTACAAACAAATTAGAACGTTTTCGTATTCATCATCCCTCAATTCACTAGAGCCAAAGATGGGTGCATCCAGACAATGGGCTAGCATTAACCCCTAGTAGTAAATATACCAAAGAAAGAGTAGGTCCAGGTATACCAATGTTTTATAGGTACATTTATTAGAACAAGGTGAACAACGCAATATTTCCACCCTACATCGGGTCTTTGTTAAGCCAGACAGAGGCTCAATGTAAGATCAAAACATTGCAGTGTTCACCTTGTTCCTAATAAATGTGCCTATAGACCTAAAACTGACCTAAGGCAACTGGATAGGCCAATTAACCTTTAAGCATATTTGGACTGTTCTGGTGGAACACTTTGTGGATTTCAATCTGATGTTGAAAAAGTATTATTCACATATTTAAAATACTTTATGTATGTAAACTGTATTTTCATGTAAGCTTTTTAAAATTCTATCACATACTATGCCAAAAACCTCTAGGTCACAGTTAATTGAAGCTTGTGGATATTTAACCAAGAATAGGCAGAGGAGTGATCACTCAAAAACAAGACTGAATCACCAGAATTCCTGTAACTAAAAAGTTTTTAACATATGTAAGTCTATGGCGCATCAAGTATTGTAAGTGAAAGTTAAAGAAATCCATCTTATATCAAATTTAATGGCCTTTCATAAGCTAGCGCAGGGTTAGGCAATCTTCGGCACTCCAGATATTGTGGACTACATTTCCTATAATACTCTAACAGCCACAATGCTGGCAAAGCATCAGGGGAGATGTAGTTTACAACATCTGGAGTGCCGAAAGTCGCCTGATCTGATCTCTGATCTAGAGGAAAGCCACATTTTCATTGATATTCATCTTTATAAAACATTTACATTTTCTAACAACCAATTATTTGTAAGATTGTCTGTAAAAAAAATGGAAATTCCCACAGCTAAATTGAGTAGCTGAGACATAAATTTTTCATGCATCACACCCATTTACTCACTCTGCTATCTCCATATAGCCACATGAGGCTGCAACGTGTAGAGGCGTCCACCCTTCATTGTCTGCTTGGTTCACATTGGCTCCGTGATTTACAAGGAATTCTACCACCTCTAAATTTTCATCAATGCAGGCCTAGTAAAAAAACAATAGAACAAACACAAATTATGTAGATTTAAGAACAAATCTAAAATACAGAAAAGTGAGCAAAGAATAAAAGTTTATATTAATAAAAAATATGTATTCTATACTGTAGAAAGCAAGGATTTTTCAAAAAATTTTTTACTTTTTTTACATACACACGCGCACAATCCTTCCTACCACCCCCCCACACACACACACAACCACCTGCCTAATATAGTGTTGGGAACTTGGAGGTTAAGGCAACACCTTGAACTCATATTCCTCAAAGTAACATCCACATGAAAGCCAGAATCCAAGGTTTCCCAGCAGAACATTACCCTTTTCCCCATAGTACATCCTGCTGCCATCTCTTCACCAGGAAAACAAAGCACAAGCACCCAGCCGTTGACCTGATCTAAAATAGAATGTGACTCATACAGTTTTTCAGCAATTTGATCTACATTAGCTCTTCTGTGTGATCAGATGAGATGGGCCAGCCTAATCTCCCCAAGTGTATCACCTGTTCACCAGTTATTATTACATGCACCACTTTTGGTAGGTATTAACCACTGCATACAGGCAACACCCCACAAGACAGTTGCCGTTTTGGAGATGCTTTGACCAAATCGCCTAACCATCACTATATGGCCCTTGTCAAGTCACTCAGATCTTTTCACTTGCCCACTTCTCAAACACATGAAATTCGTGAACTGTTCACATGCTGCCTCATATATCCCACCCCTTGATAGGGTCCATTGTAATGATATGGGTGATGATAAAAATGATAAAAATCACAGGGTGCTAAGTATGGGTCAGCATACCCCATAGAACATTTATCAAGGAAAAAATCTCAGGCACTCACTGTGATAAGTTAAACAGCTTTAATGGACACAGCAACGTTTCGACCTGTACCCAGGTCTTTATCAAGCAAAGAATAATCAGCACCTTTAACAACTGCCATTTAGATACATGCACTAAGCACCTCTCTGTGTATATGGCTTTGCCTTCTGAAAAACATCCATGAGAGAAGTCTTCAGAAGGACTGTCACAGGTACATGGACATTAAGAACATGTTAATAACAGACAAATCTAGCAATGGAAAGGGATTTTGGAATCCTGCGATGTAATGCATGATCAGCAGTAAAAGGATGCAACACAATACACCTATTACTTGTTGGGCTACATACAGTGTTTTCATCTGTTTAAATAATGTTTATTCCTTGCATCTGCTATACTGAGTTTATAAAAAGAGCCATAAAAAAGTAACAGATGTGTAGTATGCAGATACAGATTGTACTAAATGGACATTTGGGTGTTTATTTAAAAGGAAAAACGATTACGTTAGAAATACAATAGGTTATTATGAACTCTATAGAATCTTATGTTTATATCCACCCTTACCCGTCGAAAAGGGGGAAAAAATAGCGTAACTTACTTTTCGAGCCTCTCTGTGCTGCTGCCCTGCCTCCCTGACTGAGATCATTTAAGATTTCCACCATAGGAAAGCATTGGGAGACAAATGCATTGCAAAACAATGCACTGCTCCGAACTGAACGCTCTCCATGAGCAGCATTTGAGTGAATACAGAGCCTGACTGAGCTCTCAGCAGAAGCACCTCTAGTAGCTGTTGAGAAGACAGCCACTAGAGGTGCCCAACCCTGCAATGGAAAACATTGCCGGTTCTACAACACTGCCATGTTTTACCTGCAGGGTTAAAAGGACAGGGCACTATTTGCAGACCACTTCATTGAGATAACTTTGGTGTCCCTTAAGTTATATGGATAGGAATAGAAATATTCACTACTCCACTTTGGTATGAAACAGACAGCAGTGAGCATATTGCTGTACAAACACTACTAACCATGTTTGGTTTTTCATTATAGAAAATACAGGCAGAACTTTTAGATATGTGCAGAAGACAACAAAGGAGTGATTATTTGCATATAAAGAGGTTTTATATATACACACAGATTTTATTTATATTTTGCTTCTGTTCACTCACCTTGCATTTTGTTAACTGATATAAAAACAACAACAAAAAAAAAAACTACTAACATTTCTATTTTTGAAAATATAGATTTTAAGGCTGCGCAAATTCTACATTTGGTTTTCTCCATTTGCGCAGCCTTAAAATCGACATTTTCAAAAATAGAAATGCTAATAGTTTTTATTTTTTTGTATAACAGCCTTAAAATCTACATTTGCATTATTATGTTCAGAAGGTTTTCATAAAAAAGCTGACCGCCCTTCTGTATTCCCTTCCCATTTCGTTTTTTTTAAATGTTACCATCCCTTGCAGTACTTTTTGCACTTTCAACCGATTTGTGTATTTAAATTTTGGAAATTATTCTTACGCTACAGCATTTTTCCATATGTCTGAAAATGTTGTACAAGATCAACATGTAAATCATCTGCATTCATATTGGCAAACCAACCCTATACAAATGCATAGCTGCTAGATGTGCTTCCTGGAGCAGTGTTGCACAGTGACATCACGGACATTCAGTGTCTCCACGCTCTGCATGGAGATAGTGAACTTTCTGCAGAGAGATGCACAGATTCAATGCATCTCTTTGAGGAGATGCCCATTGGCCAGAGCTGTGTTTGGCTCCACCCTGCGGCCCACCTCCTTAGCTGAGATAATTAGAATTGCCATCTCAGCCAATCCAATGTTTTCTTATGGGAGAGATCATCACTTCTGATGTCAACAAAGGAGACGAATCGGGACGGGGTACGATTTTACTATATTTAGGAGGGCAAGGAGGGGCCAGGTAGTGATTTTATTACTATAGGGATTGTGTTCCTGGCTTTATAGTGTTTCTATAATGAACACTGCAGAGCTTATATTGTCCATTAGGACAAGAGCCATGTAGAATGTGATATAGTACTACATACAGTGTGATTATTTTTCTGTGTGCATTGTAATTGCTCAGATTAAATTTGTCATTATGATGTAGCATTGTATTCAGGGGAATTCCATTAATTCTATAATTATGAAAAATCTTTGAGAAATAGTTGAACAGGAAAATTCTCTACAGCAGCGAGCAATGCAAAATATTCCAAATGTGACATTACTTGCTTCTTTACTCAACTAAGCTATTTAGATTCAACCTTATTATCACTGTACAGTGTACATACAAAGACATACATGTAACAGTGATTAAGTACTGTTAGCCACGCAAACACATCTCGCTTTTATCTATCCCCCTCCTCTTCCTGGGGATGTGTTTATTCGGATATACTTTTTGAAACAAGTTATGTTTTATTCAAACCCAGTTTAAACACCTAAATTGGTTTTGAGATGGCATGCTATTTCACTGGAACAAAGTTCATTTAAAACAACAAACTGAGGAGAGGCTCACAGTTCACAGGATGCCTGTGAACTCCAAACATCTTTCATACCATCTATAAATGCCATCTGTTATGAAGGCAGCTAAACAGCTATACTGCAGTCAGCACCTGGTCTATCATATACCAAGTATACATTATTTCTCCTTCCACATCTAGGAAAAAAAGGAAAGTTTAGCAAATTCTCATTGTTAATGGCCAACTTGTGTTAAATCATCACCAAATAGTTTTATACAAAACAGTTCATTACAAACAGCCACTTTTTCCTTCCAGCGTTTTGGTAATTGGTAATAAAAAGTTTATTTTACTCTCTGCATCTTGCAAGCGGTTCTAAAAAGGCTTTATGACCAAGCCAAAATTACGTTTGATCTACAGCCAAAATGGAAAGGGTGACCAGGGGAGTTTAAAGCAGAATTCACATAAATAAAATTAACCTTAAAATAATAAATGAATAAATAAATAAAAAGTCTGGTCAGTGACCGAACACATTTCCAAGTAAACTTTACTCATGGTGTCTGTTGCAGACCCTGCAAATTCATCCTCCACTGGGACTAAACGTGGAGTTAATGATGAGCCAATGATGACTTCATCTAGTTAGTAAATCACTCCCATCCAAAGGTTTAAGTGGAAATCTGCCTGTGCCATTATCCATTACATATGTATTTACTGTTAAGCACAAAACTCACAGTGGAAGGAAAAGTATTATACCATTTCAAAGATTTCATAAGTAGAACTGCCACATGAAAGAAAAATTTGGTATCAGTAGAGCACAAACTGGGTAGATGTTTTGAAAGCACATGTAAAAGGCATCAGGAATATGCTTGTAAGATTGGTTGGAATAGGGCCAAAATGACAATTAATCAAGGTTAGGTACAAAAATACATTAAGCACCAACAGTTGAGTACATTAATTATTGGCTGGTCTCTGAATTCATGCTGAATTTTCCACACTTTTTTTTCTTTTTAAAAAACAAAACTAAAGTTTTGCTTTTTTGCAGGATAACGCCACCCCATTATCTACGCCTCCATTTTCACAAATCATTTTTACCGTTGAAAAAAAAAAAAAGCCAATGCATGGTCTAAAGCTCAACAATACAGAAACATCTATGTTTTATTTCCTCAAAATTAATAAATTACATGTTTTCCATCTCTTTGACTAGCAGTAAACAAGTGTGTAAGATACTCGGACTGACATTTTACTGCTGGGCTGCGCCGAGAGCCTACTCGCACAGTAAGCACTACAGTGCATTGTAGTACTCCTGTTGTACTCACGCAAGCCTAGAGTATAATTTTAAAGTTAAGGAGACAAAAATCCCAAAGTTGACACACTCCCTAAATGTTTCCATGATTTAAAAAAAAAATACTGAAATTCAACATTTTGTTGATGCAAAGATTACACATAAGTCTACATTAAACATACTTGATACCACCAGATACAGAAACTATGCAAAAGACAAAAGAATTATTTCATGATAGTTTTCCTTCGGGCTTGCCAAGTGACCGTTCCCACTCTGTGCATCAACCGAAATGTTGGCAGCAGAACTCATAGTTAACACCCACAAAAAGTGTTAAAGTTCAGAGTGAGTGTTAGAGGACATATAGGAAAGATCACTGTGAGAGATTTCAATGTTTTTCCGTTTAACAATTAAATAAACAGATAAACATGTTGCTCAACAGTTTAATAGGATTTGATGCATTGTTTTTGCAGGACCTAACATTCAAGGAGTGTGATTTAATACAGTTATGTTTTAAAATGTTGGTGAAGCTGTGTCACAAGAATAAACATTTCTTATTCTCTAAATAAATTAACTGTGTATGGAACATTGCTGTCCTACTGGTGGCCAGGCCAGTGAGAGGAATCTGACACACCGACCAGAAAGCCAAGAACGAGAGAAACCCTGAGGTTCTGTAACTGGCAATTAGCTACTATTACTATTCGTTACAAAGGCAATGTTAGTAGCCAAATCCATTTGAAACACCAAATTCGCCTGTTTTAGACTTTAGAACATATTGCAAAAGGAAATCTAGACCGGACTGTACAGATTCAGCTCATTCACAATATAGAGGAGGTCAGAATCTGCATAGCGAGTATACAACATAGAACTACCGGCAAGAATGTGTTTGTTTCTTTTCATGACAAGGGGGATGGCTGTGGTTAGGTTTGGTAATACCACTGGAATTGAAACCATGTCCTTTGACATAATCTTTACAGGAAACGTTGATTGTTGCTTAAAATGTGTCATAGCGTTATTATATAATGTATTTATTTAAAGTATGAAACGCTGCACATACAAAGATCAATTTCTTTGCTGCCAAAACGTGTAACTCCACTTCTTGCAGACTCAATGGGAATCAGACAGCCTGGAACAATATAAATTCTGTGCAGAATTGGTGTCTGACGCCAGAATGCGTAGCATGCTGGAGACAGACAACCAATGGAGATAAAAAAAAAATACACACAAGTGGGTCAGCGCTAAATAACCACTACAAATAGAGATGGAAAAGAAGGCAGCAACTCAAAAAGGGGATCCCTCTCTATCCTTTAGAAAGACGTAGAAAAATCAAGACACAAAGAAGTGCTGCGCCAATGGCGACATGCCCCGCTCTGAAAGGGATACTCTAGCCAAAATGAATGTTTTATGAAAACACTTGTTTTTGGTTGGAGCTAAATCTGAGGTTAACTGATGGTATAACTAATATAGCAGGTTATAAGCATGTTTGTAGTCAAGTTGCTGCTGTAGCATAAAAGGAATTCTCTGTAACCTTGGCTGTTACAAAGCATGACATGACTAGTTAATCGACATTCCATTTATTCACTGTGCCTCCCTTCTCCAAACTGCTTGCACAGAATGGCACTGAGAGGTTGCATACATAATGTTGGATCTATATGTGTGCTGAACACATTACTACATGTTATCGTTAAAAAAGTTTCTTTCACATCTTTGTCACAGTGGTATAAAACAAATTAAGATCAATAAGACGTGAATTCCCATTTAAATTATTTTAATCAAGGTGTTGGAAACCTTGATTGGAAAGTTTGGTAAATGCTGGTAGAGAGAGAAACTGCTGTAAACCTAAACGTATACATGACTGGTCTAGCACAACATTAGGGTTGGTCATTCTACAACTGGAAATGTGCTTAAAGGGACACTCCACTGCCCAAAACAAAAATCACTGTTTAGTAGATATACCCCAAGTGAAGGTTTGCATGCATTTAATTATGCATTTTTTCACAGGGGTTTACCTAAAAATTATAAGAATGTCAATTTCTATTAACCCCTTAAGGACGGCAGGCGTGCTATCCCATCCTTGGGGACCTGGCTCTAAACGTCGGCGGGCGGCACAGTACATCCCCGCCATCCAGGGGACTTACCTGCTGGCTATTGCGATGGGGAGACTTACCTGGCATCCCAGGTAGTCCCCCTGCTGCTGATCCGGCCCTACTGGGCCATGTGATCGTGAAGTCCTTGTGAGAACCTCACAATCACATGGACGGAATAGTCGTCCATAGTAGTGCCAGCAGGGGGAGTGCCTGGAATGACCGGTAGCCCCCCTGCTGCCTGAAATAAAGTGCTATAAAGTTTTAAAACTAATATATATATATATATATATATATATATATACACACATATACATATACATACATACATACACACACACACAGTCTAAGTATATTTTAATATATAATTATATATTATCAAAATACACGTAGAATGATAAAATATATATATATATATATATATAATAAAACTAATATATAAATACTTTAAAAATGAAAAATACTGGGGGCGTGGCAAGCCGAGCAGCTAACAAGACATGTGTATGTGGAGCTCCTGCTCAAAACACCTAAAAACCTACTAAATTGCCACGAAATCACAGCACTAAGACTTCAAAACCAAGCTACAATCAGCGCTGAAATCCCCCACAGAGAGATGGGGCGTAAAAACAAGAGACTTACACGCCCGGAGGGCTCCTACCTGCCAATCAGGCAATCCTTCAAAAGGCCGCAACAGCCACCACAGCCTAAAATGGCACCTGGTAGGCCTCAAAGTACCAGTGAATCAGACGCATCTATGCCCCCCGACCACACACTCCACCACCACAGTGTACCTGTCAGAATATTCAGACTGACGACTCACCCTCCACAAAGGGCGACATTAAAAAGCTGTTGCTGGATCTGCGGGAAGTATGGAAGTCCGACCTGGGTGGCGTGCGGGCAGAGATAGGCATCACGACGCGCCTTAGTGCAGTAGAAACCTGGGAAGGGGACAGAGACTCTTTACTCAGAGATCAGAACGCAGGTGGAATCACTGACCCACTAACTCTAAAGACTCACCCTCACTGTCTCAACGATGGAAACACCATCGTAAGAAGAACGTGCGCATCCGTGGAACCCCTGAAGATGTAGGCCCGGAAGCCTTGCTGGAGTTCACAAATAGAGTGGCAACGAACATAGGGCAAAAAATAAATAAAAAAATATAAGACAGCGAAACATGGCGATAACAGCGGCTTTCAGGACCCGGAAGGTTCGATCACCCTGGCAGATGCCCCTAGAGACATTATTGCCATCACCCGGGATGTATTAGTTAAAGCAGCGCAGTCAGCACAGACAGTCCCCCCTGCAGGCAGACACTAGGACACCTATTGTGACCATGTGATCGCTGTGTTAAGCGATCACATGGCCACAGGGGTCCTAATCTGCCATGGGGAGACTGTCTGGGCTGCAGACAGTCTCCCCACAACCGGAGCCACGCTGATCGCCGCCGGGGGAACGACGGCGATCAGGTAAGTAGCTCTGACCGTTAGGACGGTTCAGGACCGTCATCGGTCGGCAACGCAAAAATGCCGATGACGGTCCTGAAGGGGTTAATATGAATAAAATATTTTTAAAAATTTAATAAAATAAGAATTTTTAAAATAAATTTAGTTCTACATGACATTTTAACTGTAAATGTCATAATGTTTGTTTTTACTGCAATAAAATACACATATTTGTATTCAGCGATGTCTCACGTGTAAAACAGTACCCCCTATGTACAGGTTTTGTGTTGTTTTGGGAAGTTACAAGGTCAAATCTAGCATGTTACATTTTTCAGTTTTTTCACAATGAAACTCGCCAGATTGGTCACGTTGCCTTTCAGACCTTATGGTAGCCCAAGAATGAAAAATTACCCCCATGATGGCATACCATTTGCAATAGTAGACAAACCAAGGTATTGCAAATGGGGCATGTCCAGTCTTTTTTAGTAGCCACTTGGTCACAAACACTGGCCAAAATTGGCGTCCATATTTGTTTGTGTTTTTTTTGCATTTTTCACACACAAACAAATATTAACGTAACCAATCTGGTGAATTTCAATGTGAAAAAACTGAAAAATTTAACATGCTATATTTGACCCTGGAACTTACCAAAACACCATAAAACCTGTACATGGGGGTACTGATTTACATGTAAGACATCACTGAATACAAATATGTGTATTTTATTGCAGTAAAAGCACAGTATTATGACAGTTAAAGTGTCATGCAGAACTAAAAAAAAAAAAAAAGAATAATCACACTTTTTTCTAAATATTTGATGTTAAATGAAAGCCCTATTTCTCCAGATTAAAATGATATAATAAGTGTGGGTGCACTTACGATTTATTTTGATCAAAACATGTACATTTGGCTCAGTCCTTAATGGGTTAAAATCTGCCCTTTCTGCAAAATGAAAAAGAAGACACTTCACAAATAAAGCTTTTCAGCAAGCTAAAGTGCTTTATGAGTCTGGAGTGTTCCTTTAACCCCTTAAAGGACGGAGCCAAATGTACACGTTGTGAACGAAACAAAATGTAAACAAAACCTGGCATTTGCGCTACATGTCTGTCCAACCGTAATTCAACTCTTTCATAGTAAATACACCCACCCTTATTATATATCATTTTATTCAGGGGAAACAGGGCTTTCATTTAATATCAAATATTTAGCTATGAAACATAATTTAATATGAAAAAAATGGGAGAAAATAAGATTTTTTTTTTTTTAGTTCTACATGACATTTTAACTGTCAATGTCATAATACTGTTTGCTTTTACTGCAATAAAATACACATATTTGTATTTAGCAAAGTCTCACGTGTAAAACAGTACCCCCTATGTACAGGTTTTATGGCGTTTTGGGAAGTTACAGGGTCAAATATAGCACGTTACATTTGAAATTGAAATTCGCCAGATTGGTTACGTTGCCTTTGGGACTTTATAGTAGCCCAGGAATGAAATTTACACCCACAATGGCATACCATTTGCAATAGTAGACAACCCAAGGTATTGCAAATGGGGTATGTCCAGTCTTTTTTAGTAGCCATTTGGTCACAAACACTGGCCAAAGCTAGCGTTAGTATTTGTTTGTGTGAAAAATGCAAAAAACACCAATTTTGGCCAGTGTTTGTGACTAAGTGGCTACTAAAAAAGACTGGACATACCCCGTTTGCAATACCTTGGGTTGTCTACTATTGCAAATGGTATGCCATCATAGGGGTAATTTTCATTCTTGGGCTACCATAGGGTCTCAAAGGCACCGTAACCAATCTGGCGAATTTTAATGTGAAAAAAATGAAACGCAAGCCTTATATTTGACGCTGTAACTTTTGAAAACACCATAAAACCTGTACACTCTCGTTTTCCTTGCACTATAGTGCCCTGAGGGTGCCCACACCCTCAGGGACCCCCTCCCGCCGGGCTCTGGGGAGAGGAAGGAGTTAAACTTACCTCTTTCTCCAGCGCCAGGCGGGGAGCTCTCCTCCTCCTCTTTCTCTGAAACTGCTATGTTTACTGCAAAAAGGGTTAATCCTAGATGGACCTGGCACCCAGACCACTTCATTAAGCTGAAGTGGTCTGGGTGCCTATAGTGGTCCTTTAAAATGATTACCAAAATAAAATGATACTTTTTCCCTTTGCTGCAACCTTACAGCTCCTGACCTTTTGTTACTAACAATTGTATATCCAAAATCAGGCAAGAAATCTTAGCAATCCCACCCGGTATTTTCTATTCTTAGCTCACCATCGCTAGCTATAGAGGGGATAACTTCACTTTTTTTTGTCTTCTTGTCCCTCCACATATCTTACTTTGTCATTGTGGGCCTAAAGGATATTAGAAAGATGGATATAGAAGCACCAACTTCTTAAACTCATCCTCAATTTATCTTGGTTTATGTGATTCTCTAGTTTTCCCAATGCTCTTTGAGCATCTTTTTCTTTGAGCATCTTACATCTTTTTCAAGTGCTCCTCCTCTTATCAGTATCTCTTCAGGTCAATGGTGTTCCTATTAAGCCTACCCTGCAGGCTTGCTACCTCGATGTCCTCTCTGACTCTGACCTCTTACTTCACTCAAGTATTATTATAGACCTTATAAGATCCATAAATTGTGATGCGGGCTCTTGACAGAATCAGTACCAGGAGCTGAAGAATGAAAAGGTCAGTACCTGCGAGAGTAAATTTCAGGTATGTATCCCATCTTTACAGATCAGAGATGTGATATTTGAGGGTATTTGCAAAATTCGCACGAATGCTTGAAGTTGACATGGGTGCTTTAAAAGCACATATTGGACACCAACACAACATTTGATGGGTTCTTGCCTCATTAATATATTGTATTTTTTTGCGTTTGATAAATAAATAAAAATAGCAAAATGATGCACCATGGGTCTTCCTCCTTAACTATTCCATTCTGAATAAAAAAAAAAAAATAAGTATTTATCAGTGTACTTACACAGCTTTAAGTTACTATCTAGAGCCAGAGTATAGAACAGAACATTTCAATTTAACATACAAGGCAACATTTTAATTTCTTACTTCAGGCAAAAGGAAAATTAAAATTGACTGCTCCCAGTACATTTGATTACTTGAGTGTTCACACAGTATAGTTAAAATAAGGAAATAAACGTTTTCCTAGATATTCAGGAGACCTGTTACAAACATATTCCTCCTGTGTTTTGTACACCGTATGGTACGGTTTATGTGCAAGTTAGGAAGGTCAGAACCATTTTGCTACAGAGCACTTTATCAATAACCACTACTAAAATATAGCGGACATTATGCTCCTTTTTTATTATAAGATTTTACACTTCATTGTCCTTAGCTCATACTTGGGGAAACTTCAAATTACTTTAAGGCAGAAAAACAAAAAACACCTAAAAATATGTGCATACAAAGTAACCACAGTGTTAAATGTTCACCTTGTGAAAACCAGAACAGTCCTGTGCCTTCCCAGTATTAGAAAGGCTTCCTAGCCTTCCTTGCTACTTTAATAGAACATACTTCCTGTCCTCAGCCAGAGGATGGGAGCACTCTTGTCAAGAATAAACTTGCCAATATCAAGCAGAAGTCACTGTTTACAAGCTTGCTGACAGATCCTGTGCTCCTTTCCAACACTGGTTATTTACAATGGGATGGGGATTGCTGCTAGCATGGGAAGATAAGAAAGGACTAATGTTCATTTAAAGGTGCAAAGATAAGAAAGGTCCAAGGTTCATGTAAAGGTGCAAAGTTCATGACCTAAAACTAGTTCTGGGCCTGCAGAGATCATTGAACAAAATAGCAGTTTAAGATTCTTATAACATGCATTAAAGGGTCTCTGTTGCAGGGGAAGCATCTCTTCGGTGAGATAAGTGGTCTGGGTCAACAATAGCTTAATGTAGTTGTTCTGGTGAGTATAATCATTGCCTTTAGGCAATTTAATGCAAACACTGCCTTTTTTACATTGCCCCTAGGGATACCTCCAAGTGGCCACTCCTCAGATGGTCACTGAAGGTGCTTCCTGTATCAGTGCTGCACTGCTGTTCAAGGTCTGAATTTCCCTCATAGAGATGCATTGATTCAATGCATCTCTATGAGGAGGTGCTGATTAGCCAAAACTGTGTTTGGCCCAACCCCTTTGTCGATTTTAGCCAATTCAATGTTTTCCTCAAGGGAAAGCATTGGATTGGCTAAAAATATGCAATTCTGGTGATGGCACCAAGGGGGTGGGGCTAGTGCCGGCGGACCTGCGCAGCACTGGAAATAAGGGGAGTTTTAATTCCACCCCTGCAAGAAGCCCATTTAATTTGAAGACTACAGCTTAAATGTACAGACGGAGAAACATAAGCTATTCTACCGAATTTTCTTCATCTTAGTTACTACATTATATCTTAGTTACTACATTATTAATTTACTACAACAATGTTACTATTTGTACCTGCAGTTTACTACTGTATAATTTTGTACTTGCAGTTACATGTAATTAATAATAATCTGGCTAATAGTATTCTGGTTGGCAAATATTGTAATTGTAATGCAAATGGTTGGTCTGCTCAACCGCACTCAATCTACAAAAAGCCACGGGTGGAAAACGGGACCATGGGCCACCACAATCTCATCAATTGTAGATACCAGAACATAGAAGAAAGGTCCAGACACCACCAACTCTTTTAGGCAAATTTATTAGAAGAGAAGGTGCACAGCAACGTTTTGACCCACACCTGGGTCTTTGTAAAGCTTGACAAAGTCCCTGGTGTGGGTCAAAATGTTGCTGTGTACCTTCTCTTCTAATACAAGAGTACATTGTAGGACTTGAAATTTGACAAGAGTACATTGTAGGACTTAAAATTTGCAAGCACCAACTGCAGCAATCATGTTTATAGTTTAGGTTGCTTTTCTGTACTAACAATATAGAGCTCAACCCTTGAGTCAGAACACACACAAAAATATTCATGAACTCTAAAAAAAATTCCCACAATTAATTGTTTGTATGAAACCTTTGCATTATCTAAGCAGCCAGCTAGCCAGGTGTCAGAAATGCCTTTTTTGTTGAAAACACTCTAAAAATGTAAACAAAAAAAAACGAGAGGGTGTAACTAACTCTTTAAGCACCGTAATTACTGCAGTTATTACATTGCAGAGTGTCCATTTAAGAAAGCTTCATAACTGGCTGTGTCACATCCTTGTCTAGGCAGATCTTACTGTAAAACTTGCAATGCATTGGACATTGCAGCAAATATAACTTTAGATAAACCATTTTTGCTTTATTTAAAAATGTATGGCTTTTCCATATTTTAATTTATTACGAATATAAATGATAAACATTTCCTTTAAAGCTTCTGTCATGGTAGGTATTTGCTGTCCAGGAAGCCAAACGCAAAGGCATGCACAAGGTACAGGGAAGAATGAGTATAGAATAGATTAGGGGTACCCAATCCAGTCCTCAAGTATTCCCTACCAGTCCAGGATTTATAAATTACCATATTGTGGCTAAAGTTTTATTTTTAGACACAATTGGGTAATTCCTAAATTCTGGATTGTTTGGGGGTACTTGAGGACTGGGTTGGGAACCACTGTAATAGATCAAAAGATTAGAGACAAGGGATGCAATAGGCAAGTGAGTATTATCGGAGAATTGGACCTTTGTCAAGATTTGCTAAGCATAGGAAAAATACACACACAAGACAAAGTAGTCCCTACTTTGTCTTAAGTATTTTATGGGAAAAAAAAAAAAAAAAAGATCAGAAATTAAGAAAAGCTTAACATATTCAGAGAGAGGAGGAAACTATTGTAAAAATGTAACTAAAAATTCTACTTTCGATAAATTTAATAAAATACATTTTACTTGAGGCTATAAAACAAAAAACAAACGACTTTCTGGGTTCTAATAGTCAAGCAGTGAACGTATTAAGATCCTGTCTAATTGGGGTCACAGTGTCTGCCCATATAAGGGATGGACAGATTGGCACAGTGCTTATCCATTTTCAATAGAAAGGCTTAGAATGTGGAAGAGCTGAGAGCAGCTTAAAGCACTTAAGTTTTATTTTTAGCACCCTGCGACCAATTGCATAACTTCCTACCATTTTGGTGTAGTAATGTATAGAGCTAAAAGGCATCTAACACAGTTTAAGAATAGACTACACTTAGGAGTGTGATGCTACATTACAGATGCTGGTGCACAAGATTTTCAATTGAGATTCTGGTTTGGCATCATGAAAAAAGTTTGCAGAGCCTGGCAATGCAAAGGTAGCTAGCCAGTCCTACATGACAGGGGATATCATATTTGACACTTTGTACAATCAGAGAGACTGGTCTCTGCAAAGCTGTATTCCTGGCACTACCGAACCCTCTGCCTCCCCCTTCCCTTGTGAACCCTCCTTCCCAGTAAATAAAAGGGTTAAGAACCCTTTACTTACCTTACTCTAGCGCTGATGTCCCTCTGTGTGGGCGACGCTCCGCACCCTCCATCCTGCGACTAGTGTGGTCGAAAGCGCAGCAAATGCCACGATCGCATTAGAGCTCTCCATAGGAAAGCATTGAATCAATGCTTTCCTAGGGGGAAAAAGCGGACGCTGGAGGTCCTCATGCAGAGTGGGAGGACACGCAGCGTCAAATAACGGACCAGAGGTCCGTTTGGATTACGGAAGCACTCTAGTGGCTGTCTGGTAGACAGCAACTGAGGGCAGACTTAGAGCTGCAATGTAAACATTGCAGTTCTCTGGAACTGCAATGTTTTATATTGCAGCACTAGGTGCAAAAGGGACACAGCACCCTGACCACTTCAACGAGCCATAGTGGTCTGGGTGCTTACACCACAATTTTTATTTATTTATTTTTTTAAATAAATAAAAAGTCAGAAGAACAACACCTCAGTAGACCTGATTACACACAGAAGGTGATGAGGAGACCTGCTCGGTGCAAAGACCACAAGTTAATCTGTACCAGTGGGTCAGCAAATTTAAAAAAAAAAAAAAAAATCAAAGAAAATAATTATATTAAAAATAATCATCATAATATTATTGATCATGGTGAGTTAGTCAGAATAATCTATAATTGCATCTCAGACATAAGAAAAATATAGGAAAACAACAGGCAAGATTTTACTCTCAATTATGCGGTCTGGGTGCCAGGTCTATCTAGTTTTAACCCTGCAATGTACAACATTTGTCGTTCTGCAGGTTTAAAAGAATCTGACAGCTACTAGAGTTTATGTAGAAATAGTCTAGTAAATTTTGCTACTTCAAAAAGATGGTCTCAGAGAGACCGGGTTATTGGCACGGTGTGGCATTTTTCTGCCCATGCCCAAAAAGCTCTTAATGGTACTCCTACCAACATAACCACTACAGTGGGCTGTATAACGTTAGAGTAATCCTTTGAGCATATTGAAAGAAAGGGAATAGATATTAAAATACCCACATACCCTTACAAAGCACTGCTATTGGTACCAGTGTCCAACTGCCTACATCTCATCACTCACTGCTCATTTAATAGGGATTGAGGACCTACATAAAAAATAAAAACATTAATGTATATATAATTTTATTTATTTTTTAAGCGAGAAATTAAAGTAAAAAACTAAAAAACAGAGAATCCTTATCCACAAACAGCTAGGAAGAATAAAGATCACCGATTATCATCAGATCACTGGGCCAAATGGCCATCACCAGATAACCAATCTAAAATACTATATTATCTTTCCAAACCACAGACCATTTTATCCTGTAAAATTCAAGGTAAGCCTTTAAAGACACAAAAACAACAAGCCAAAATAAATAGAATGGACAATACCCACTCAAACAAAAGTAATGGAAAGCAGTTCATCAAAGAATGATAAGCCCAGGGACAACCACTTCACATGGCTTACAAAATAATATATTAATTTTATAGCGAGTGAGTGACCGTTTGTGAGAGCAATAGAGTAAAATCATGTTTTTCAAATGCACCAAAAGAAATATCATTTTAATGTAATTCTGACCAACCATCTACCAACCAAGGGTAAAATGGTTACTCCAAGTAATACAACTTCTATAGCCTAATGAATAGAGCTTAGTGAAAAAGGGTCATGAGTTCTCAATAATTCTTGAAGCAGTAGTGGTTATGAAGGCCCCGTTTCCTGTTGATGGGTCTGCACCGGGCACCGGTCAACGCAAGTTGATCCCGCAGGCCATTCAAGGGAAAGAATGCAGATGTGTGCTGGAAGATGAACAGAACTGACTTTAGCCAGCTTGGAAACCAAGAAACTCTGGGTTAACTAATGTCGCCCGTATGATGCTGCTGACAGGGTGGTTAAACGCCGTAAGTGCAGCTTTCCAAAACTAAACACTGCTCAAACAGACTCCAGGAACCATGAAGTGGTTATGGTGCTTGGGGTAACCCATTAATGCTTAAACAGTCAAATTGTATCAAAAGAACAAGATGTACCAAAGCTACAGCCATGCATCTCACATTATACAAAATAAACAAATGTGTTGCTGCCTCTAAGTGGAACTTATTCAGCTGCACATCTCATCAATTCAAGTAGAGAGTTCGCTTAGGAAGGAATGGGCCATTTCACACAAGGGACTTCCAGACAAACAATCCATTTGGGTGGAAATAAAAAATGAAAATTCCTTGCAGAAATTAATAGATGCTTACAGCACCTTCCATTGAGTTACTCGAGTGGTTCTCATGGTTCTTTCCCCTCATCATAATGAGAGTTAGGCAGCATGTTATTCATTTTCATGAATAGTTACAAAGCAGGAGTGTACGCTCGCTCACTTTAATACTCCGACTGAAAGCATAGAAACATAGAAACATAGAATGTGACGGCAGATAAGAACCATTCGGCCCATCTAGTCTGCCCAATTTTCTAAATACTTTCATTAGTCCCTAGTCTTATCTTATAGTTAGGATAGCCTTATGCCTATCCCACGCATGCTTAAACTCTTTTACTGTGTTAACCTCTACCACTTCAGCTGGAAGGCTATTCCATGCATCCACTACCCTCTCAGTAAAGTAATACTTCCTGATATTATTTTTAAACCTTGTCCCTCTAATTTAAGACTATGTCCTCTTGTTGTGGTAGTTTTTCTTCTTTTAAATATAGTCTCCTCCTTTACTGTGTTGATGCCCTTTATGTATTTAAATGTTTCTATCATATCCCCCCTGTCTCGTCTTTCCTCCAAGCTATACATGTTAAGATCCTTTAACCTTTCCTGGTAAGTTTTATCCCGCAATCCATGAACCAGTTTAGTAGCCCTTCTCTGAACCCCTCTCTAAGGTATCAATATCCTTCTGAAGATACGGTCTCCAGTACTACGTACAATAATACTCCAAGTGAGGTCTCACCAGTGTTCTGTACAATGGCATGAGCACTTCCCTCTTTCTACTGCTAATACCTCTCCCTATACAACCAAGCATTCTGCTAGCATTTCCTGCTGCTCTATTACATTGTTTGCCTACCTTTAAGTCATCATAAATAATCACCCCTAAATCCCTTTCCTCATATGTTGAGGTTAGGACTCTATCAAATATTCTGTACTCTGCCCTTGGGTTTTTACGTCCAAGATGCATTATCTTGCACTTATCCACGTTAAATGTCAGTTGCCACAATTCTGACCATTTTTCTAGTTTACCTAAATCATTTGTCATTTGGCTTACCCTCCTGGAACATCAACCCTGTTACATATCTTAGTATCATCAGCAAAAAGACATACCTTACTATCAAGACCTTCTGCAATATCACTAATAAAAATATTAAAGAGAATGGGTCCAAGTACAGATCCCTGAGGTACCCCACTGGTGACAAGTCCAAGCTTCGAATATATTCCATTAACTACAACCCTCTGTTGCCTGTTATTCAGCCACTGCCTTACCCATTCAACAATATTGGAATCCAAACTTAAAGATTGCAGTTTATTGATAAGCCTTCTATGTGCAACAGTGTCAAAAGCCTTACTGAAATCTAGGTAAGCACCACCCTGATCTATAATTTTAGTTACCCAATCAAAAATCAATAAGATTAGTTTGGCATGATCTCCCTGAAGTAAACCCATGTTGTCTCTGATCTTGAAATCCATGTGTTTTTAGATGTTCATCAATCCTATCCTTTAACATGGTTTCCATCACTTTCCCCACTACTGAAGTAAGGCTTATTGGCCTATAGTTGCCCGACTCCTCCCTATTACCTTTCTTGTAAATGGGCACAACATTCGCTAACTTCCAATCTTCTGGGACTACTCCTGTTAACAATGATTGGTTAAATAAATCTGTTAATGGTTTTGCTAGTACACCACTAAGCTCTTTTAATAGCTTTTGGGTGTATTCCATCAGGTCCCATTGACTTATTTGTCTTTACTTTTGACAGTTGAAATAGAACCTCTTCCTCTGTAAACTCACGTGTAATAAATGACTCATTTATCCTTTTTCTCAACTGAGGTCCCTTTCCTTCATTTTCTACTGTAAATACAGAACAAAATATTCATTGAGGCAGTCAGCCTGACCTTTATCCTCTTCTACATACCTTCCTTCTTTTGTTTTTAATCTAACTAATCCTTGTTTTACTTTTCTTTTCTCATTTATGTATCTAAAAAATGTTTTATTCCCCTTTTTTACTGACTGTGCTATTTTCTCTTCTGTGTGTGATTTGGAAGCTCTTATAACTTGCTTAGCCTCTTTCTGCCTAATCTTATAGATCATTTTGTCTCCCTCACTCTGGGTTTTTTTATAATTCCTAAATGCTAACTTTTTGTTTTTAACTATTTTGGCCACATCTGCGGAGTACCACAGTGGTTTCTTGAATTTTTTGCTTTACTGACAAGCCTAATGCAATTTTCTGTTGCCTTCAATAGTGCAACTTTTAAATAATCCCATTTTCTTGGACTCCATTTAAATTGCTCCAGTCTGATAATGACTCCTCTACCCATATTCTAATTTTAGAAAAGTCTGTTTTTCTAAAGTCTAAAACTTTTGTTTTTGTGTGGTGTGACTCAGTCACTGTTCTTATATTAAACCACACTGACTGATGATCACTGGATCCTAAACTTTCACCTACAGTAATATCTGATACCAAATCTCCATTTGTTAACACTAAATCTAGTATGGCCTCTTTACGAGTTGGCTCCTCAACAACTTGCTTTAGAGACAACTCCAGTAGGGAGTTTAGAATATGTGTGCTCCTGGCACAAGTAGCTAATTTTGTTTTCCAATTTACATCAGGAAGATTAAAGTCACCCATGATGATAACTTCCCCCTTCATTGTCATTTTAGCTATTTCCTCAACTAGTAGATTATCTAACTCTTCAATTTGTCCAGGTGGGTGATACAGGAAATTTCAGTGTAAAATCAAATAAGACAGAAAATAAAAATCAATAAGCAAAATTGCAGGGAAAACAAAAGAAAATGACTAAATTAATCACTAGACAAGCCCCATCTTTTGTTTTACAGATTTATGGTAGGATTAATATCCATTACTAAAAAAGTAGCTTATTCAATAAAATGTTCTCAAGCTGCCAGCCATTACTGTGAAATAGAAGAAACAGTGTGATCATTTGTTTCTGTTTGTTCCATGTAGATGGTGAATACAGAATTTTATTTGACAAGTAATTGCCTAAGTTTGAAATTAATTTGTACAACCCTACAGACAGTATAAGATCCTGTAAAGATACACTTCTGCAATTACTGGCCAAGCACATCCTTTTATATTGTACACACAGCCCCATGACAATGGACATGGGAAAGCAAAGACATTTGCTGGCAAAATAAAATTGATGCCATGTGTGGACTTTGCATTGCTGAATTCTGCAGTTATAACAGACAACAATGTCTGAATTCATCAACAAATTTAAAAGGCAACCAGGCGCAATAATGGGTCTGAGAGCACCATAAGAAGAGCCGATGAGTCTGTCAAGGTCAGTAGCGGGGATCTTGCAAAAATATAATTTAAAAATTAATCAAACCCACTTGCTTTGTGACTTTTGGATAACAGTGAAAAAAGCAGAGCTATAATACTTATTTGCAAACGTATAACTATTCTCATTCATGATAAGTACTCCTATGAGGGAATAAAATCTCTAAAATGGGTTCATTAGATAAGTGAAAAATAAGAAATATATCAAATAACTGGTGGCGACCTAATATGGGTCATATTTCACAGAACAAAATCCATTTAAGCAAATCTAACTTTTCAAGAGTATTGGCAAATACATTTAACCACTTCAATACCTGGCTTAGGCAAAAACACAAAAACATTATTTTGTGGCCAACTGTATTGGAGATTAGACAGAAAGAATTCTAGGAATCCTGTAGCATTAGTAATATAAACCATATTCCTAATTCTATAGTGCCCATGTCCCTAGTTTTAAACCCCCTAGTTATTTTCAATTAAATTAATGTTTTTACTCACCTTTTCCCAGCACCAAGTCTCCCTCTTCCCTCTGTGCTGCTCAACTCTCCTCCTTCCACGAGATCGAGGAGGCATAGCATCCTCCAGCAATCGTCAAATCACTCAAATGTTCTCAAGCCTGACTTGCATGCATAGCGAGCGCATGCACCCAATGCTTTTCATAGGAAATCATTGAATCCAATGCTTTCTTATGAGCTGCTGCTTCATGTGACAAAGTTTTACTCAGTCACTAGAGGTTCTTCCATTGTACCGACTATTACTATGATCATGGCGGGATAAACATACAGCCATTGAGATTGAGTGGTCTGGGTGACTTCAGTGTTCCTATACATCAAGGCTCGACAAATCCCAGGCGCCATGGCGACTAAATATTTTGCCCTGGCGCCTGGGATTAGTCAGCCCGTTACCTCCACCTCCGGTCTCAATCCCCATGCAGCACTTTGTGCGCCGGGAGGAAGTGAAGAACTGTAATTACTTCCTCCCGGTGCAGAGGCAGCGCAGGGGAATGGCAAGCTAACCTGGCAGGACACGAGGTAAAGACTGTTCTGCTCTCCGCCCCCTTCCACCCCCATGCTGCAGAGCTGCCCTTTACCCTGCATGACCTCAGCACCAGGAGGAAGTTATTACAGTTCACTTCCTCTCGCTGCTCGGGAGGGGGCTGGAGAGACAGGAGGCGGAAGGAGGGAGTCCGGAACAGCGGCTGCCTACTCCCATTAGCCGCAGCCTGCCCCACTAGCCAGATGTCACCTGCTGCTGCCAAGTCCCACTGGACCCCAGGGGAGCCACCCTCTTGAGTCCAAAAAGTAGGACGGTGGCTAAAAATATGTATTTTTCTTTTTTAATTTTTGTGTATCTGTCATGTCCGTGTGTATATATGAATGTTCGTGTTTAAGTATATATTTGAGTGTATTAATAATAAATAAATACTTTGTGTGCGTGGAGAGAGAGAGAGCGCGCACCTGTCTGTCTCTCTGTGTCTGTCTCTCAGTGTTTGTGCGTGTGTGCGCGCGCATCTCTGTCTCTCCGTGCGTGTGTCAGTCCAGGTGTCTGTCAGTGAATGTGTGTTTAGGTTACCAGCCTTGGGAATTCTGTTTTTACTCAACTTTTTTCCAGTGCTGTGCTGGTCTCGCTGTAGTTGGCCTGCCTCCGTAGCTAAAATGATCAATTACCAATCCACATCTCTTCACAGAGATGCATTAAATCAATGAAAAGCATATCTATGGGGAACGTTCAGCGCCTCCATGCAGAATGTGGAGATGCTGAATGTAGGGGCTGCACATTGTGGACTAAGATAGACAATTTAGTGGCCATTTGAGTGACAGCCACTAGAGATATTACTAGGCAGCAATGTAGAAACTGCCTAATCTCCGAAAAGGCAGCGTTTAGATTGAAAAGTCTACAGGGACAGACTGTATACACCAGAGACATTACATTAAGCTGCAGTGGTTCTGGTGACTATACTGTTCCTTTAAGAATTGTATTTTTGTCGTTGGGGAGAGGGGGCTGGCTCCTAACTTTTTTTTCTGGCTCCTAGTTCGAAAACAAATTTGTCAAGCCCTACATACATTTCTAGTCTACAAACTATATGCAGAGTGTTGACTAATAGAAACAAAACAAAGATCAAGTTTATTTTATACAACAGTTCTAATATTATACGGATTGTTTTACATACAAGTTTGTGATTTCACCTGGTTAAGTTATTGGACAAGCAGTTTCATGTACGTTGTGGCTGGGTTCAGCACAGTATAGCTTGTAAACTGACGAACACATGTAAATGAATCCATAGCTACGATTCATTTATGCATGAAAAATACACATGAAATTGTTTGGGACTACAAAATGTCATTGCCTCAGTCAGAAGACAATACTCCTCTATAGCTCGTAATCTGGGATTCATCCTCCAAAAGGTCACCACATGAATAGAGCATGCTGGAAAACGAATGGGTTCATAACAATTCTACAAGCAGGTATGTTTACCAAATATAAAGTAAGGAAGAATATACACAAAACAAAAATGAAGGAGGACAAAAAACACATGCTATTTTCTAACTGACAATCAGAAGTTTATTTACTAGAACTGCAAGTTCAATGATTGCTCTATATACAAAGTAGACTGTCTGGTTCTTGCGGAATTAAACTGAAAAGCTGTGGACCGTCTTGAAATGATTGGGAATTCAACAAAGCTCAGATAGCCACTATCTTGTCAACTTATTACTACAAATCAAGTTTGTTTTAATGTGAATCATTTCTACCATCCTTCTCACATTTCTATGTATATGATTTATCATCCTGTCTAATTTGCATGTTACTGGTGTGTAATATGCAGGGAATATTCCACCCTAAAAAGACACTCTCTCTGATGGCTTAGCAAAGTTAATTATCTTCCACTCCTCCACATTGTTACTGCTGTTTGGGTTTACCAATCAACTTACAAAGCAGGTAATGCCAGTTAACATTCAGCAAGCACAACCAGGCCAAAATATACACACAAAAAAACCTCAGCCACACAATAAATAATACTTAGCTGAAAATCATTTCTCCATAGTAAAAAGCAGCAGTACTGTGTAGTTGTAGGCACTAGCCACGTATTTGCTGGACAGGTTGTCCAAAATAGCAAAAGATAGATCTCCTATTAAAGGAAGCCCGATTCCAAGCACTCTAGGTCCTCACACAAATCCGAAAGATGGGGGTGGTATGGATGGGAGGTAAAAGGACACTAAAGTTTTCACTCCAGAAAACGCATTTTACTGTAAGTAAACAAAAATCAGTTTGCATGAGGCGGTAAGGGACAGACTTTACTTGAATTTAAAGGGTGTTATGCGTGAAAGCATTGTCTTCAGAGAATAGAATGTTCAACATTAATGTCTGCTGAATGCATGTATAGACAACCTAGTTGCAGTCTTGTTCTGAAGGAGCTTCTTAAGCCAGTGCCAAAGCCAATTGGACTATGCTTAGGCCTTGAGGTATCAGAAAGACTGGTGATAATATGTACGTTTTCTGGAATTGCACAGTTTCTTACTATATTCCTCAGAGGGATGTTACAACAAACACATGCAAATTTTTCCCCCAATTTTTTTTATATAGTGGGTTTTCCTTCCTCCAAAGGAATTTCCCCCATGCTAGACATCCTAAATAGAAAGAGAAATTAAAGGACAGAAAAAATAAATCCAGAATAAGGGATAATATAAAAATTAATTTAAATAACTAAATAAATAAAAAGGGGGAGCAAAGCAACTTTGCTTGTAAATTGCTTCCTGCAAAATGCGGCATAACCGCATTGATTGGAGTTGGATGCAAAGCTACTCAAATGTGCATTCCACCTGCTACTGTCCAACATGCCAATGTCTCATGTCTATGGGGAGCAACTACTCATCCAAACAAGAATCCTAGACCAACATATTGTGCTTTTTCTGAAAGATCAAGTAAAAAGGTACCCTTTCAAGCATCTTAAATAACAGACAACTACTGGGGAAACTCAGATCTCGTTGCCTTTTAGAAGGCATCAGAGAGAGATACGTGTGGGAACCCTGTCCAACATGAGATGAGGCAACAAACTTCAGCAGATTATTATTATGGTGGCAGGGACACAGATTAAGGATTACGCAAATGGTCTAAACAAATGAACATAATTACACAATTTTAACAACCGTAGCTTTAAGGATTCTGGTGTTTATCAAGCCCAATCATCAGGGGAGCTTTGATTTGGGCCACAAATAAACTGCACTGTAGTATGAGCATGAAACCATCTGCCACACTTGTTCCAAAGCCAGAACCACAACATAACAAAAAGGTGTTATCAACACCTAAATGGCATTTTTTGTAAAAATAAAATATTAATTCCTCCTCCTGGCAAATTCTCTGGAAACTTTTTTTTACACTATAAAGTATACTTAACTCTGATTTCCTAGCATGTGTTGCTCTTGCACTATCAGCCTTTAATCAGTATGAACCTGCATGTTAAAGACAGGACTGCACATTCCTGTTACATTGCAAAAAGATATTACTAATCAGTTTGCGGAATCTAAAGCAAGGCAGATCCTTCCAGTCAGAGAGACATCAGAAGCAGAGAACTAGGGAGGGAGGGTGTGTTCGTACAAGGAACCACCAACAAGGGGGAATGGAAAATAAGTCAAACGAAACTCATGAGATGCAGAATGGGGAGTTAAACAGGATAATAAAAGAGAGCAACATCAGAGATCAACATTCAAATGCCATGGATGGGATTTTAACACATGCAATATTTCAATACACGGTGTACACACTCAATCGGTCACCCTCCACACTAACTTATTACAGTGGCAGCATACAATCTATCCTACGCAGTGTTCCCAGATCCATCATGCTCCCAGGGCACATTAGGTTTTCACGCTGATGGGCATTACATGAAATGTGCTGTCATGTAGCACACAGAAATGCCGTGGAAGGAACGTCAATACATTCATCAATGAGGAAACTCGAAAAAACAGAAATTTATATTTATATAATTTCACAAGATAGCACTTCCTGTCCAGCATGAAAATGTGATAAGTGTCCATGATAATATCGTGGATATGGCAATACTTTTCCCTAAATGATAGGCTATTTCCCCCGAGTACATGGGTTGTTTATTCATTTACAAAACGTATGAATAGAGGGCAAGTTTCAGATGAACAATTCATTATTTCGTTAACTCTGAAGATATATTTGCACCAAACTTTGCTTTTACTTTCTCCAAGATGGCCACAATGTCTGTTAATGTGGGTTCTGACTCACTAAAGAAAGCTTACGTGCAGAGTAATGTAAGCAAATTATAAGTTTTAAAACACATTAGGTCTTTATTAGCCAAACATAGGAATATTGATTCTGCATGCATTCTCTCTTATCCCCTTACTTTAAAAATACAAATACTGCTGGGTGTATACAGAAATGTCAAATATGGCACAAAAGCTTTCAACCCAGAGCACCAGTGAGGTGACGGGTGATAATTATTTCAAGAGTAATTAGCTTTTGCAGATGTAAGGAAATGCACACATTAACCACATTTCATCAATGAGTGGGATGAGAAAACTTAACAGTGAAAATTAGCGAGGTTCACACCCAATAACACCTGATAACCAACTTTAGACATCAGCATTACTCACTCGTCAGAAGCAATTATCAGAACGACACCTAAAATACTTTATTGTGCCATGCTGTGGTGCAGTAATGCTTAGAAATACCCATTTATACTGGGCACTATCAGAAAAGCAAACATAAAAAAAAAATGATATATATATATATACATATATATACATATATACACACACACATACATTTATTTTATTTATTTTTTTACATTTTCCCATGGCTCTGTAGGCACAAATTCTTAAACTAAGTGATCAGTTCCGTTTAAACCTCAATCTCTCATTAGTAGACAGCCACTAGAGGAGGAGTTAACCCTGCAAGGTAATTATTGCAGTTTATGAAAACTGCAATAATTACAGTTGCAGGGTTAAGGGTAGTGGGAGTTTGCACCCAGACCACTCCAATGGGCAGAAGTGGTCTGGGTGCCTGGAGTGTCCCTTTAACTTTCCTCATAGAGATGCACTGATTTAATGCAGCTCTATGAGGAGATGCAGATTGGCCTGGCCAGAGTTTGGCAACGCCCCCATGGCGATCTCAGCCATTTAAATGCTTTCCCATAGGAAAAGCATTGGAATGTCTGAGATCAATTCTGATATTGTGGCCAAAGAGGCAGACCGGGGGCGGGGCCAGCGCTGTGCTGGAAACTAGGGAAGTTTTAACCCTTTCCAAGGGGGGCAAGCCATCTAAATAGGGTCAGGAATACAGGTGTGTGTTCCTGACAGAGTGTTCCTTTAAATGGATACTCTAAGTAACATAACTCCAATAATAAGTCGTTAAACTGTTCAAGAACGATTTGATCTGTGCATAGCTTGGTAGCTTGCAGTGGTCCTTCCAGTCTGCACTGATGTGGTAAAGTGGAAGTACATATTGCTGCATTAGCATTATCAATTGTGTGCAACCTTGGGCATTAATTGACTGAGAGTGTCAGCGGAAGCTGCCAGCCATTTAATGATTTTGCAACCCCTTCAATGTGGAAAGTATTTTACACTATAACTGGAAACCTTAAAGGGACACTTCAGGCACCCAGACCACTTCAACCCATTAAAGTGGTCTGGGTGCCAACTCCCATCACCCTTAACCCTGCAAGTGTAATTACTGCGTCGACGGAATCCCCACAGGAAAGCAATGAATAACGCTTTCCTATGGGGAGGTCTAATGCACGCGGCCATTGCCGCACATGCGCATTACGTCTCCCCCGCCGGCTGACATCGACCAGGGAGGAGTGTGAGCGGAGCCTGACCCAGCGCCGAGGGACATCGGTGCTGGATTCAGGTAAGTCACTGAACGGGTTTTAACCGCTTCAGCAACATGGGTTGGAGGGTGGGAGGCACTGCATGATCCTGCAGTGCCAGGAAAACATTTGTTTTCCTGGCACTGGAGAGTCCCTTTAAGTAACATAATGATAAGAACACATATATGAATGACGTTATGTTATGAACGTACAAGTCTGAATTTCTTTAAATGACAATATAATTGTATAATAACTTATTTCTATTCAGTCATTTTATCGCAATAACTTTCCACTATGTAAAGTAGTTACTGGGGTAGTGTCACAGACATTGAACTTTCTACAGAAAACTACTACTCTGGAATCTCTTCATAGAGCTATTGTTCAATAAACCACTAGAGTTGGGAAGGGAAACACTATTGTGAAGGAATACACGTTTGTATTACTAATGGAGTGTTACTCCACCGCCACCAGTTAATTTTGATACAGGAGGTCATTAAATGTCTTCAGTTTGGGAAACTCAAAGTGATGTTAAAGGACCACTCTAGGCACCCAGACCACTTCAGCTTAATGAAGTGGTTTGGGTGCCAGGTCCAGCTAGGGTTAACCCATTTTTTCATAAACATAGCAGTTTCAGAGAAACTGCTATGTTTATTAATGGGTTAAGCCTTCCCCCTATTCCCTCTAGTGGCTGTCTCATTGACAGCCACTAGAGGCGCTTGCGTGCTTCTCACTGTAATTTTCACAGTGAGAGCACGCCAGCGTCCATAGGAAAGCATTGTAAATGCTTTCCTATGAGACCGGCTGAATGCGCGCGCAGCTCTTGCCGCGCGTGCGCATTCAGCCGACGGGGAGGAGAAGAGGAGGATCGGAGGAGGAGAGCTCTCCGCCCAGTGCTGGAAAAAGGTAAGTTTTTACCCCTTTCCCCCTTCCAGAGCCGGGCGGGAGGGGGACCCTGAGGGTGGGGGCACCCTCAGGGCACTATAGTGGTCCTTTAAGTCATACATTTTCTAGAGCAAGTTTTGACCATCATTGATCAGCCATAACATTAAAACCACTGACAGGTGAAGTGAATAACAATTATATCGTTACAATGACAACCGTGCAAGATATATAAGGCAGGAAGTGAACAGTTCTTGAATTACATGTGTCAAAGCAGGAAAAATGGTGACGTGAAAAGGCTTTGACAAGGGCCAAATAGTGATGGCTAAACTCTTTTGGGGTGTTCCTGGTGCAGTGGTTAGTACCTACCAAAGGTGGTGCATGGAAGTTAACTGGCTTCAGAGTCATGGGTGTCCAAGGCTCATTTATGCAAATGGGGAGTGAAGGCTAGATCATCTGGTCTGAGCTACTGTAGCTCAAATTGTTGAAAAATGCAATGCTGGCCATGATAGAAAGGTCTTGGAACACACAGTGCATGGCAGTTTGCTGCACATGGGGTTGCGTAGCCACAAACTGGTCAAAGTGCCCATGATGACCCACTAGAGATGTTTCCTATATTAGTGTTGTGCACCTACGTTTAATAGAGATGCATCTTAATGAGAAGATGCGGACTGGCGCAGCAAGGCATTTCGCAGTCTTATGAGAAAGCATTGGATTAGCTGAGATGATCAAGATTTCAGCCATGGAGGTGGGGCCGGGCCATGGCAAGGGTGAAATGGTGAGTAAAACTACTTTTTCACTGCAATCTCAGAGGAACCAAACACCTAAATAGTCATTAAAGCACTGTATTTTTAGGAATATATGTTTGTATTCCTAAAACTCTAGTGTTCCTTTAAATATTTTACCACTGTATTTTATAAAAACCATCTGCTTCTGAAACGGGTACAAATCCACCTGGAAACCTCAGAATCACCCCACAGGGCTCCACAGGATGAGAAACTTATCTATAAGCCTTTGACTATGATAGGATTGTTAGACACATATTAGAAACAGTTGGCTTTTGCAGATTTTTAAACAGTTTCCAGAGAATGATGAGACAGATATACAGTGGGCGGCAGTTCTCTATGCCTTGTGAGAGGGATCAGAGGAGAATATGAAAATCTGTCTGTTTGAACAAGTCTAGCCAAACATTCACTTAAAACTATATGTTAAAGGACCACTATAGGCACCCAGACCACTTCAGCTTAATGAAGTGGTCTGGGTGCCTGGTCCAGCTAGGGTTAACCTTTTTTTTTTTTTTTTTAATAAACAGTTTACACTGAGGGTTAATCCAGCCTCTAGAGCAGGGTTGTCAAACATGCAGCCCCCCAGATGTTGCTGAACTACAACTCCCATGATTCCCTGGCTATCTGTTTCATTGAAAGAATCATGGGAGTTGTAGTTCAGCAACATCTGGGGGGCCGCATGTTTGACAACCCTGCTCTAGAGCATCTAGTGGCTGTCTCATTGACAGCCGCTAGTGGCGCTTGCGTGCTTCTCACTGTGAAAACCACAGTGAGAAGACACCAGCGTCCATAGGAAAGCATTGTAAGCGCTTTCCTATGAACTGGCTGAATGCGCGCGGGGCTCCTGCCGCGCATGCGCATTCAGCCGATGACGTCGCTAGGAAAGAGGAGAGGAGGAGAAATGTAAGATTTTAACCCCTTCCTCTCTCTAGAGCCCGGCGGGCACTATAGTGGTCCATAAAAAAAAAAAAAAAAAAATTGTGCACAGAAGAGCATCTCTGAAAAACAAACATCTAGATGTGTTTATCATGTCTCGATAGTGCATTATGGTGGTGTAATAACCAGTTTATTCATTGCTTAGCAGAGACACTCAGCCCCTGGTAGCCTACAACCCATCTATTAATGATGAAATAGTGGAGGTGGAGCTATGTTTCCACCTGGCCCATTCTAATTCACATCATTGACTGGGGTAGTGATTAGCTGAAAGCATTCAATTGATGCATTAAGCCTATCAGCCCTTCAATACAGTGGTTTAGATGCCTAAAGTGTTCCTTTAACAAAAACAAAGTTACTGTTACATTTGTAGAGATCTAAAATAACTTACATATGTAACGGCGCAACTTTCAAACCAAATATGCACTTATGGCAGACTGTTACAAATGTGTGCAAATGCAGTGTCATAATCTTTTGAACATTTTAAAAGATCAAATCACATTCACTACACTCATGTATAAGTAAATATTTTATATATTGCCCTGCACGGCTGATTACAAATGTAAAGGTCAGTTTTATGATCAGACTTTGAGTTGACAGGCTGGCGCAGAGATTAAATGTAAAGAGTGACATAAAACATACAGCTTTCAGTTGCTCTAGTAATTTGTGTAAAGTATTTTAAGTAATCTTATTGTAAAATTTTAAAAGAGTAAAAATACACTGCTTAGTTTTTGCTCACAGTACCAGAGTGCACAATCCAGTGAAAAGACAAATAGTATTTTAATACGTACATATGCAAAGATAAGTGTTAAAAAAGTAGTCACTTGTAAGATTAGTTTTGCACAACTGAACAGTAACGCATCTCCCACACATTTTATTTTCTCAGTTTAGCTGTATTGCTGGGCACAGCATGTAAACTGGGTTAGCACCAACATGGCTGTACGTGTATGCCTTAGCAGGCATGTGCTCATATGGCTTTTTTCTCTCTCCAAAAGATGGCTTTAGTGTACATGCGCACTACTGAGGTACCATGATGCAATGCTTTTGATCACAAATGTAGAGAGTCTTATTTGTTTTATTAATTACCTTCAATGCTTTATTCATCTCAGTAAATGCTGCTACAGAATCTAGTACGGTAATAAGGACCATACACACACACACAGACTGCTGAGTCCATACACACACACACAGACTGCTGAGTCCATACACATACACACAGACTGCTGAGTCCATACACATACACACAGACTGCTGAGTCCATACACAGACAGACTGCTGACTCCATACATACACATACACAGACAGACTGCTGACTCCATACATACACAGACAGACTGCTGACTCCATACATACACACAGACTGCTGACTCCATACATACACACAGACTGCTGAGTCCACACACACACAGACTGCTGAGTCCACACACACACAGACTGCTGAGTCCACACACACACAGACTGCTGAGTCCATACACACACACACACACACAGACTGCTGGGTCCATACACACACACAGACTGCTGAGTTCACACACACACACACACACACACACACAAGCTTCCTCACTAGCAGACAGACACACACACACACATCCCTGAGCATTTCAAGCCCACTGGTCACTGGAGGTTGTTGCTGGGGGTCAGACAGCCATATTCTGGCCTTTCCAGCAGCAGCAAGGTCTGGGCTTATGTGCGGGAGGTGAGGCTTCGTTTTAGGGGCGGGGCTTGTGCCGGGGAGCCTATCAGTGCTCCCTCCGATCCCAGCATGTCTGCACAGACAGCACCCAGCCCTGCATTCCCTCGGGCTGTAACACACTGTTACAGTCCGAGGGAATATAATGTAAGAACATGGCCAGCAAGTTGCCGGCATTTGGGGGGGGGGGAGGGGGGCACAGCATGATGTAGAGGGGGCCATGGCCCTCGCTGACCTCCCCCTGGCGACGCCACTGATTAAACCACCGGGTTTAGTTTAAATCCACATACTAGGAATTGTTAGGTGTTGCACAAACTGAAAATACCACCAGCATTTCAAATGAAAAAAGAGGGATAATTTACCTCTAGAAGTGTGGTTGGGGATGTAGCCAGTGGAAGAACTGTTCTGAGAAACCTTAGGTGACTTATTGATCATTTTCTGCAACAAAAATTAAAATTCAGCACAAGATCAATGTATCTTACCAACACATTTCTAAACAAATGTATTGTTGTGTAAAGACACATTGCTGTGAGGATTATGCGGAGGAGATCTGATAAATACAAACAATGAATAATAATAATAATAATAATAGTAATATGGAGCTCACAGAAAAGAGAGAAAGGGATTAATAGTGGGACAGTCCCTCCTAAATAGGGACAGTTAGGAGGTATGCTGTGAGTGATGAGGGCTGCCCGATCCTATCCAATCCCAGGGGTCATGTAACAGGATGGCTTGGCATGCCCTTTTAAAATTCCTAGAGGTCACCTAGTGGCAAATGTCTGCAGTGCCAATCAACTTTTTGGCTTTACTAGTAGTGCATGACAGGAATGACAGAATTATTAAAGTTTAAAAAATAAAATAAAAAATCCAGTCACAAATCAACATATATACCATAATACCTTTTTAAAATGTAATTTTCAATGGAATAGTTTGACAGAATATTTAAAATATTTTTTGTAAATAGTCATTGCAGAAACTTGCAGTGGGGAATGTTACGAAAGGTGGAACCATGAGAAAAAAAAAGTCAGGTGTGCACAGCTGAAAATAACTTGCTACCCTACTGTGAAGCATCGGGTCTACTTTAAGCATGGTTTCAATACAGTAGTAATTACGGTTATCAGAAATGTCAGCATAAAGATAGGGAACTGGATTCCTGGCAGTGTTAATCATAGAGGCTCTTTTTTTACGCATGAAGAAAGGATACAGAGAGATTCAATAAGCTATGTCTCAAACTCATAACAACTGAAAAAATAACCTTCCTTTAATGGTTAATAAACTATGAGATAATTTTATAATCTTTAATAAATTCCTAGCTACATTACTTCCAAGCTGTAATATATACACCAACAACTTTTGGGCTTCTAGAAGATGTAATCAAGTGAACCATTTTTATAAAAAGAAAGCAGATAACATAACTGTAATTTTGAGAAATCCTTGCTCTGAGCAGAATTGAGACTGTCCCCAGAGAACACCTTATAATCACACTGCACACCCGGACAGGATTATTCACTAAACTCAGAATTTTAACAAATTAAAGAAACACAAAGGGCACCATAACACGGTCAAATTAAGTTGTTATGGAGCCAGAGGAAATTATAAAGACAAAAACACAACGTCCTCTGCAAACAAAGCAAATTACAGTACTAGAGGCAGTGATGATATGTAAATATTGCACAAAGTATTGATATATTGCTTTCAAAATATGGCCATCACACAGGCCGGACATAAGAATTCACAAGTATCTACAAATGTAGCATTTAGTTTTCCTGTGGATGAAGTCTAAGCAGGGTAAATAGTGAATGGAAAATGCTTGACAAGCTGCCAAAACTATTCTTAAAGCAACACTAAAGTTGTATTGCCATGTGAGTGATGTCAATCTTCATGTATCTCCAAATATATATTCAATTTTACACTCAGCACATCCTTACAAATGGATTAGTCTAGAGTTAAAACAGCTATTCTTCTACTAGTAAAAAGTAAAACCCAATAAACTTTTATAGGGGAGTGGGGGCAGCATCAGCAACTCGAGCTACTAATTGTACCAGTGCAGTGCTGTCACAGGTTTTAAATGTATTTAGAGGAACACTAAATATACTGTTAGGAATACCCCCCCAGATTGGAGTTAAAGGGTAACTTTACTTACCTTTTCTCCATCTAGCCTTTGGTCTCACAGAGGCTGGCCCTGCCTCCATGGCTACGATCAATTTTGATGATTGCAGCCAATTCAATGATTTCCAGTAGGAAATCATTGGGAGGCTATTGCGCATGCGCAGCAAACCACCAGGCTGCGCCAATCAGCATTTCATCACAGATATGCACTGAATCAATGCATCTCTATGGGGAGTGTTTAGAGTCTCTGCGCTACACAGTGCAGCACTGAGATATGAAGCACCTCTAGTGAATAGAGGTACTCCTAGGCAGTAACACCAACACTGCCTTTTCTCTGATAAGGTGGGGGGAGGAGAGAGGAGAGAGACAGACAGACACACAAAATCCTGGGCCAAACTGAAGAATGAGTTCCATATCTTTGTCCCATTTATATCATAGTTTCTCCTCCATTTTGTTTTCTTACTAAACCAGTAATAAATTCTCAGTACATTGACAATTACTCTACCCTTGCCTTTTCCTGATCCCCTCAAACATTTGCACAAGTTCCATGTTCTGAGACATTTTCAAGTGTCAAGGAAAAACTGTGAATTTGGGGACATGTTTCACTGATTTACGCTTTGGAGGTACACGGTTTTGAACACTGCCAAGATTATAAGCAGGTCTGCTTACTGTATTTAATACCTTTTTCGGTTATTTTACATCCTTAGCAGAAGCACACATGGGTGAAAAGTGAATAAAGACCATATGAGGAGGGTGATTTCTAAAGAGTCTGGACTCTGGAGCATGGCTTTGGAACGTTTTGCTCACTGACAATAACTGAGGGCCATCTTTTTCTAAAGGCATGGTTCTTCAAATGTCTAATTTGTGTCTCAGTCCCCCTCCTAGAGGCCACTTCCTTTTATTACGTGCTCTCCCACTGCTGGTCTTAAGGTTTCTTTTTCCTTACAAGATCTGATCATATAGAAACAGCAGAGAAATAGGGGATAATCTGCTAAATAAATGACAAGAACAATGCATAGCGCATAACTGTGTGTATGAATAAACCAAGTGTATAATTCACATATAGAAACAGCATTTGCCCAGTTAATGTGACAATGTAAATAGAGAATATGATTCTTAGAGAGAGTGTGCGAGGCCTTTGCGACTAGCATTGCATGACAACATAATTAAACAATTTTAATTTACAGTTAGTAAAGATTTTAAATATATATATATATATATATATATATATATATATATTTTTTTTTTTTTAAAGGTCCTTGTCAAAACCCTTCACAAAAAAGCTTAAATTATAATTTGTATCTTAGAATCTAATTTTATTTACAAAAGGTGTATAAACAAATTTTTTTTAACCCACAATAAAAGAGCAGGTGAGCTTTGATACAGGCATGCACAAATAAAAAATAAAATAAAAAAATGAGAAAATACAAAAATGTTAAACCATAAAACATGAAACACACAGTTTAGTACAAATTAAAAAAAAAAATAAAAAATGTGCTTATCAAACATTTTTTTTTTTTAAACTGCAATTTCTCTACCTGAAACTAGATCTACTGCACACATATGATTGCTATATTCATTCTGACTTTTGACCTCACGTGACATTATAAATTTCACATATTTCTGCCAAATCACTCAGCGAACATACTAGCAACTTCCCATGACAGTCTTAATCCCCAACCAATAACACTGCTTAATATTAGAGCAGAAACATAATCCGTAGATCAAGAAGATAAGAGACATGGATATGGCTACAGTAAGAGCAGGAGGATGGGGCGTGGAGATCTGAGGATTTCCTACAGGACAGGTTAAAGTCAAGGGATGGACTTGGCATAGAATTATATTTTGGGTGCTTGGATGGCCCTATAACAGGTGCATTCATTGTCTTTAGGTTTTTATTATGGGAGAAGATTTGATTAAAGTGTCATTCTAAGTATTATAGCACATTATTGTGGCTACGGTGCAAGGAGTGATAACATACACAATTTTACAGCCAGATTCTGTTCGGATGCTTTGTCAAAATCCTGTAGATTGGCATTATCCAAGTGGCTGCAGAATGGGAGGGTTTTGTGTGTCAATTGGAGCGACAGTTTTTGTCAAACAATTCAAAAATAGTTTGACATTAAACTGGGAAAAAGCAACCAAAGACTAATTGCACCATAACCACTATTAAGACCAGCAGTAGTTATGGCGACTACAGTGCCCTTTTAAAAGGAAAATGTCATGGCTTACCCCTTTCTCTGCTTCACTATGTCCACACAAAAGGTGGGTGTTACACTTTTGCAACACCTGTCTCCGCTTAGCCAAGAGCTCGACAAATTCCAGGCACCAGGTCGCCATGGCGAACAGGAAAAATATTGTCCTGGCGCCTGGGATTTGTGAGCCTGTTCAGACCCCAAGGTGATTAGCTGCCTCGGAGCGGAGGCAAATTCACTGTGTGAAAAATGCCAAGTTTAATTGGAGAGAATAGAGCTTCGATGGGTTTTATACATTTTACTTTGCAGTTGAAGTCCAGACTTTAGTGAACAGACATGAAAATGTTTGCATATCCTAATAATACAAGCATGAGCAACTTTAAATTTAAGTATAAAAGCTTCATGACAGAATATCACCTCAGTCAACTTTTATAAATGCTAATAAAAACAAAACTGCATTCTGTGTCAGAATCACAATAGTTTTAAAAAAGCTATACTTCAGTCAATGTTACATTTTATGATCAGAATGTTGTATAAGAAACAATTTATTATTTTCTGCAGTAGGGCATTTTATGAGAAATGTATGTCCCTAAACTGTTAGTGGTACTGAACATATCCAAATATTGGCAATAACTAGGAGAATGGAGTATTGTGATTTACAAAATAACTTTCTGTCCATCCTTATTTCCTGAATGCGGAGTATTGTAAAATGGGTTTGCTGGTGAAATAGGAAGAATTACTGATGTTCACCCAGATCTGATTTAAAAAAAAAAAAAAACACTCAAAGCACCATAACCCAGGGCATGACAAATCTGCTTGGAATCTGGGAGCAAGCTAAAAAAGTTAGTAGCCAGTTTTTTTACAACTAGTAAAACAAAGTTTAATTTACAACTATAAATATACAATTCTTAAACAGACACTAGTCACCAGGACCAATACAGCTTAATGTAGTAAGATTCAGAGGACCAGACCCACAGCTGACTGAGGAAGCTCTACAAGAGTGAAACACATTTCGGCTTATCCAGGACTTTTTATACTTTAGTATTTTATGTTATTTGTGTATATTGTATTAAAATCTAATTATTTTAAAATAGTCCTCTGGAGCCTAGTGAATCTACTTAGGGGTAGTGCCATCCCCACAAATATTGGCACATAGCTACTACTCCTCAGAGCCAGAATACAGGGCTCTGAAAAAGGTGAGCACTTTACTTATTCTCACTAGGGATCGGCCATATTGATTTTTTTAGAGCCGATACAGATGTGAGCTTTCAGGCCGATAGAAACATAGAAAAATAAAATGTGACGGGAGATCAGAACCATTCGGCCCATCTAGTCTGCCCAATTTTCTAAATACTTTCATTAGTGCCTAGCCTTATCTTATAGTTAGGATAGCCTTATGCCTATCCCACGCATGCTTAAACTCCTTTACTGTGTTAACCTCTACCACTTCAGCTGGAAGGCTATTCCAGGCATCCACTACCCTCTCAGTAGTGCAGAGTGTGTGTGTGCGCGCGCGCACAGTGAATGCAGAGGGCTTGTGCAGCGTGTGTATAGTGAATGCAGTGGGCTTGTGTGCAGCGTGTGTATAGTGAATGCAGTGGGCTTGTGCAGCGTGTGTATAGTGAATGCAGTGGGCTTGTGCAGCGTGTGTATAGTGAATGCAGTGGGCTTGTGCAGCGTGTATATAGTGAATGCAGTGGGCTTGTGCAGCGTGTATATAGTGAATGCAGTGGGCTTGTGCAGCGTGTATATAGTGAATGCAGTGTGCTTGTGCAGCGTGTATATAGTGAATGCAGTGTGCTTGTGCAGCGTGTATATAGTGAATGCAGTGTGCTTGTGCAGCGTGTATATAGTGAATGCAGTGTGCTTGTGCAGCGTGTATATAGTGAATGCAGTGTGCTTGTGCAGCGTGTATATAGTGAATGCAGTGTGCTTGTGCAGAGTGTATATAGTGAATGCAGTGTGCTTGTGCAGAGTGTATATAATGAATGGACTGTGGAGTGGAGGACCCAGCAAGCGCTTACTTACCTTTCCAGCAGCTACCTTCAGCTCCCTTGTGTAAATCACGCGGCCTGCTTGCTGCGTTGCCCTGGTAACCAATGGCAACGCTCTGACGGCCGTGGGACTCGCGAGATTTACACAGGGGAGCTGAAGGGAACTAGTGTGAAGGTAAGTAAGCGCTTGCTGGGTCCCCCAGGACCGCAGGGCTTGTCATGAGCCCAGCAGTACTGGTATGTATTATCGGCAATGTTGGTATCTCTATAGGCCGATACCGAAATTGCAGAAAATACAGAATATCGGCCAGACCGATAATCGGTCGATCCCTAATTCTCACCACTGCACCAATTGAGACAGACTGCACATTTGTTCTCCTCTCTCTTATCTTTGAGATCCAACATATCGTGGAATACAGGTGTGATGCTGCCTTAAAAGCATACAAGCCTGAATATGGAGCCAGTGTTTATATACAGGCTCCCTTAAATGTGAGTGTTCCACTTCACGACCATTTTATCTATTTTATTTTTATGTACCATCTGCACTATATTTTTTTTTTTATTCTTTTCACATGTACTGCAAATTAAGCTTGCTATCAAGTTATATGGGGTAAGTGTACCCCGTTATTTCGCACAGCGTTTTACTTAGAGGTGTAGGTTTTTGCACTTATACCACCTTATAGGTTATGGTGAGGAGTGGTTGGCTGCTGTCGCTCCTCACACCTTCCTGTGACCTGCCAGCGAGGTGCAGTGTCCCAATAAGGCGTTTCTTAGTGGGCCGGTCCAGCTCTCCTCTTGTCTGAGATGCCATCCCTGCCCGGTACCAACCCTCAACTAGGACATAACTAAAAAAATTTTTACATTTATTTAAAAAAAAAAAAAAAAAAGGCAATTCCTGACCAGTGCCCAGAACTGCATTCCACATCCCTGAAGCAGAAGTGGTCATGGCAGTTGGGGTAGAACTTTAATTGAATTGGACAAGTCACCTACCTCAAGCTCTCTCTCTCCTCCTCTCCACGCTACAAACAAAGCCTCAAATGTCTAGTACTTCCACCAATACACAACATAATGGATACATGCAAGAATAGAAATATTACATTTAATATACTGCCGCCAATGAAATGGGAATTTACAGTAAGTAAAATATCAGTTATTACACTGTCAAAATAAAAAATAAAAAATCACTGTTTAATAGATAGATATCTTAAATAAAATCCTACAAACATTTAATGATGCATTTTTTCATTGGGAAGAATGAATATACACACACACACACACAATTACAAAACCTGCAATTCTCTTGTCTGCTGCCTTTGCAACCTCTCCCCTTCAAACCCTGACCAGACTTTCTGTTACTGTCCAATCACAGACTTCACAAAGCATATCAATAAGAAGCCTTTGCAAAGCAGGTGCTCTGAGCAATTGACTACCTCTTGTGTTTAGCTCCATTGAGCTTAAAGGGACACTATAGTCACCAAAACTTTAGCTTACTGAAGCAGTTTTGGTGTATAGATCATGCCCCTGCAGTCTCACTTCGGAATTATCTGCCATTTAAGAGTTAAAAATCACTTTTTTTTGCATCCCTGGGCACATCCCCTACATGTGACTTACGCAGCCTTCCTAAAAACTTTCTGTAAAGAGTCAACTAATGTTTATACTTCCTTTATTGCAAATTCTGTTTAATTAAGAATCTTATCTCCTGCTGTTAATAGCTTGCTAGACCCTGCAGGAGCCTCCTGTATGTAATTAAAGTTAAATATACAGCGCAGGCGGACAAGAACTTTTAAAGTAAATTATGTCTGATTGAACTCCTAAATGGCAGAGAATTGGGCATTGAAACTTCAGAGGTATGATCTATACACAAAAAACTGCTTCATTAAGCTATAGTTGTTTTGGGGACTATAGTGTTCCTTAAAATAAAATACATAAAAAATAAATAAATATAAAAAAATTAAAAAAATAAAAATAAAAAAAAAATCGGGAAGTAACAGGACTGTTTTTTTGATTGACGAGCAGGCTGGAGATGGGAGTGTAACAAGGTTAATTTATAAAAATGTTAGTTTTATTGTTAACACACAAAGCGTTTCAGCAAGCCTAAGTGCTTTATGGGCCTGGAGTGTCCCTTTAATATAGTTACGTAAAACACCAAACACATACACAGCATTTATATGAAAACTCGGTGGTAATGGAGAAGTTTTGCATTAAAACTGCAGGACTGATGTTTCAGGAAACAATGTGTTAACCACTGAACCAACAGATTCTATTTTAAGATACCCTAAGCTGATCAAAGAGGATCAATGAGCAACAAAGTGTATGGTGCTTCTGTATACACAACCAAAAGAGATATGGAAATAGACCAAAACCCATCACAATAAAACATCTTATATACTAAAGATAGAGATATGGTTAAAACAAAGCATCAAATATGAATTGTAGATTTATTGTTTTAATTGTGTTTACAAAATTGTTTCATATGAAGACACAATGGAAACCCTTCTAAGGTCTTCTGAACCAATATCATTGTTTTACTGTTGACATCCTATCAGGAATATACAGTTTGGGAGGATTATTTAAAAGGGTGAGACAACAGATAACATGGAACCCACTGTGTGTCAGATAATGCCCAAGAGATACATCTCAAAGCAAGGCACACCAATACTTGTAAATACCCACAACTGGGCAGCAAGACAGCAAAGGTGTAACTGTGTTTTTTGCGTTGGAGGTAATAGAAAAGAGAAGAAAAATAAAAAATACGAGGATGGTAGATGTAAGGCATATACACAAACTATTTGAATCAACTATTTGATTCACTAAACAGTGAATCATAGAGCGTAACTGCAAACTGTAGGCTAAGAACTAGAATAGTGACCCAACTCATCTAATGCTTCAATTACATGTACTTTGATCGAAAACGTGAAACTTCCTTGTCAAATATCCACAGTGCTTTATATGAATGAATGAGAAAAACAAAGTCTAAAAAAAAAAAAATTTAAAAAAAAAATGAAGAAATCATTCCTTTAAGTTATTCAATTGATGACCAAGCAACGTTGTCATAAAGTACCATATTAGTTACAATATAACTACAAATGTGATAAAATATTGAGCCATAAAATAATGTGAGGGTGTGGAGAGCTAGATAATTAACCAGAGGTATATCTTCTAGTAAAGAGCTCACTGACTTCATCATTTGAAAGCAATGCCAAGAAACATATGAAATAAGTGAAACATGCATGACATCAACCAAAATCCTGGAGTAACCAACTAGTAACAGACTGACCTGGAAAAAATGCCTTATGAAATACCAAAGATGATAACATCCATATGCAAAGTAACAGGTATTGCTGGTAACATCACAGATGAAAAACTGCAGTTTGGAGATTCAACAATAACACACTATGTTCAGTTGGTAAACTAACTTTAGGAAATACAGAATGGGCTGTTTTATTTGCGTTGTTATCTCTTGGTTTTTTGTTCTTGAAACGGTACAAATTAGTTTGAGAGACAGGTAACTTTTTCACTTGTCAAACTTCCCATCTTAGGAAAAGATGAACATATAAGAAGGTAAACACATGCAGACCAGCTTTTTTCCCAACTCTGTTACCAGGGACCCTTCTGTTATTCTGAGGACGTGTATTTTCTGGCGTCAACAATAAACAGACAATTGCAAGTCTGTGACAGATCTGATTTGTGGGAGGCAAGACAACATGCTAAAAAAAAAAAAAAGTAGGTATTTCAAGCACTTACTGCAGAATCCAAAACAATTACAGTTTCATACAATTCGTTGCAAACTAGCCTACTGCACAGCTCTGTGTAACATATTGACACTTCCTAAATAGTTCACTTCAAAGGCCTGCAGATCAGCAAGCTCTCTTGCCCTCATCAAAGCATCTTAAACATTGCTGAAATGAGAAACACTGCTTCAGGGTAGTTCTATAATTTATCTAGGACAACCATTTTCCGCAATTTATTAGACTAGCTTTGTGAAATGTACACTGCGTGCTGCATCGATACAATTATTGCTCTGTAACAGAATATAATCATTCCATATTAAAGGGGTAATATATATATATATATATATATATATATATATATATATATATATACACACACACACACATATACACATACATACACACACACATATAGAATACATTATGTTATTATGTTTGTTTGGTACCATGTAATAGCTTATTCTTTGAATTTATTTTCACTTCTGTACATACTTTCTCATTCATAAAGGAAACTTTTTTTGTGTATTTCACTTATTTATCTGTTTTATTTGACAACAGTTCGTACATTAGTGTATTTATGTCATTATTATATTATCTATACTATTTAAAAAAAATAACATTAATAAATATATTAGAGGAGAATACATAATGGTTAAATTATGGGAAAATAATGCCATTGAAGGATTGAGACATCATTAACCATAAGGCCAAACATAGTTTAAGATGCTAGGGCAATATGTGAGGTTAACGTGTAGTGTGTTAGGGTAGTGCACAGGTTATGGAGAGGACTTTGCAGTAATATCACAGTGTTGCCTGTGACTAGCAGGAGTTACAGTACATGAAAGCTGCTGTACCATAATGGCAACAGATATCACTCAGAGGTATAACCCATGTGCATCCCATATTCCCAAGATTTGGGACCCCTGACTACACAGAGGTGATCCATGTATAGTCATCCTTTCTTTACAGGATATAAATCACATGGATGACCAGTAGTACTGTATTCTAAAACATGAAATTGTCAGACCATGATTTACACACACACACCTATAAAACCAGGGACAAATATTGCATGTGGTTAGGTGATTCCATTGTGACTAGATGCACACATATATGTACCTTTACTATATTTAATAATTTCCTAAAAGACTCAACATGGCCATTATCAGAATCTAGTTATAAAAGATCCACTGCCAATATGGAACATTTATAAATAGATAAATTAGAGAAACCAGAGGAGTAGAACAACCCATTCTGAATTGGCTTTGAAACATATTACCAGTTAACCTTTTGGCACTCCAGCTGTTATGAGTATCACCCAGATGCTCATCCTGCTAAATAACTGGTTGATCGTGGGAAATATAGTCCACAACAGCAGGAGTACCAAAGGTCAACTGTGCCTAATATAAAGTATCATTAGTCATAATCATTGAATATATATATGAATACACACATTTCTCCTTAAAATGCAGGTATCCTGACCCAGTGATGCTTCCCCTTTAAATTGTATGCATTGCAATAGATTCTCTATGACAGTGAATGAATATGGGAAGGAGTAGGGACAGTAACAGGGATTTGTTAATGCTCATTTTTAAATAGGATGGGGGTTGTTGTGATCAATCATTAAGGGTGTTCTAAAACATCTTTATTTAGGAAGCATGATGGGGGGTGTCTCTTTAGAGATGTCACAAGGTGATGCTCAGCTAAGTGACAGCTACTGTCCTTGACAACAAGTGACAGTAAAAAAAAAAACCAAAAAACAGGGGTATCTTATTTGCCTATTTTGACATTGATGGCAAAGTTTCCTCCCTCCAGCTGTGGTGCAGTACAAGTTCTCAGGATGGTCTCTCCACCTGAACATCTGGTGCAAACCTCAGCAGGAAAGTTTAACACTCCCTGTAAGAGCAAGGGGTGGCCAAGAGGCATTGAGCCCCCCCCACCCCCATGGTGTCACAGGACTACAACTCCCATGATGCTCTCCTACTCTAGCTGCTGGCCAAGCATTATGGGATTTGTAGTCCCCATGACCTCTGGGGGGTACCTGCTGCCGGTGCCAGGCCGTGCCAGGCCATGCCAGCCGGTGCCCGTTGCTAGGTAACCCGCTCCATCCTCTCACCTGGTGCAGGGCGCTGATGCCGTCCGTGTTGGTGCTGTCAATGACCTCGTTGCCCGCCTCCCCCCTCAGCATGTCCTCGGCCTCCAGCAGGTCCCCCCCGGCGCAGGCCGCCAGGAACTCCGCGGCTCTCTCAAAGCGGACGGTGCGCTCGCCATCTCCGTCCCCCTGCGAGCCCCTGTCCTCCCCGTCATCTCCCTCCGGCTTCCCGCTCCCCGGCCGCAGCCGCCGCCTCCTCCGCCGCTGCCAGCGGGGCTCCGCGGCCTCCTGGTTGGTGCAGGACAGAGCCCACTGCCGCAGCTGCTCCCTCCGCCTCTCCTTAGCTTGTGCGGCGGCAGCAGCCCCTTCCGCCATGTTGTGTTTATGTCTCTGCCTAGTGCCGCCACCACCGCCGCCGCCTGTGTCTCACCCCCCTCCTTCCCTCCTCCGCCCTGTGCGTCCTGAACCCTGCCGCCAGCCTGCTGCCCTGCGTCATCACGTCACCAGCGAGCGTCGCCGGGCATGCCGGGAAATGTAGTCACACCCTCTCTCCCTCCCACTCACTCACTCACTCTGTTACTGCTAGGAAGCTCAGTGAAGGAGCATGGTTGTGTTGACAATAAATATTATATGATTACATTATATTAACAGAGTCGGATTGTGCAGTTTGCCCAGGACCCTAGGCAGGATGCCAGATTGGGGCCTACAGCCCTGGGCTCTATTTCTGAGTGTGTGCTGTGGCTGAGAGTTATGTGTGTGGAGAGTTATATGGGGGGCGAGGGGGTATCTGTGTGTGTTGGTTGAATGTTTTGGGTGTGTGCGGGGGAGTCTGAGTGTTGTGTGCATGATTTGCCACCCCCCCTTTTACTTAAAGGGACACTCCAGGCACCAAAACAACTTCATGTAAATAAGTTGTTATGGTGCCAGCAGGCTCCTGGATGAACTGTTTAACCCCTAAGTTGCCAACAGCGGCGATAACCACTTTCCCTCCCAGGCAGCATCTGGCTTCTAAATTTTAAAAACCCCTTCTGTCACTTATCTGAGTCCAGCACCAATGTCACTTGACGTTGGTTCGGGCTCGGCCGCTACTCCTCCCCCACCGACTTCCGCCGGCTGGGGAGACCTAATGCGCATGTGTGGCAATAGCCGCCCTCGCATTAGTATTTCCCCTATAGGCAGGCCCGGACTGGTCCCAGGACATCCCCTGCCGGTCTATGCAGGGCCGGTGCTATCCGAGCACCGGCCCCGCTGTATTCCATGGAGGGCCGGTGGGGAGATCAAAGCTCTCCCTCACCGGCCCATTTAAATAGACCTGCGGCTGGGGAGGGAGGGAGAGGACCCGGTGGAGCTCTATCTTGCAACTCCGCCGGGCTCCTCTCGCGAGATCGGGAGTGTTGCCATGGCAACGCCCCAATCTCGCGAGAGTGAACTCTAGCCCTTAGGCTAGAGTTCACTCACCACTGGACCACCAGGGATGATGTCAGTGTGCCGGTCCCCCTCCTCCCAGCTACCACGTGCCTGTCCCCCCTCCCAGGCTAAAGGTAAGGGGGAGGGGGGATTTAATGCCTACTTAGTTTTTTTTTATTGTTTATTTACCCCCCATAGTTTTTTATTTATTTACCCCCTTAGTTTTTTTTATTGTTTATTTACCACCCTTAGTTTTTTTATTTATTTACCCCCCTTAGTTTTTTTCTTGTTTATTTACCCCCTTAGTTTTTTTTATTTGTATATTTAACCCCACTTAATTTTTTATTTGTTTATTTACCCCAACACACAACATTTATACACAGCACTCTCACACACATCATACACAGCACTCTCACACTCAGCACTCTCATACACATCACACTCAGCACTCACACACAAAACACTCTCACACAGCACTCTCACACACATCACTCTCACACACATCATACACAGCAATCTCACACATCACAGCACTCTCACACACATCACACTCAGCACTCTCACACACAGCACTCTCAGCAATCTCACACACAGTACTCTCAGCAATCTCGCACACATCACACTCAGAACTCTCACACACAACACACACACAGCACTCTCACACACAACACACTCAGCACTCTCACACACATCACACTCAGCACTCACACACATCATACACAGCACTATCACACTCAGCACTCACACACATCATACACAGCACCCATACACATAGCACCCTCACACACAGCACCCTCACACAAATCAATCACATACAGCACCCTCACACACACAGCACCCACACACAAATCAATCACATACAGCACCCTCACACACATCACACCTCACACACAGCATCCATCACACACACATACTGCACCCCTCACATACACACACAACCCCCCGATACACTGCATCACACACATACACAATACTTCCAAACATATTTATAAAAAAAAAATATATATATATATATATATATATATTTGTGTTAGGTGCTTAAGATAGTACAGTGTGAAATACCATGAATAAGCGTAGGATGATAAAAGGAGCAAGTCGGTTGTGGTGTGCCGAAACCGACGATGAGGTAGGCCTGAGAAAGAAGAGGGCCCACCCAGGAAAAGAAATAGAAAGGAAAATAAATGTTAAAAGTGGTGTGGTGGGAGGGTCATACAACGCTGACCTCGAACGGTAAGGAGCCAGGCAAGGGGAGTGCCTTAAGTAGGCTAGGGGTGGAAAACCAGCACCTCCCACAAATGCAGGCAAATTGCCTTAATACTTGTGTTAGGTGCTTAAGATAGTACAGTGTGAAATACCATGAATAAGCGTGGGATGATAAAAGGAGCAAGTCGGTTGTGGTGTGCCAAAACCGACGATGAGGTAGGCCTGAGAAAGAAGAGGGCAAAAATTAAGTAATCAAATTTATTTAACAGACAACCAATACATATACATTTTATCAACCAGACATGTTTATGAAAGCATCCCTTAATTCTTGTACTGGGTTCGGTATGTACCGTGAGTAAGCAGATGACTTCCAGTGCCCCAGTGTTTTGATAACATGAGTTGGGGTGTTGACACTGGAGGCTGTGGACACGGCTCCTATACGAAAGGAGTGTCCTGAGTATTTGTTTGCGTTGAGGCCCAGTTGTGTGAGCAAGGACCTGACGTAGGTCATGAAGGTTGTAGTGGTGAGTACTGCACCTTGCAGTTGTAATAACGGTTGCGAGGGCAGTAAGTGATGGTGCTGTATGTAGGCATCAAGAACTTTTACGGGACACCATCTGTTGTGCGTGGGGTAGTACGGAATGTTTACAGGTATGTGCTGGCTGGTTTTGGAGTGAGGTAAAGACAGGATGTAATGATCCATATGTTTGTCAAGTGGGAATAGAGGAGGAATGGAGTGGTTTGGGTCGTGGAGGTCGTAGTGAATTCTCTGGGTCGTAGAAATCCATAGAAAGCGATGTATATTGTTGTTTTGATGATAGAATTCGTATTAGTGTCAAATGGTTTCAGGTCGAGTAGGTTAGATAAAGCTTTGAAGATATGGTTATCTATGGGTAGCCTCTGGGCCAAATGTGTGGGTTCTGATTTTTGAATACCTCTGAGTATGGTCTTAATTTGGTGAGAGGCCATGAAACTGTTGATATTTGGGTGTAAGATGAGCATGTGGTGTTGAATGCCAGTGAGATAGAGTTTGATGGTGTTATATGACAATTTGAGTTTAAGGTGGCAAAAGGAAGCAAACCCCCAAAAGATGTCATAACAAACGGTTGTATGATGTTATGTTCCAGAAGGAATCGTTTGAATAGTGTGAAAGCCCTGTTGTATGTTTTGTTTGTATTGTGTGAAAGTGCCAACTGAGACAATGTCCTGCTATGCTGCATGATGACGTCTAGTCAGTATGAGTTGTTGAAATGTTGGAGTGATGGTGGCTGTGGGTGCTGCTGACGGGAGTGCTTGATGAAACTCCTGAAATTTAAAGCGAGACAAACTGTCAGCAGCTGTGTTGTATACACCTGGCACATGGAAACAACATAGGAAGAAATTATGACAAGCTGCCAACCAAGTGAGTTTTCTCAGAAATCTCATAATCGTAAGAGATTTGGAACGACCTTTGTTGATGATGTGACAGGTCGCCTGGTTGTCTGAGTAACAACGTACTGGTGTATTAGCCCATAAATGACCCCACGCTACGGCAGCCGCCACTATGGGGTAGATCTCAAAAAGAGCTGAGGTAGTGGAAAAACCTTCCAAATCCAGAACTGCTGAAGGCCAGCTGCCCCAAAGCCATTCGTTCCCAAAATTGCTGCAAAACCAGTGGTAGATGCCGCATCTGACCAAATGGTAGGAGATGATTCAGTCAATTGAGGGAGGAACATACTTTTACCATTCCAAGTGGTTAAAACCTCTTCCACATGTTTAGATCTGCCGTAGCTTGGGCATCTAAGGACAACCTGTGCGTGTCATGTAGAAAAAGTGGGAAAAGATGCAATAGTCGTGAAATAAAGGAGCGGCCTTGAGGTATGATGCGCATTGCAAAATTTAGTGACCCCAGCAGGGACTGTAGTTCTTTGCGGTTGCAAGTGCCGAGCTGTAGGTAGTTATTAATGTAAGTGAGAATATTGTCTATCTTTTCGTAAGGTAGGCTTGCTTGCATTGTGGCAGAGTCTAACTGGATACCCAGAAAAGTGATAACCGTGTCTGGCCCTTCTGTTTCTTTGGGGAGATGGGTACACCTAGTTGCTCAAACAGCTTAGTGGTAGCTTTGAGGCTAGTGGGAGGTGCAGTATTCTCCTCGACCAGTAGGAAATCGTCCAAATAATGTAATACTGTAGGGCATCCGGCTATGTTCAATAGTAACCAGCATAGTGCTTCGGCAAATGTGTCGAAAATAGCTGGGCTACTTTTGGACCCAAAAGTTAACCGGGAGAAAAAATAGTAGTTCTCGGACGACTTGATGCCATGCAGGTGCCACAGTGTGGGGTGGATAGGGAGTAATTTGAAGGCGTTAGTAATGTCGGTTTTACTGAGCCAGGCTCCCACCCCTGCTTGTATGATGGCTGTAATGGCGTGATCTATGGTGGTGTATTGCAGAGAGAATTCCTCAGAGGGTATGAGGGAATTAAGACTGGGGTTGGCCGATGAGTGGGGAGCCGATAAGTCAATGATGAGTCTCTGTTTTTGGGAAGATTTCCCTGTGACAATACCAATAGGGTTGGTGCGCCATGCTGTGAATGGGGGAGTTCTAAAAGGCCCCAATACAAAGCCCTCCTCCACTTCTTGGTTTATGAGGGTGTCAACCACTGTGGGGTTGTGTTGGGCGGATTGTAGGTTTGGGCATTCCAGAGTGCCAGCTGGTATGTGTAGGATACCTGTGTGGAAGCCTTCTGTCAAACCAGAAATAAGAAAATCTACCAGGTGTCTAGATGGGTGCTGAGACATCAATGCTGTGAATACTGGCATATTAATGGACGTAAGGTAAGGCTTAGAATACATTTTATTTGGACACATGGTCTTAGCATGTGCCCTAAAACATTTTGAACA